AGACACCTGCCCACACCGGCCGGTCAGCCTCAGTCCGCCGAGGTACTAGTCGTCGGCTAGTCTGATGATTAGATGCCATCACCACCTCCCGCATTTGACTTTTGAGCCCATCAGCCGCGAACGCTATCTGCCGCTCAACCCACGCCACCATGTCTGTCCGATAGCCTTGGATACGAAAGACGCCGCCGTGCTATTGGCGAAGGATGTGAATCTCCAAATGTTCATGTGGCTGTCGTGGGAGACGGACACACGCATGGCTTGTTCGTTGCGAATCCCAGCCAACCACAGGTCGAGCTTCCATCCTTGCCTGCAAGTGCACCGGCATGCCGCATCTGCTCACACCTTTTGCCCGCCCTGTTATGCATCCTTATGCACATCTCAAGCGCTAACGCAAGCATGTGTGAAGATGCATGCGTGGTGGGGACGCACTCAGAAGCTCTGTACGAGGGTCATGCGTCCCGCATCGACGTTGCAATACTCCATGCTCCGACCTCCCCTCGGCATCACCTACGCGCAGCTACACGCAGCTACACGGTGCAAGCTGTGCTGACCAGATGCGAATCATCGGTTCTAGAAACACGAGTTTATATCACCCCCTTGATGGTTTTTTCTTCTTCTTCCTGTCACTTGGGCTCTTTGGCTTTTGCTACTGTCTGTCCCTTTCAGTAGTAAGTTGCTAACCCAAATAGCATCCGAAGTGCGCTCCATACAGTTGCGGACACTTTGCGGGCTGGCTTCACGCTTTCTCTATTTGCTTTGGCTCTCCCAGTTCTTTTTGATCTAGGTGTGGGCCGTCCCAGGCGGCCCTCTCCGCATCTGCCACCTCTCATTCCCGTAAATGTCAAATGGCAAAAGCCAGCTTTGAGCAACGTCTGACGCCGGCCTTCGTATCTCAACCGCAACTCGGATGCCCTGGAAAAGTACGATGGACCAAGGTTCGGGAAACCATTTACAAAGTGGCATTGATAGACAGCCTAGCCGGGTCTTGTCCTGTCCTATTCGCACGCCCCCTTTGTCTTGTTGCTGCGTTCACTGGAGCCGCAGCAGGCGCAAGCCCTCGGAGGCTCAGACCGTTGCGACATCCCTGTTGGTTTTGGTGTCTGCTTCACATCTATGCCTCTAATCCTGCAAGATCTGCCACTTTCAGACCAAGCACTCCATTACTGAATCTCATGATCCCTGCCCACTCACCCCACTAAGATGCCGGCTGTGATGGCCAACCTTGCCCACCTGTCCCGGCTAGTTTTGTGGTCATCCGCCCAACGACACCATTCACACGCCTCCCCCCCTCCTCTACTTGTGCGTTTCCTCGCCTCCTGGGAGGCTCTTGGCGGTATCGTCAAGGGGTATCACCATGCAACCAGATGATGCGCCATCTATGTCGTCTTCCAATCAGCAAAGGTCACAGACGCCTTGGGATAGGTAATTATGACGTTGGCTGTATTCTTTTGCGGCTCTTTTTTCACCAGAGTCCCTCCCGTTTTGCTCCGGATTTCACTTGCTCCGGATTTGGAATCCTAATCTTGACTCTTGTTGCTTTCCTCTCTGGGGCAAGGCATCTTGTGCTGTGTAGTTTTGTTGAAGTGGCACGCGGATACCTCGACTTATATAAGCCACTCTCGTGATAACTTATGACAGGCCCAAGCCAGGACACAAGTTACACTGCGCCGGTACGCCGAAAACCAACTATATTCCCAGACTCTTTCACGGTCCTAGTGCCGTATCTGAACGGGCCGCCTAGCTTGTGGGCTCTGGAGTCAGTCTGAATCCTGACTGATCCTGATTTGACGTTTACTCAGCTTTGTCTCATGGACAGCGCCATAACGAGCTTACCATGGATCCCTGGCCCTTATTGGAAGATCCATGCAGACCATGGTTACCGTAAACAGCCAATTCTTTTGCATGTGACGGCAACGGATTTCGAGAGTGGGTGCATGCGCCCGTCCAGATCTGGTAAATGCAGGCAGCACGGAAACTTTAATCCGTCTTGGCCCAGTAACGGGCCTCTCATCGAGCCAATGAGTGACACACGCCCAAGAGTGTTGCTTGAGAATGTTCCCTGAACCAGGATTCCATTCGATCTATTTGTCCGAAACCTTCTTCGCCATGTAAGCCTCTTTTTCGCTTCGCGATTCCTCAATCAGGTTTGAGACCTGGTTCTCCTTTATTGAGGGGCAATAACTTGCGTGAACCAACCCCCCTTTTTGGTTTTTACGAGACAATTTCACGCGCTATCAAGAGGTGTTGTGACGGTTTGTCTTGGGCAAATGTTCCTACTTGTGATGGAAGTACATCAAAGGGTGTGTCCCAGGATGAGTGAGACTGCCAAATGAGCATTGTGACTACGCCTATTATGAGGCTACTGTGTGATTTGCAACTCGTGATTAGCAAATGACATTCTTCTAGGATTGACATCATTTAGGAATCATTTTTGCTTTTAAGATACCGCTGGACGACGTAATTGGCCAGTAACATGATTTGATAACCGAAGTAGCGTACTCAAACTTGAGGTAAAGTAGATTTGGTTGTGCCTGATCAATGAGGATCACAATTAGGATATTTGACAGTTTGACCTGACGCCCGACTCATTTAGAGTCGACAGCTGTCATTTGTCTTGTGCTTTAGTTTTTTTGCCAACGAGACAGGCTAGTTATGCATACGGATCAGCTGAGTTGTTATGGTTCGATCAAGAAAAATTAAGTTTTGACAGCTGTAACTGTGGCGTGTGAGATGTGATGGGCTTTTGGGGTTGAACAGTACTTGGAGATGAGATGATTAAAGAGGGAGAAGAATGATTTTCGTCACTTCTAAGGAGGTTGGAATTGTATATGCAATTGTGAAGGAAGCGATACGTTTGATGAGCTAAAACGGGAAAGTAATTGCTCTTTTCTAAGGGACAATTTTCATAGACCACGTCAACGGTATATACCAATACCATCTCAACTTCATTGACGATGTTTCGTTTCATCGATTGAAGATCATCAACGACGATATTTATAGATAGCTTCTGAATAAGGTGATTGGGGTGAAGGCTAACGCCCATGTATGATTAGCAACCGCTTTGAAGTCACCACCATTGAATGATCCTATAGATTTTCATCAACCAATATAGGAATTGCTTTTAATTCGCTACAACGGTCGGCTTAGAATGGATGTTGGTGGGAAATTCAGGTAGCCAGCACCCTAACTCTGCATCTAGCATATCATGTAATGTCACGAATTTTCAACTATAACACTATATAAGAGCTAACTAAATGACAATATCAGAAACAACCCCTGGAGAAATATAGTTGTAGTAAAAGACGCTAGAAAAACATAGTAATAGTAGTAGATACTAGATTCAAATATAGGTGTTGTAACTGGGTAAGTGACCGGAACCTATACCCTATATTTTACTTTGAAACATCACTTACATATTATATGTTATTTCTCTAGTATTTGCACTTAGCAATTCGTTAATGCAGTCAACGCTCGCACCAAGGTTTCACACCTGTTTTACCAACGCCAAATACGTGATTCTGTAGAGGAGAATGCAATATACGCTAGACACCCGTATCAAAAGTATAACCCTGTTTGAAACAAGCACAGAGACCCTGTACCGGCTAGATTCGCTGGACTGAGACGTTTAATGAACAGACGGGCAAGAGATTTGTTTCGTACGACATATGAGTACGAAAACGTGTAACAAGTATATGTACGTGGTGAAACTGATACTGGGGTAGAGCTTCAAAGACACATGAGTTGTCATATCATCCGAGCTTCGTCCAGTAGATCGGATCTTGGAAACAAATTAAGCAGAGATTGGAGGTTTATTTTGTTAATATCCTGGGTACCTCTAGTCTACCTACATCCCAATTTGGTATTGCTCACATGTATGTATATAGGTGTCTCCCCTTGCCCCCGGCCTAATATCCAGGCCTACTATCTGGCCGCACTGCGTAGATACGTACATGCAGCAACAATACCCCTCACTCCTTGTAACTTGTCTGGAGGCTGGAAATTTTCAATATCCCAGGTTGACCTTGAATCTTCGAGGTCACCATAAGTTACAGCCTGCTGACTTCGTAAGTGACACAAATTTCTCCCACACGGCTCCAAAGGCTCTCCCCTTTTTCCCCCAGGCTATTGTCTGAGAGACAACCGCTGTGATTGGGGCAAAGCATATTATCGGAGAGACACAAGGGTGTCTCCGCCACTTTACATATACACGACATGTCTTGCTTTAATCCTGCTAGGCTGATCTGCAAGGTTACGAGAGGCTGTAGTAGGCCATAAGAACACCAGCATTAGGCCAGCCGCTGTTATTTATAAGCCCACTCATCCTTTGGAATTGTCTAGCCCCGCATATATGCGTCGCACAAGCTCCATCGCCTCGGCGTTTCGGTCAAAGGATGAGGCAAAGGCGATAGAATGCCTCTCAACGATCTATAAGTATCGAGGGAGTGTATCCCCGTTCAATGCCTCAATTTTCACTTGTTGCGTCGAATTAACCATGCGTGTATATTTCCAATTCTCGAAACCTCAAGACTGGACATCCATCTCGGCTCAACAACCTCACCTTTAGCCCCTATTGGAGGACAATGCCAAAGACTGATGTCAAATATTCTGGCCTTGGGTCCAAGGTTTCACCAGCTACACGAAACCACGTCTTCGTAAAAGATCAATATTGTCATTGCATTCACGGTCTCGGTACTGCCACTTCTCGCCTTCTCCGGCTTACTCCTTTGTCTACTGTTCTGGTATCGGGTTATACCGCATGGCCACAATGATCCGAGGCTCCCAGACGAGAATCCGCAGAAAAGGGGTATTGTCTTTATCAGTCTCAGTGCCACTGTTTTCACTACCGTGGGTTCGTGGTCGAGCACAGTGGCGCCGCTCTCGCTCCCGTTTATCCTGACAATCGCGTCCTATCCCGCGTCCAGACTGATGATGCGAGCGAGTGACGGCAGCAAGGGCGAAAACTGCCCACCCCGTACCAGATTGCTCTGATACTCCGAGTCATGTCCAATTCTTCGCTCAGTTCGGTCTGGCAATGCATGAACTACACCTCTGCAAACGGGAGGGGGGCGCCCATGTCATCTGCCCTGAACGTCATGATGTGCACACTTGTTCTGGGCACGATACAGAGGTAACTCTAGGCTCCCAAACGTCAAGTTCAAATTGTATAAACTAACGCAATAAAGTACGTTCATCTTTGCGACAGATACGTGGCTTCACGTCACGACGGAGACAGTTCCCCTGACTGAGTTCCACACAACGTCGCCCAAAAACGCTACCTTTGGCATACCCTCAGCCTGCTTCACTATTGCAGACGAGACGCCCGATAGATGCAATGATTTTCTGATGGATAAATTATATAAAAACGACAGAAACCACATCACCCAAGAGATCTTCTCCAACATCTCCGAAAGGGCAATTGTTCAGACCCACGATGAAGGCGGACATAGATATGCCTATGTTGCCTCTCCGGCGTATCGTTACCAGACCGACACCGACTACGTAGCCACGACGTTTGCAGTCAAGACGAACTGTACCCCTGCAACATCCAGATGCTTCAAGGATCGAGACCTTTCCAACGTGACCTCGTTCAAATGCGACTTTGCCATGGACGGAACCATCGACGGGGCGACGACCTTGTTCAACTTGACCGAGTTCACGGACTCGACACTCTCCGCCAATCAGAATGACACCTTTTCCAACATGAACTCAAACCCGCATAATTTTGCAGCCATTTTGAATATAGGCTTCGGCTTCGCCCCGTCAAATTACCCTGACGACGACGAGGTTTACAGCGGCCCAGACCAAGCGACCATCATCGTCATGTTATGCGAGAGCACCGCACCCGACGCCGAGTATGGCTCGACCAATGGCTCCGTGACGCATTTCTCGACGGTACCCAGCAACTTCTCCTCGACCAATGTCATCGCCGGGACACTGAGGTTCAGTCCGACGATGAACTATTTCCTCACGCAAAATACCCTTATCGACCTCTGGGGAAGCAAGACTGCACAGCAACTGAGTGACAAGTTTTCCTCTACATACAGCCAATCCATTCTGGCGTCAGCCGGCGCAGCCCTTGAGCCCCGACCTGCAGAGGTAGCCCAACGGCGATCCTCGATCCTCGTGGCTGCTGTGCCAGTGGCCCCGCTCGTTTGTCTGCTTGTCGCCAACGTGCTGGTCGTGCTGCTGGCGGTTGTTCTCACGGTGGGAGCCCTGATGGAGGTGGCAAAGTCTGATCAAGTGGGGGATGTACAGACGACACTGAGCATCGAAGCCCTCGTGGCGGCGCATTTTGAGACGCGCGGAAAGAAGCCGGGCGTGAGGAAGACGGAAGACCTGTTTGCGGAATACCAAGGCGGCGGTGGGCCGCGAGTCAAGGTAGAGAAAACGAGCGAGGAGGGCTGGAAGCTGGTTAGTTGCGATTCATGACTCTGTGGAATTCAAGGTATACCCATGTGGAGGAATTTCTCAAGCAAAGAGACAGTCTATCCAGGTTGTCCATCGTCAAGTGAAGTCATATCTGCAGGATAAGAAGCATAGTCTTTGCTGATCCATAGGTATAGTGTATTATTATATCCATCTAACGCTGCTGGCATATAAGCCGAGCGGCTCTGAATCTCTTTCAACCAAGACATTGCGTAAACTGTTTCGCTCCAACATCATATCCGTGCTCCACAAGGTTGAATCAAATTGAAATCATTCTCTTGCGCAGTGTAGCTGCTACACAAGATTACACAGCATCAGCCCTCTGAAGGGTACGATAAGCCTGCTGGCGGGTATAAGACACGATCCCTCCTCTTCATCGTAGTATAAGGTAGGACAAGCTCTGTTTAGCACGGGCATGGGAAGATGCAGCAGTCGATGGGAATCGGGCAGGGTATGATGAAGCAAAAGCGGCCGGGACAGCAACCGCCGTCGTCGCCACCGCGCATGTTGACGTCGTCTGTCGTCTCGGGATGCGGCTGCTGGGCGTCTGTTTGCGCACGGTTAACAACACCTTCTCTGGAGCTTTGCATCATGACATGATGTCGGGGGTTGAAGAGACTTGCCCATGGCTTGATGTGACTTTGGCTGCGCATCGTACACGCGTTCAGGCTCCGTCAGCTCAACACGATCGCCAGCAGCAGACATGGTGGCTGGCAGCGAAATTGGAACCAAGTAGTAGAGATAGTAGTAGCACAAGCAAGAAAGAGATAAGTAACTCGATATGCGATGGTACCTGAAAACGATGCCTTCGGTGAGTCTGAGACCAATAGCGTTTGAAAGTAAGATAAGAGACAAGAAGATGAAGAAGAAGAAGAGCCAAGAGCTCAACAGCTGACGAGCTTGGTTTCTTTTTCCCTGATGATCAGGGACGCGGCTACGTCATCGACACGTTGCCCTCGCCAGCCGTGGATGATCCGCCTTGGCACCGTTTTTGCGGGGGAAAAACGAATGTTCCGCCATTTACAGTACGAGGAATCGAGCCCGATTTGCTTCTTACATCTTACAACTTGCATGCGCTCCTCACAAGCAGCAAGGACAGGGTCACAGGGGTGGGATGGGAATCATTTTGGAATCATCGAATTATCGATTTGCTCGTCTGACTCTGACCCTTTGCCAAGCACAAGGCTGCATGTTTCTGGCGGCTAGACCCACGCAGTCAGCAAGCCGGGCTGGTGCTTGTCAGCTTTTCAGCTCGCCTCCAACTCCAAGCATGACGACTGTGGAAGACGAGAGGGGAAAGGAAACTATTTCATTCGTATCGAATAGTAATGCTCGTACGATACGTTGTGGTGCCAAAACCCAGCTGCACGGCTACCCGAACTTGGACCTGTGCATAGCCTCGCTCGTATAATGTGACAATGTGATTGTGTGCCTCCAGCTGCATGTTGCCAATGGCTGAGCCTTGGGCTGCAAAGCGCGGAAACTGCCGCAATGCCACGCTCGGGATTCCCTAGTGCCTGGATATTGCCAGATCCTAAAGCTTGGTACTCGGCGGGTGTGTGTCTGTGCAGTTCAAGTTCCACGTGTTTTTGTGTTGCAGTCGAGGAGCCAGTTCCTTGTTAATTAATCCTCTTGCACAAGCTGATTGCCGTAATAGTAAACAACCCAGAGACGTACATGGCTTGTATACGAGTATAATCAAACATGGTCTATCCCTCAACGGCCTACCTAATCAGTCAAGGTGTGATAATCTTCGGCAAAAGGCATAGGCGGGGTAGACGTAGAAGAAGAAATCAACGGATGGATGAAGAATCGTCGATACCGCGTGGATGTATACAAGTGCGTGTATATAGGTACATTTCTACTTACGGGGTGGCGGGGAGCTCTCTGACTGATTTCTGGAAAAGGGGTTAAAGACTTGGGCATAACAAATCTTGCCACCAGAAACAAAGTAATACTGGTCATCCCGCCATGATACGACGGATTTAATGGCTAGGCATAAGCTGAGTAGTGTAATGGAGTATTAGTTCGCCATCTTGCTGATGAGAATACGTTTATTGCAAAATCTGACGTGGTCGAGCCAGCGGTTTATCTGCGAACTGATCTCTCGGGCATCATTATATACCCGATACTTGCCAGTACCTTGTTTATTTTGAAGCTACATATACGCGTACCTACTAGATACATGCACTTTGAATATATTCATAGTCGTATATACTGTGGCTCCAATTGGCAACAAGTTTTGCACGTCGATATATTGCTCATGACAGAAATTCAAGTTAATCATAGTATACAGTTGTATCTATTCGCCGGTTTATCCCAAAGTAGACACATGTACTTCACACTCCCCGTTGGCGTGGAAATTAAAACTGGACAGGCTTGCCAAATCCATCTCGCCGAACATGAGTCGGACCCTTTACATCCCGAGTTGGACAACAAAATCAGCGCATTGCGTCAACAGAAACGTGTACCGGCCGCAGATACAGACTCTCCTATTTCACTCTTGCCAAGTCACCGCCCCATGATCTCCCGGTTAATACCAAAATCAACAATCATCACCCCGATTTGACTGGTTAAGCAAGTCTTTCTCATGGGCAGACATGATACACAACAGGGGGGCTGTAGTCGAAAATCTCCAATCACTTCATGCTCCGTGTCACTTGATCTTTGATTGTTTGAGTTTTTTTGCCCCTTGAATCCGCGAAACGCCTCTCCCGAAAGCTTCGTGCCAGGAGACGGAAAGACGTGTTCAGGTTGTTTTCCTGCAGTCAGTTCTTCAATGACAAGCAGTATCCCTTATTTCGTAGAATCAGAGTCAGTCGATTGAGTCAATCATCATCCATCAAAGAACAAACAAAATGCATCACCATCAATTTTGGTAATCTCATACAATTTCCATCTCTACGACGTCAGAAAGTGGCCAATGGTGAGTACATTACTGCGAATTGATTTCCATCCTCATATGTGACCGGAACAGTCTGGGTGTGTATCTTGGAGATAGCGCGTGATCTTGCTTCAACAGGAGGAGTCTTGGGCCAAGTAATGTATTCTTCAATGTTCTAATCTCCTTTTATGCTGGGGTGAGTCACCGGAACTCTGGCGCCCCCACTATGACTCTATCGCCGACACATACAGGCACATACAGACAAGGGGAAAAAAGGGTTGAACCAACAACAGTCCATCAGTTGATGAAGAATATGGTGCTTCTGTAGCTGGTAATCGTCGGGACTCTTTCTGCAGCGAGACGGGAGAGGAAGAGGCCAAGGCGCTACTGAAGAGCGCTTTGTGATTGCCAGTTTTGCATCCCATGTCTCATGGATCGTGCTGCCAAAGTACTATCCGCGTATAAGGTAGAAAAGACTTGAAAATAAATTGATCATGTTCGCTTTTTCTGCATATAAAACATCATCTTTCCCAGCTTGAATGATTCTTTTGTCATTTCCAAGCACCAGTATTCAAAGGATTTCCCTCGTCTTGTCTCGCTGTTTAATAAGCAAGCCCAGGGATATCATGAATTACATCTATGTAATACAGCGTCTCCGGATTACTAAAATCTCGTCTTTTATCTGCCTTCTATTTCACTCCTAGTCTTGGATGAAGATGGCATTGGACCGTGTAGTTGTGTCTAAACGGTGAGATTATTTGGCTGCTCAGATAATCGCCCATGTGCTTTGGTAAGCCTATTTATGTTTCCCCCCTTATCATCTAGCACATCAAACCCCTATGCTATGCATTGTGACCTGTCGAATATGACAGTAGTGGTCAGCCATGATGAGGCGAAAGAAGTTGAATAATTTCCATGAAACATCTTGTTCACAACTAAGGAAGAGAATCGACATCGTCTGAGCAACCACGAGAAGCACATATGATTCTAAAAACACCGTCTTTTTTTATTTTTCCAATTCTGTATTGGTCATCATTAATGACTTTTCATGTCCCCCCCATCTATATGCGGAAGGATTGTAGCGCTAACATGGGTTCTATATATACGAAAAACCCCGACGACTTCAGTTGCATTTGCACTTTTCTTTCGTTCAGGATCCAATCCTGGGGGGAAACGAAAAAGGCATCATGAGAAAAACAATAAGAGGAATAGTAAAAGACTCGAATGAAAACAATGTGCCCTCCCAATGACCAACTCCCGAGGTCGTTTCTCCCGTGAACACCATGTGACATAAAAGATCTAAACCCCCGAAAGATCCAATTGAAACAAAGAAAAAAGAGCATTTCCGTGAAATAAAGCAAGAATCCAGTACATGTTAAGGCGTTGTGGGTATGTGGTTGCAGTAGGGTGAGTGCGTCGTTGAGGGCTTCACCCTCTCCTTTGTGTTATTACAGGGGGGTGTATGTGTGTAATCGCGCAAAGAGCGAGCATGTAAGTGCACGGGTGGCACGTTCACTTCCTCCCCAGAACCTCTCTTAGAGCTTCAACTTCGGCTTCTCGCCTGGCCAGCTTAATCTTGAGTTCGTCACGCTCCCCAGTCATGTCGCTCAATGCCCGCTCCAAATCGGCTATCCGGTCAAGGCGTTTCTGGCGGTATTTCCGTGCCGCCATCGTGTTGCGCTGTCGTTTGATGGCGGCTTGCGCCTCGTCGGCTTCAATTTCATCGCCGTCTGTTGATCGAGTTGCGCTGCGGTGCTTTGAATGAGAGCCTCCGCTGTGTGTGCTGGTGGGAGAATCCTGGCGGTAGTGGTGGGGGGTTGGTGTTGACGCTGATGAGGACGGTGGCATTACATTGGCCATCTGCTGCGCCGGCATCTGGAAGAAGACGCTGTTGGCGCCTTCTGAGGAAAAGGTAGGGGCTGACATGCCGAGCCTGTCTTCATGCTGTTGGTTGTGCTGCACATGTATCCGGGCAGCATGATGAAGGCCTGTGTCGAAAAGATGGTGATGGTGATGTTGTTGCTGCGCTGAGAAGAATGCTTCTGGAGGGCACATGTCTTCGGTTAACACATGGTCTGGCCAACATTTGAAGGCAAATTCCGGATTATCAACCATGATGGGCGAAGGAATATAAAATGAAGTCATACACAGCAATAAGACCTGAAGAGAGCGGCAATTGTATGGGTCCCGCCCGGAATAGTGAATAGTGTGTGCGTGTGTGTATGTGTGTATGTAGCATGTATGTACGTGTAATAACAAGAGACGACAGTCTCGGCAATATATGTAAACATCTTTCCAAAGAGGTGGTAATTTGAAGATGACTTATGACATAATTGAAGCAGCAGACCAGGTGTATCGCAAACATCGTATCGAGAATAAGAAATAGTCGACATACCTGATGGGTCCATGCTTGCTTGCAGAAACGAGTCAAGACAAGCTGAAGAAAGGGCGGGCAGTGAGACGAAAGTGACAGCGGCAACGGGACCTGTAATCAAATCCTTCGGTTTCGCCTACGGCGTGCTGTGCAATGCTAACCGCGAGAGGAAAGGGACATTGGAGGGTGAGAGGCTGTAACTTGGGCGTCTTGTTCGTATTTGGCAAGCTTTTGGCTTTCAACTCTTGTGTCTGCACGTCTTCCTTTTCTGGGGATTCAGCTCTGATGTGTTAGACTCAATAGTCTGAGTCTGGACAGAGTGAGATGGTGGGCGCACGGCTGATATATATCGAGCCACGTGCACATTGGCATGCACTCAATTTCGACGGGTATAGCTGCAACACACGGGAATGGATGCGGCCTAGTCCATGGAGTTGGGTACAGTAGATTCGACTTGCTTGTACGAGGGAGTACATGTATGAGGAGGCAATGCTACCAGGTACGAACGAGCATTGGTTAGACTAAATAAGGGAAACAAGCTCAGTCCAGATCGATGGACAGGACAGGACAGGAGAGTGCCAGCACCTTTCCACGTGCACTGTACTCGTATGTAAGTAGGCGGCCCAGCTGCTTTTTAGTACATGTATGTAGAGCCAGCACCTTGGATGGGGGATGCATATCAACGCGGCAGCGGATTTGCAGATTCCGGCCTTCCCCCTGGACACGCTGACGGCTCCAATGCCACTTGATGCTGCCAGCTTACTGTACATCCGACTGTGCACGCGGCATCAGCCCTCCGGGTTGCACAACTTGCGACTTGACATGGATGGCCCAGCAGAAACCCGGCTTGGTGACTAAGCCCGGAACTCGCTGGGGATAGGAGCCTCGATCAATCAATACAAGTCCGTAATTTGATCTCTCTCTGTGTGCTTGTGCTTGTGCCTAGCCTTGCCTGCCTCTCTGGAGCTCGAGGGTTCCACACCATGCTGACAACGCCGGGGGTCGCGAAAGAGACGCAAGATGCTCTGCGAATACATGGCATGTTTACGGAGTAGTGGCAATTGGCATGCGAGACTCCGCAGGAGGTGCTTTCACAAGTCGAGACGAGACTGTGTGTGCTGCTGCTTCGGTTGATGGAGCGGTCAGGGTCAGCCAAGCGGTCAGCCTAGCAATTGGGCACATACGAGCCCATGGAGGTTTTCGGCGCTATTATTCTACATGATGGATTGATTGGGCCTAGCCATGGTTTAACCCTTTCGAAATCCGGCATTCGACTTACATGTGCGTCCATCAACAACAGCCTGCGAAGTGTAGTTGAGTAGAAGAAACATGTGGCAAGGTTACCCGAAACAAACAATCATACTGGTACAGCCCTTGGATTGATTGATTGATTGATTTTGTACATTGCCTCAAGTAGGTACTCGCTCATCCATCTCATAGAGAGCCTGGAATGGAATAATTCTGTGCGTCTTCCGGGTGGTGTATAAACGAAGCGCGCCATATTTGTAGTCCGGATTCGAACCTCGCCAAGCTGCAACGTTCCGGCGCAAAGTCCGCGGCGACTTAGCATGTTCATGGCAAAATCCCGCAAGTCACGACTTTAGGCTGCAGCATTAACGCCTTTTGATGGTCAATTTCAGTCTCTCTCTTTTTTTTTCGCTTTGCTCTGGAAGTGAAAAAGGGCTGCTTATGGTGGCATGCGTATTGTGTGGACGCTAGACAGGGGGCCAAGAGACCGTGCAAGTGCCGGATGTGGCAATCCCTGGGTAAGAAGCAGACGATCAAGATTTAGGGAGAGATTCAAAGCATGGGGTCTCATCAACCTGAGCAGTCAAGTCAACAGTAGACTGATCACCGAAGCCAATTGCTGTGGAATTCCACTCAAGCTTTGGTTCGGTGGTTATTGACAAAGGAACACCGGGCAAAGCATCCGACAGCAGATGCCCTACGTCGGTACAACATTGAAGACTCCACGCCTCGCCATAAACCCCCCGAGCCACTCCTTAGCGCCGTGGGACAGGCCGTAGCGGCCGATAGGGCTGGCTCTTTGATGGGCGGACTTGGGGGTGTTGGGGGAGTGCGAGGTGCTATGGGTGCTGCCATGGTTCTAGTGTGTCGAGGAGGTTGTATTGCCTATTTGTACTTGAGCCAGTGGCAAACATCAACGTGGTACTCCGTGTCAGTATGTATCCGGGGAGAGTTGAGAAATGCCACCAACATGGAGCAACGTCGTAACCGGAAAAATCGGTCTTTTCACTAGGTAGCAGTACTGTGTTTAAAGCTCCATATCTACTGTACCGTAGATGATATCGTTGCAGACAGAGAGCCGTTTAGGGCCAGGGAGGTGCATGGAAGCGAGAATGTTCCATACGCTTGGAGCGGCTTACGCTCCGGCACCCAGACAAAGTCTAACGGAACACGGCATATAGTACCTCTATACTTGACTCATGGCATCGATAGGAACTGATCGGTTGCAGCCAGTTCCGAATCAAGGGGATAAACTTAAAGATATGCGCAGTGGATCGGCCGTGTCCGGATACCTCGTAGGGGCCTACCTACTGTATATTCAACGGGAAACACTTATAAGATGCGGCTCTCAACATGCCCCACGTGAGGCACCTTGAGAGCAGTCTTCAATTCGGCAACTAAAACGTACACGGTTCATTAAACTCCGTTCTTCATTCTTTGTCACACGCAAGTGCGGATTGGTCGCCTCTGTCTATTCAAGTGTTGTGCTGACCCTTCCCCAGTTCACAGTAGCTGCACATATTACTCGTAATTTGATTAAATCACAGCCCTTTATAACATTTCCCATTCCCCTCGCAGCTAAGCATGTTTTCATTCTCCAACAAAAGAAAGAGAGGATAACAAGAGAAGCCCATGCAATTCCCCAAGCCTCCCAATCCCCCCCAACCTCGTCCCGTATACCGGTCCAACCGGCGTTCTAATGCCGACGCTAAGTCTCCATGGCTGGATTCAATGGCAACATCAAATGGAAATGGAAATAGCCCGGCACTTTGGTCCGCCGGCATTCTGTGGAGATTGACTCCCACATGCAAGCACGGAGAAGATTGTCGGTGCGTTAAAGCCTACTCGGCGGGTTGACAACCTGGTAAACAGGGCCAGCTATTAGTCAACCTGCCGGGTAAACGCCGTACCCGGCCCGCAACTCTCCGTGCGTATGTATGTATGTACAACAAGGCCTTGAAGGCGTCAGTTGTACAAGCTGACACTAACCAACTGCATACGAGCACTGTACTGTACGCTTCTGTGAGACACCAAGGCTTGAGGTTTTCCGTGTGGCCATCTGCAGTGTTCCATTCATGCTCCGCATTTTCTCCGCTGGGGTTGACTGGAAATTCCTTCTATTGGTGACTTGGTGCTTGAGAGTAGTATCGTAACTCCGAGATCTGCCTTCCCATGTTGTATTCAAGGATACATGTACGCGTATGCCAACTCAACATGGTAACCCACCAACGATACAGCCTATTGGCATGGTAATCAAACCAAACAACCATCTAATGGTTGCTTTGTTTAAACACGTTGGACACGTTTGCTTGGAGTTCACATGCTGAATTCCCTTTCTCAACTTGGATGGCAGATCTAGCCGATAGACCGGGGCGCAAATTGAAGTTTCATACGGTTGTATCGGATACGGAATCCTATGGAAATCCATGTAACCCTTATCCAGGCCCCAGCATACTCTGCGTTTGTTGTCGTGCCATGCCCAATGACAATAAGTCCGTACCCACAAGTCATCTGTCCGAGTTATTCATAGTCTTCGGTGTCTTAAGAAACTCGGAATAAAGCAGTTCCATCCAGCTCGCGCCATGGAAGTGTGCATCTGTTTGCTCGAAGTAGACTCCAAACAAAGGGTGCGGAAATACACGTCTTCGGTGTTATGCAAGTGCAGCTTTGATAACGCTATTGGCAAATTCTGTGATGAAAAAGAAGCAATATATGCTCGTATATCCCTCAGCAGACTTTGACTCGGTGCAACTCCAGCCGGGTCCGTGTCGCTGGACCACAGAAAACAGGCAGGCCTGCGGCTTTTGAGATTGGTACAAAAGTGGCAAGGCTCCAGTCGATAACACTACCATGCAATAATATTATTACTCTGGCATAAATAAAGCACACGGCAAAAATATTTCCCACATACCATTGGATGTTATAGTCTTCATCGACAATAATGTTATTCGGCTTAATATCACCGTGCTCCACGGCAAAGGCAGTGTCATCTTGATCTCGGCCAAGCACCTGGCAAACTAAAGCTTGCTGGTTGATGCAGTCTTCTTCTGAAAGGCCAGGAATTCCGCCTTCTCGCACCTGAGTGGATCTATTCTTCACACGTCGTTGGAAGAAAGTTGCTGCGGAAGTAGGACCTAATACCACTAGGTCAGAGTCCTGTTTTCTCGCTGGGACGTCTTACATACGACATTATAGTGTGCATGTGATCAATGATAGCTGTATCGAGGCTATCTGACCAAGTAGCGCATCTCGAAGTGGCTGTGGTGGAAAGCTATCATCCCAAGCCAAGGCGGAACCCTCAACCCAAGTTAACACAATGAACGGATATTTGATCGGGTTTGTCAAACGTCAGGCTAAAGCCGCAACATCTCGGGACCAGTGGAAGCTTTTTGCTTCGAGCAGCTGAAGAATGCGCACTTCATTTTGGATTATGGCGATTATGTCGTCATCGTTGCTGGGATGATGCGGCACTCGAACGGCGATGCTTGCGTGATCTTTGAAGCTAAGCTTGAAGATGCGACACTCGCCTCCGTGAAACTCTCCGTCAAGAAATGCACCATTGCCACCGATTCCAAGCTCCGCAATAGCAGCCAGAATACTTGTCGGTTCGAGGTTTTGCGTCTGACGTGAAGCCATATTCTGAAAGGAGGGCGCCGAATTGTGATGGTTGGAGATGTGAGTAGCGACCCAACGCCTCATACAGAGCACGGCATTTTGTCTGTATTATATCTCCTGACAGGCCAACCAACAAACAGTAGAATACTGGTCCTCAAATAACATGCCACTATTCAGCAAGTAGGAGTTTGATAATGCAACACCTCCGCAACATATTTGCTTTATTCTAACCTATAAAATGAACAAGACATGCCCCCATCCTCCATTACCGGCCCGTAAGCCGCTTCTCCAAGTAGCGGAGAGGCACATAGATCAACGAACTCACTGCAAACGCCATCTCGAAACCAATGTCACCAGTCGTCTTGGCAATGGGACCTTGCCACCACACCTGATCCATGCATGGAACGACCAACCCAAAGCACAAAACACCGCTCGACAAGGCCGCGATGCCAAGGGGCAGCTTCTTTGCGTCACTCCAGATGGCGTGGTCATATGAGCTGTAGTCCTGGCGGCGGAACACCACGTGCTCTACAATGACGATGCCAACAAACGCCGCGGACCAGTAGCCAATGAGGGACACAAAGTTCTCCAAGCTCTCGAAGAAGTCGCCGACAGCGGTGATGGCCACTGCAATGATGATGCCGGTGATGACGATGGCGAACAGGTATCGAGGCACCTTGAACAGCCACGGCGCCAACGTTTGAAAGTTGAGCGTAATGGCATAAAACGTGCCACAAGTATTTCCCAGCAAAGTGAGCGCCAGCACCACGACGACGAACTTGCCAAAGTTTCCTGCAGGCGCCAGCATGGCCGCAAGAACACCACCAGCCGAGTACTCGTCAAACGCGGCTTGCCACTCGGGGTTGTTGGGCATGGCTCCCGCAACGGCCGCACCGAGAACCATGAGCAGCACGGTCGGGATGAGCAGGCCCCAGTACGTATATTGGAAAACCCGCCATCTGTCAACCGTTAGCATCTATAACCTAACTCGCCTTCACAAGGCAATACATGTAGCAGGAGCGAGTTGTGTAGGAGGCGCGTAATCAGATCGCAAGGCAACTTACGATGGAACCTTGGGATCGAAATAAGTGGTAAAGTCGCTTGCCAAGGCAGCCCAGGGGATCTGGTAGCTGGCAATGATCATACCAAAGTTGAGGACGTTTGCAGCCGTGGCAGGCGTCTCAGGGGCGGCCTGCTTCTTGAGACCAGAGCCAGCACAGCCGGTAGCAATGACAACGCTGATGATGGCTGGGATGAACGCATACGTCTCGTAGATGTGCAGCACCCTGAAGCCGCAAAATGAGACTAGCAGAGATAATACTGCAATGATGACGATGCCTGCGTCTTCGTTGATGGACCCGTTGGAGATGGCAGAGAGACACTGTCCACCAGTGATGCAGATGATGACAGTGAAGCCGGTCATGCTGGCCAGATTCAAGAGGACGGGTATTGATACAATGTATCGTCTGTGTACACGAGCGGATGAGGTTAGTCAAGCTGATCTATTGGGTGGCGTGTCTAGGCATCCTTACCCAAAGCTGTACCGCGCCTGGATCATTTGCCTCATGCCCGTCTTGGGGCCCAATATGGCAAGGAACGCCGGAGGTACAGTGGACAGCATGCAGAAGAACAAGATGACAAGAGACGAGTCCCTGAGGCTGAGATTGTACGCCAGGGGTCCCAGCATGCCAAAAGTGATTCTGCATAAAGAGAGTATGTAGTTAGCAGCTGCTTGTAGATGGTCTGTAAGAGCACCGACGATGACACCAGCTTCCAGGCTAAACCTTACCCCAGAATGTTTGCGTTGATGGAGAACCAGACGGTAAAGATGTTGAAGAAGCGGGTTGAACTGCGCTCTTCAACGGGCACCGGGAGGATGCCTCGCTCCTCGACACGGCCAGCTCTCAAGACCTTGTGGAGCAGCGACTCCTCGTCGCTTTGATGGCCATCCTTTTCTCTGACGGGCACCGCCGACGTCTCGACCGTATCCACCAACATCTGTGCGCCGTATGGCTGTGCAGGTCTGTATGGTAAATGCCGAGTCGGAGTTGAAGCTGGAGACGGACGGACGGCTGCTAAGTAAGCCCGAGTCTGTGTAGTTGCACGAACCAAAAGGCAACACAAGAACGAACACAAACAAACAACAGTGGATGAAACAACGTGAGAATCCGGAATCAATCGCTTCACGCAGTCTCACGCTTCAGCATCGACGCCATGCAAAACCAAACAAACGACGGTCAAGTTTCGGAGCAGTGAGTCAAGAATTTTGCCCTCTCCCGACACTGAGCGGTTCTTCCCTCATTCCCTCTTCCGCCCCTCCTCCGACCTAGGCCGCGAGACAACAAAAATCTTTTCGCATCCGCACGGCCAGAATCGGACTAGGAGGCGCCCAGGGCCAATCACAGCCTGATGGCGAGATGAGCGACCGGCCCGTCCAAGAAAATCCTTGCAGCCACTTGACAGGAACAGCGTTAGCTTGGAGGGTTAGTTATCTAGAATGTTTCTCTTTCAAGGTGATAAGAATCGTTTACTCGGGGCGGTGACTTAGTAATCTTGCATAGCGGGGGGGTTGACATCGTCACACCACGAAGGGCGCATGCGTGGAACATGTACGAGTTACAGACGAGCAGAGTAAAAGTCAGCATACATGGAAGTACGTGAACTGACCATTGGGTGTCTCATTGGGTATTCATCTGTAGAAACTTATAGATAGAAGTCGTTTACTTGCCTAGAGAGCATTTGCTTTGGGAACATCATGGGCTGGTGGATATCGCCAACTGAGTCAGTACCTAGTAGAGTCTTATTCGGAACAAGGTAGTACCTCTTCACGAGCTGCATACATACCCAGTAGACAAGAGTGTGGGGAAACACTTGACGCAGCTCACCGTTGCTAAGACATATATCAAGTCTCTCCATAGACCCGTAGAGTAGCAATTCCCTGAAATGGTCTCCATTGATAACAACCTGTATCCTTGACGTGATATAGATCCTACCCTGCAGCCATCAAAAGGATTTGGAAATCACGACAACTTCCTACAACCAAGGCCACTTCTTCAATGAGCATACCCTCGATTGTTCGATAATTAACATCTACATTGTTCTCCCAAGCGCAACAAGTGATTCGCGGCTGGTGGGGTGATACGGAGCAAGTTGGTGCCAATACATGAACAACGGCCCCAAATAGAAGTGTCCAAGACATATATCACTCATCGAACCACCAGCGCATTACATCGACCAGGATAAAAAAAAAAAAAAGCCTCATATATACAGAGAAGAAGGAAAAAATCAGTTGCTATCAAGGCTATCGATGATGCTACACATGTTATGGCCAGAAATCCCCAACCAGGCAGTCAAGTGCCTCTTTACACATGGTTCAACTCGGTGTTTAATACAGCCACTCTCATGTGAAGGGCATCAGTGGTAAATGTTTCAAGATAATCCTGCCGGTCAAAATGGTCGAAGCCAACCAAAAACATGACGCTTATGAGCCACCGCTGTTTGCTTGCGACTTCTTGCGAAAGAAACCCCCCAGTGTCCCCATCAGCACGCCAAGTCCCTTCTCGTGGCTGTCTTTCTGAAGGCCGTCCTGAATCCATCCAGGCAGTTTGTTCCGTATTCGAGGCGTGCCGTATCTTCGGTCAACAAGGATGATTGCCGCGTAGTCTCCACGATGTCGGATCGCCCGACCAATGCTCTGGTTGACGGCTCGCATACAGGCGTTTTCGTAAAAGTCTCGCGCGGCCTGCTTCGCTTGTGCCGTCGCATCGCTGTTATTTTGCCCTTCCTTGATGAGCCGGGCCTCGGTTGTCGACTCGATGTACTCGAGCTTTGCCTTCCAGTCTGGAGATGCAATGTTTGGGTAGGGCAGTCCAACGACCATGACGCAGCGTCCCAGCCGGTCTGAAAAGTTGATGCCTTCGGACATTTTGCCGCCAACAACACTCAGGAGTAAAGCTCCGGTGTGCTTGTCCCCGGCCGGCCTAGTCCCCAGGATCGCTTCGGAATAATTCCGTAACACATCTTCGCTAGTTTCAGTTTTGCTGTCTCTGAAAACGAACTTTCGCGCCTGCAATCGATCCCACGTGCTTTGAGAGCTTCCGCCCTGGCGTTGCTGCCACACGGCCATTATCTCGTCGAGGTAGCCATAGCTTGGGAAGAAAACAACCACTCCGTCGGGGACAATATTGCAAACGTTCAAGATTGCCAAGCCCAATTGAATCATCATTTCCTTGTTTCCTCGCTGCTTGAAACTAAACTCGAACGGCGGTGATTCGGGATTGCTCGAAGCAAGGGTCCAGACACAAAGGTTTTCTGGCGGAATAACATGTCCGCAGCTTAATGATGTTACCTTGTCGGCATCCAGAGTGGGAAACAGCTGATCCTTGTAGTCTTGAAACGGCGACATGGTTCCACCGGCCAAGATTACAGCACGAGCGCTCGAAACGATTGACGAGAAAGCGTGAGTGGGCGAGAGAAGCAGATAAGTCAGCTTCACATCTGCAGTGGTCCCGTTAATCTTCTGGTAAAAGATGCGGCCCTCAGAGCCAAGGTTTGTAAGAGCGATCAGGAAGGAAACAAGAATATGCAGGACGGGCGTTCCGGCTTTTGAGAGTCCGGGCTTCTTGTTTTCGTCTCCGTTCTCTACGTGAGCAACATAGCTCTCGATCTTGTAAGCCAGCTTGGATTCTTGTATATACTGAATTAATTCGTAAATGTTGATCTGGTCTATGCCTTTGTGCCTCGTCAGATCGTTTGGATCGACGATTCCATGTTCGTTCTAGATGACTGTTAGCTGGGCAGGCAGGCAATAGTGATCCCGCTCTGCAACCATACCTTGAGCTTCAACGCCCCTTCAAGCCATTCGGATAGCCCGTCAATAACCCTTCCCACTCTTCCGACATTTACTCGATTTATGCCCTTTAATTTTTTGCCGAATCGTTTGACATAGACGCCAAGCATCTGGCGACCTCTGCGAAGATCGCTCAGCTGCAGCTCTGCGGCATGCACATTCGATATCGCATCAAGGATATTATGCGCCTCGTCAATTATGACCACGTTACCCTCAAGCTTAATGCCCAGAGCCTCACGAGCACTCCGCTGCAGCAGAAGCGGATATGGCAATGTGATGATTTCGGCCCCAGGCAGGGCCACGCGAGAGGCGTAGTAAGGGCATACCGACAGGGATTTTCCCAGTAGATGAAGATCTTCGATATCCGGGAGCGTTGCCAAAGCGGAATCTCGAAACTGGTGGGTTTGGCTAAGAAGCTCTTCCTTGGGCACGAACGAGCATTTGCTGCTAGATTTCGCCTGTTGGAGTTCCGTGCAGCGGTCATTGATGGCCTGAACCGACCCCAGACGGGCAACGGACGGGTTGATGCAGAGTTTTTGTCGTGATGATAATGGCAGAAGCTTCACAGGTTCCGTCGAGGAGATATCTGACCCCTTGGCAACAGACGGTGGCAGCGAGGGCGGAAACACGGGGCGGCGCAATTCCGCGATGAATTGCGACAGTTGAGAATGAGTTCTAGATGTATAGTAGATCTATTCCTTATGGTTACTAATGTCAGAGGTAGAATCTCTCTCGATACTCGTACCTTGATTTTCTCTTCCAGAATATCTTCATCCTCTGTTTGCTTCGTACGTCCTCCTAGACCAATCTTTTCAAGAATCTCTCGCGACTCTTTACTTAGACCAGATAGAGCATCATCTTGGCGCGTGTCGTCATCACCAGCGTCCAAAAGCCATTCGGCGTCTTCGTCAGCCGTGGTTTCAACGGCGCTCGAAACGTCTTCCACGCGGCGTCGCTTTCGGCTTCGTTCCTCCTGGATTCTTTCTTTAAGTCTAAAGGTAGCAAGACGCTTTTCCCTATCTTCCCATTGTCTCAACAGTTCCTCTCTTTTACGGGATAAGAGTTTCTCGACAAGCCAGGCCGGCTCGTCTTTGTACGACTCCCCTGCCACCTGCAGTTCTGCCTCCTGCCTGGTAGCTTTGTGGTTTCGAAGCCATGTTAACGATGCGCATATGAGCGAGAGAGATTTACCCTGAGATGGCAATCAGTGCGTGTCCCCTGAGCTCATGGACGATCAACCGCGAGACGACAACACTCCTCTACCCAAAAGCCAGCTGAACGATTGAACTGCCCCAAGGGATGAATTCACCTACAGTTCCAGTTGGGCTCTCCAGGATTCCCACTTGTCCTTGTCCCGTTTCCAGAACTTGATACACTGTTTGCATGAACTGGTTTTGCACATCATACGGCGTGAATGGGTGGTGAAAGTCAAGGCTCGACAGCTCGTGAGCGATACTGTCGACTTCTGCTGTCAAGGCCATTTTGGCACTTTTATCATTTTGCCTTTCTCCCTTGTCACATGTCTTGGCCGTCCAATCCGTCCAATAACACGAATGACATCTCAGAAACTGAATGTACTCTGCCCGGCAGAATGAAACGCGTATACGAATGGCGTCGCGGGCGGTGTGGATTATTAGTACATTGCAAGTTGAGTTGAAACTGCCAATCGCGCCGAATCGCACTTGCTTGAAAGAAAGCCCCGCATTAACGATGCCGCTTTGATCACGGCGGTGGCACGAAACCACGTGGACCCGCAGCACGTGATTGCAAATAATTCGGTGCGAGCGAACAATCACAATTGGGCTTAGGGCTGTGCTGCCCTCTCGCCTAACAAATTTCCGGGGGTGCCAAAGCCGCCGGCCGCAAAAACATCACCACCCACTTCCAGTCCTTCGACGCAACACATTGGAGAAGCGACAACACCACAACCGTCGCCATGCCTACCCGAACTTCGAAGACCCGCAAGCAGTACGTTTATGAGCCCGTTGGATGATGCTTCTCGACTCGCCGAAAAACGAGGGCACCGCCGTCCGGTTGACCTCTGGAAAGGCGCATGTTGAAGATGATTTCACCAGTTGCGACGGAAGGCTAACAAATTGCTTCGCTCTACAGCCGCGGTAACGTCTCCCATGGAAAGGGTCGTGTAGGAAAGCACCGCAAGCATCCCGGTGGTCGTGGTCTGGCCGGTGGTCAGCACCACCACCGTACCAACATGGACAAGGTTCGAAACGACTTGATGAAATAAACGAGAGAGCGCCGGGCAAAATTGACTGACCATTACGATAGTACCACCCCGGTTACTTCGGTAAGGTTGGTATGCGATACTTCCACAAGCAGCAGAGCCACTTCTGGAAGCCCGTCATCAACCTGGACAAGGTACATTTCAACTCTTTTTTTCTCCTGCAACGAATACTTTGGGGGGTCGTCTTAGCGGGTTGTGATGGGAAGACGAGGAGATCAGAACGACCCTCCAAAATTATTCGAAGCGAAATTATTGGGCCAACGAGCAATTGACTAACGAGAGAAAATTTATAGCTGTGGTCACTCGTCCCCGTCGAGACCCGTGAGGCCTACGTCTCCGGCGAGAAGAAGGACACCGTCCCCGTTCTCGATCTCCTCCCCCTCGGCTACTCCAAGCTGCTCGGCAAGGGCCGCCTCCCCGAAATCCCCCTGGTTGTCCGCGCACGATGGGTCAGCAAGCTCGCTGAGCAGAAGATCAAGGAGGCTGGTGGTGTTGTTGAGCTGGTGGCGTAAATGCATTAACACTGTGCTGGAGTAAGGCTTGTGGATTTGGAACCGGTTTTTCACGGTGGAAAATAGATCCTCGCCCCCTGTATACCGAGACAAGGTCTTTTTGGGGAAGGGATTGGGTTGTTCGGCTACGAGCATTGCATCAGGGACTCTATAACGGAGTTTTTTAACGAATGAAAAATCAAAATTCGCCCAATGTCTCGACACTCGGCTTCTGTGCAAAACGGGATAGAACTGGTGCTGGCATCATGATGTCGTTGGAGGGATGATATCACAGTGCATGCACATATGTTGGAGGGCAAAGGGGGGGTATACAACTATGAATCTGGATTCCAGATTCGGCCATTGTCTAGCTCGCAGAGTTGATGTAGTAATGCTCCAAAAAGAAAAAAACGCCGTTAACAGTACCCATGATAGCATACATGATTGAGTACATGTTTTGACCCATCCATCTATCTAGTTTCCCTTATTCGTTTCATCAATCATGGCATGTCCAATGAGATATGCTTTACTCTCGTCAGTATAGTATTATGCTAATCCTCCCAGCCCTTTTCATGCCGGCAGCATGTCGACCTCGTCTTCGTCGGCAGTTTCTTGTGATGACATGCCCATATTCAAAAATCCATGGTCCAGAGCCTCTTGCGCCGTGATGCGCCGGCTCGGGTCTAACTCCATACACCGTTCCAGGAACCGAATGGCCAGCTTCTCATCGGGAGTCAGCGGTTTGTCCTCTGCCCTGCACGTGCTCCACAGGATAATCTTCTCCATAGTGAAGCCCTGTTGGCCAATTGTGGGTATCGTCGTTTCAAAGACGCAGCCGTGCAGTAGTCCGGCCGCCTTCATTCGCTTGGACCCGAATATCGTTGCAATCTCAATCATTGCCTCGACGTCATCGGCCGAGTTGAAGAAGGGAAACCGCTTCGACAGTATGGTAAGGAGAATGACGCCAGCAGACCAGATGTCAATGGCCGTGGTTTGTTCCGTGCATTTGAAGAGTACTTCTGGGGCGCGGAATCCTCGAGTTCCTGCACGATTGGCACGACGGGAGGGGCGTGTGTCTGATTTGGGGTAGCCCGGCTGGGTATTCATGGAAGTTTGCGCCCAGACGGAGCCGGCCTGTCGATGCTTCCGCGTTTCTCGTGCTTCGTGGCAGAGACATGGCTTGCTATCGGTGCCTTCTCGCTCAGCCAAGCCAAAGTCCACAAGCACGCCATGTTGGCTTGTAGGGTCGTAGAGGAAGTTGGTAGGCTTGATATCTCGATGTAGTATCTTGTGCTCGTGTACGCTCTTGAGAGCAGTGAAGAGGGATCGAAGATAGATGGCGATGTCGGGGATCGTCATCTCCCTGAAATATGCTCGAAAGTCGCCGTGCCGGAAATAAGGCAGAATGGCAACGACCTGGTCGGTATGGCGGAACGCGGTGATGAGAGGGCAGACAGATGGACACTGTCGTAAGTCGTGTAGCAGCTCAAGCTCGTTGAGGATTCGGGCAGGACTGGATGTGACGTAGATCTTCTTGATGGCAACGAAACGCGCTCGTTTCCGTGGGGACCGTGATCGACTCGAGCGTCCCTTGAGGGGAGGGGGAGTCCATTTGGACAAGTCATCTTCATGATCCCAGCTGTTGTCATATCGGTCGTAGTGGATGTCTTCAGCCTTGAAGACGGTAGAAAATGTGCCTAACAACCATAAGCATTGAGCCGGCCACGGAGACTCTCGTGACGTAGCCAATTGACAAACCTTCTCCGATACGCTTGATCAGCCGATACCGATCTCGAAATCCGGGGAAGTCCTCCTGCAGCCTCTCCATGTCTGCTTGGACACTGCTTTCGACCTGCTCCTCGTCGGAGCTCTCTTCTTCCTCTTCTTCTGCCTCCTCCTCCACCTCTGGCTCGCCAACTGTTGTGGCATCCTGGCCGTCTACGTCATCCTCGTCCACCATGACCTCTGTTTCTTCTGTTCGCGCATCTTCGTGAATGTCAAAAGTCTCCTCCACTGGCCGGAGCATTGCTGTCGCCATGGCCGCCGGCTTCCCTCCAGAGAATTGGAGGTTGGGACAAGGCAATGTGTATTTCAGCTAAAGAGCAATGCGTCCAGCTCAGCCTGATGGAATGCGAAGATGCAATTGAGTTTCACTTGACCGCTGCTCAGCAAAAAAAGAGATCACGAGCTGGTATTTAACATCAGAGGCATGCAGCGAATCAATGCAGGTCCCGAAGAAGTTCTCTAGGGCAGTGTGGAGGGGCCTTTTGGTGGCTTCGGGCAGCTACAGCGAGTGCTCAGTGGCTGGAAACGCGCCCGTTAGCGCATGGCGGGGCGCTTGGGCAAGCTGTCGCGTCTGAAGAAAATAAACACAATGGTTGCCAGGTCCCGAAGATCCATCCCCGCCATTTGCCGCACAAACATCCATCAGTCGCAGCTAAGCGGTCGTGACGGGACGCAAACGACGACGCAGGCGCATCGCTTCGACGCTGGTCGGCTGAGCAACAACTAAATCGAACTCTCCAGCAGCGGAATCTCCAGGGCCTCATCTTCTGTCCGTCTCGATACTCGGCTTAACCCCCCCGCCAGTCCGGCGCGCAAACCGCCCATCATGGGGACCATTACCTTCGATATCAACGATGCGCTCAAGCACTACATGTCAGATCCCGCCACGATTCCCACGCCGGAAGCAGATGCCGCTCTTTTCGATTGCGAGAACGATCCGGAGGCGCTTACCAACCAGGTGATCAATCCTGTGTTGAATCCCATCATCGACGCGGTTGCCGATAACCCAGATGCCATCCTGCGGGCTGTCAACATCGATTCATTACAATTTCTGCTCAAGTACGATTGCCAGGACAATCCCTTATCAAATATGCCGGAGGAGATCGATGGGGGAGAAGATGAAAAAAGACAAAGTAGAAAGCAGTGGCTAACCAGCGGTTGAACGAGATAGATATACCCCCTATATACCAGCTCACATCCTAAGCAAGGTGTTCGACTTGGTAATGAGTGGTCTGAGTGCAGAGGCGGATGCGGTGCACAACGACATCGAATCGCCAGAAGAGCAAGAATCCGTGGCGCATCACAAGCAACTACTCGAGTTATACGGATTCCTCATTCAGTGGACCATTGCCGCCGTTGAAACCAAAGCAGCCGAAAAGTCGTCTGCAGCGCCAGTCGCGAGAGGGCGAGGGAAGCCGAAGAAGGCATCACAAAGAGAAGACGCCTGGGATTCAGCATCGCAGCTTCAGGTCGCACTTGAAATTATGTGCAAAACTCTCAAATTGAAATTGTCCAAAATATTCATGACAACGAGCGAGAGGGATACCTTCGTCGGTCTGCTCACCCGACCGGTCTACATGATTCTGGAAAATGAGCAACGCGTCAAGACAACAACCATCAGGATGCACTGCTTCAAAGTGTTGTGCATAGCCGTCAAGCATCACGGCCATGGCTACGGTGGGTTTTTTCTAACCTCACCAAGGAACTTTGCGCAACACTACTGACACTGCAACAGCCGCGCAAGTCAACATCATCCAGAACTTGACGTACTTTGAGCATTTGTCCGAACCAATGGCAGAGTTCCTTCACATCTTGGCCGAAACTTACGACTATCCACAACTAACCGACGAAGTCTTGCGCGAGATCAGTAACAAGGAATTCAACGCCAACGATACTAGAGGACCAAAGTCGGTTTCTGCATTTATCGCCAAGTTATCGGAGCTCGCTCCAAGGCTGGTGATTAAGCAGATGACAATGCTGGCTAAGCAGCTAGACAGCGAGGTAACTACACCCTGCAGCTCGTCAGCAACCAGAGCGAATGACGGCTAACCCTCTTCTAGTCATATACTCTGCGATGCTCTTTGATCGAGGTGTGCGGCAACATGATTGCTTACCTGAGCAGGCAAGACGAGCGAAGCGATAATCACAAGTCCCAGCTTAATGCCTTCTTTGACGTCCTTGAGGAGCGTTTCCTCGACATCAACCCATACGCAAGATGCCGTACCCTCCAGGTATACGTGAGGCTTTGCGAGCTCGAGCAAAAGTTTCCCAAGCGGCGACAAAAGGCTGCCGAGCTTGCCTGCAGAAGTCTTGAAGACAAGAGCAGCAATGTGAGGCGCAACGCGATTAAGCTCTTGGGCACCCTTATCAAGACTCACCCATTCACTGTCATGCACGGCGCCCAGCTCTCGCGAAAGGAGTGGCAAGCTCGCTACGACAAGGTGGAAGAAGAGCTCAATGCGCTGAAGCCTCCTCCCGACATTGCTGGCTTGGCAGATGCTACAGTCGACAACAGCCTTCTCGATGAGGCCACTCAAATAGCGTCGCCAGAAAAGCCCCGGGAAATGACGGATCAGGAGAAGTTTGAGGCGGTCCAAAAGGCACGAGAGGAAGCGGCTACGAGTGAGGCGATTGAAAAGCTCACTCTCACTAAACGGTATTACAACGAAGCCATCAAATTCATTGACGTCTTGCACCATGCAACTGAGATCATCTGCCAGCTTCTTGGGTCTCGGAACAAGAGCGAGGTCATCGAAGCCATTGATTATTTCGAAATCGGCGACGCCTACAACATTGAACAGAACAAGGTCGGTATTCGCCGTATGCTACGATTGATCTGGACCAAGGGCAACAGCGACGAGGGCAAGGGCGTGCAAACACATCTCATCGAGTGCTACAAGCGACTGTTCTTCGAAGCGCCAGATTCGTTCAGCCCGAACGATGCGGCCAACTACATTGCGCGCAACATGATCAGCTTGACGTTTGGGGCTACCCCTGCTGAACTTACTTCACTGGAGCAGCTGCTTGCCACCATGATGAAGAGTGGCGCCATTCACGAAATCGTTGTCGCCAAGCTGTGGCAGGTGTACGGCGTCCAGAAACGAGAAATCTCCAAGACTCAGAGACGAGGTGCCATCATCGTGCTGGGGATGCTTGCAACCGCCATCCCTGAGATCGCTGTTGGCGAGATCGAAACCATGCTCCGGACCGGCCTGGGAGCCCATGGGCGGAACGACTTGCAGCTGGCAAAGTATACCTGCATTGCCCTAAGACGGATCAATCCCACAGGAAGGCAGGCCAAGGAATCAAGCTCCAAGTTCGCGCGACTTTCAAATGACCATGCGGTCTGCTCGAGGCTAGCAGCCATAACCGACATACCCTCGGACACCAAAGAATGGTACGGTGTTGCGGAACAGGCCATCAACGCAATTTACGCTCTCTCTAAGCATCCAGATATTCTTTGCTCAGCTATAATCCGGCGAAAGGCCAAGGAGGTTTTTAGCCGTCCTAGTTCAAGACCAACGTCGCGGGATGAAAACATGACACCACCGGACATGGTAGACCTGACCTCTGAGACCCCTGTGCCGGCATCATCACCGCCGAAGACTGCGAAGCGCGATAATGCCATTGCCCTTTCTCAGCTTCTCTTCATTGTCGGCCACGTGGCTATCAAACAAATTGTACATCTCGAGCTCTGCGAATTGGATTTCAAGCGCAGAAAGCAGGAGAAGGAGAAGGAGAAGCCTGCCAAGGCGGACAAGGACAAGGAGGACGCAGACGAGCTGGATCTCATCGGCGGCACCACTGAGGATGATTTCACAGAGGCCATGACGCACATCCGGGAGCGCGAGCTTCTCTACGGGCCGACTTCGCTGCTTGCAACGTTTGGGCCCCTTGTGTCGGAGATTTGTGCAAACAACACCACATATGCAGACAAGGGGCTACAGGCAGCGGCCACGTTGTGCCTTGCAAAGCTCATGTGCGTGTCGTCTGAGTACTGCGAGACAAACCTCCCACTTCTCATCACAATCATGGAGCGATCCCCCGATGCCACGGTCCGATCAAATGCCGTCATTGCGCTAGGTGACATGGCCGTCTGCTTCAACCATCTGATAGACGAAAACACAGACTTTTTGTATAGACGACTCGCAGATACGGACGTGTCAGTGAAGCGAACCTGCTTAATGACGCTGACATTCTTGATTTTGGCCGGTCAGGTCAAGGTCAAGGGGCAGCTGGGCGAGATGGCCAAATGCATGGAGGATGAGGACAGGCGAATTGCTGACCTCGCAAAAATGTTCTTTACGGAGCTCAGCACCAAGGATAACGCGGTCTACAACCACTTTGTGGACATGTTTAGTTTACTCAGCGCCGGCAACATGGAGGAGGAGAGCTTCAAGCGTATCATCCGCTTCCTCCTTGGGTTTGTTGAAAAGGTAAGGACGCTTTCCCCCAGTGAAAGCCATGTTTGCATCTACCAGAAAACTAACGGCGTGCGCAGGACAAACACGCCAAGCAGCTATCGGAGAAGCTCGCTGCCAGGCTCGCCCGCTGCGAGACGGAGCGGCAATGGAATGACGTCGCGTTTGCCTTGGGCTTGCTGCAACACAAGAACGAGGAGATTACAAAATTGGTTTCGGAGGGTTTCAAGGTGGTGCGAGCTGCCGCTTGAGCGAGGTGTGACAAGAGCGGCCATTATAAGAACGGAGGCGTAGATTGTTTCATACCGAAAGGGCGGGATTTATTTGTTTGTTTATTTAGAGGGGCAGCATCATTTGCCTATGAGTTGTATGAATGCAATGCGATTATGATGTCTACTAAGAAGCATATTCACCGAGAGTTGAGACCTTTTGCCATTGTTGTTGACTTTTACACACCGAAGTTCTAGATTGGGGTGAGGTGAACGAGACCCGCAGTTTCATTTGTTTTTTCTAGGGTAGGCGGCAGCTCATTGAGAAGCCTCATCCAATAATGGTTAATGGTGATGGTAACGTCTCGTTGAATATCTATCCTGAAGTAAAGATCACTAATTAAATCAAAATCCGCATCTTGTAGCCCATCCATTCAGCATTTGTATGTACTTTAATACAATATGGGCTGAACCACCTACTAAATAGAGAACCAACGACAAATGTCTGGGGTGTTTTCTTCTTCGGCTCTCGGAACTTACCGCGGTGTCTCTCGCTCCGCATCGCCACCTTATCCCAACCTGGCTTAGCGCGCTGTCCGGCACAAAAGTCATGGCACAGAAATCGAAAGACAAACTGCACCACGTGACCCAGCCTGTCTAACCCGGAACGGCAACAAGCGGGTTGGCGGGGCGCGTGCTCCCAGGCAGGTACCTTTGTACCTCCCAGCGGCAGTTCAAGTATTTCAGCTTGCTCAATTGAAGGACGTTTGCGGGCAGCTGCGTCACGTCACCCTCAGCATTATTTTCTTGATCTTTTTGAAGAAACTGACCAAACAAGCGGCCGCTCACCAACCGAGCAGAAAACAAATCCAGCATCTCTTACGACGTCATCCTTTGAGCATCTTTTGCGACGCAGCATCTTTATCTATATTGCCGGCGTTCCCACTGCCAGCTGTTCTGTTTGTTCCGCCATCCATCCAGCATCTACACCGGACCTCGTTTCTGCCCCCAAAACCAAAGCTCAGCAGCCTCGTTTGCGAGGGCCATGGGCTCGGCTACCGTCGCTGTCGCTACCAGGATTGCGCACAGGGAAGCCTTTTAAGGACCGTTTTGGAACAAGCAATTGAGGCCTCAATTGCTGTCGCGGTTGTCCGTCGCCGCCGATCGCGCTAGTCGGGAGCTCGAGGAGCTTAGCTCTCTGCCTCGGAGCTTGCAAAAAAGGAGACACGACACGCGCAAAGCACGGGAACATCGAAGCGCGCAGCCATCATGTACGACAAGGTGGTCTCTCTGGGCTCGCGCCTGCACTACCCCATCACCATCACCAAGCTGCTCAAGGCGTCGGGCGATTCCGTCAAGAAGCAGGAGACAATCATGGAGTACAAGTTCACCTGGCGACGCAAGATTGGCGACGATGAATGGGTCGACGAGACCACGTATACCGAGTTCGACAGCCCTGCCGAGGGCACTCTGAAAGAATGGCGCATCAAGGAGGGGCAGACGATTGCCGCCGACATGCCGTGCATGATGGTCGAGGAAGCCTGCGGACACGAGGTGCAAATTCAGGGCCTGTGTAGTGTCTGCGGCGCTGACATGACCGAGGTCAACTGGGCCACCGAGGAACGAGACACCGACCGGGCCATGATCAACATGACGCATGACCAGACCGGCCTGATGGTGAGCAAAAACGTTGCGAAAAGGGCCGAGCACGACACACAGAAGCGCCTGCTGCGCCAGCGGAAGCTCAGTCTGGTGGTCGACTTGGACCAGACCATTATCCATGCGTGCATAGAGCCAACTATTGGAGAGTGGCAGCGTGATCCGACAAACCCCAACCACGAGGCCGTCAAGGATGTCAAGAGCTTCCAGCTCAACGATGACGGCCCCAGAGGTTTGGCCAGCGGCTGTACCTACTACATCAAGCTACGGCCGGGCCTCCAGGAGTTTCTCGAAGCTATTTCTACCAAGTACGAACTGCACGTGTATACCATGGGAACCCGCGCGTACGCTCTCAACATTGCGCGGATCGTCGACCCGGACAGGAAGCTCTTTGGCAATCGCGTCATCAGCCGTGACGAGAACGGAAGCATTACGGCAAAGAGTTTGCAGAGACTGTTCCCCGTCAGCACGGACATGGTCGTCATCATTGACGATCGCGCGGATGTCTGGCCCATGAACCGGCCAAACCTGATCAAGGTCGTGCCGTATGATTTCTTCAAGGGAATTGGAGATATCAACTCGAGTTTCTTGCCCAAGCGACAAGATATTCTACCTGCTCCTGGAAAGTTGAACGGCGTAGTTCCCAACCCCAGTGCCGAAAACGCTCCGAGCGAAAAGGCCTCACCACTCGATGAGCTAGCTCGGATGGGTGGCGACGAGGCCAGCTTAAAGGTTCAGACGGAGGAGCAGGAGAAGACACTAGAGAAGCAACTGACTGATCGCCCATTGCTGCACATGCAGGAGGAGTTGGACAAGGAGGACGGGCGACAAGACTCCGGAGGTGGGGCATCTTCGACCTTTCACCACAGACAGCATCTATTAAGCGACGATGACGAGGAGCTTGTTACCTTGCAAGATCATCTTACGGACCTCCACGCTGCTTTTTACGACATGTACGATAGGAAACGGGAAGAGAGGAAAAAATCAGAGCCCACCCACCCGCCTGGGCATACCAAAGCGCGGAGAAAATCCCATCCTGACGACGGCGTGGATCTGTCCTTTGTTCCTCCCGTGGGAGATATTCTGGACGAGCTTAAATCCAGCGTTCTTTCGGGCCTCGTCATATGTCTATCTGGTCTTGTGCCGCTGGGGGTGAATATTGAGGAGTCTGAAATTGGAATGCATGCACAAAGCTTTGGAGCCCAGGTCGTGGATAGCGTCTCTCCCCGGGTCACACACCTTGTAGTTTCTCTGGCGCGACCGAGGACCAAGAAGGTGCAGCAAGCGGCAAAGATTCCCAGTATCAAGATTGTAAACCAGAGTTGGCTGGCGGATTGTCTCAGCCAATGGCGGAGGCTAGACGAAAGCCCATACTACATGGCCATTCTTGATGCCGACCGTGAGAGGTCAGAGGACACTGCAGAAACCAGTGCGGCCGAGCTGGAAGACGCTGGCGTCTCCATCAACATGGGGGATTTCGATGAAGAACTTAAAGAGTTTTTGGGTCTAGATGACGACGAGGACGACGAGGACGAAGACGAGGGAGATGAAGAAGCGGACGAGGACGAAGATGGAGGGAATGATAGCGAAACAACGGACGGCGAGGGGGACGAGACCGATGACCCAGGAAGAAGAGGCACAAAACGCAAGACCAGAGCATCTACCATTGAGTCTGACGGAGACGGATCAAGCGTGATTGGAGAGAGTGCGCTGGCAAAGAAGCAGCGGGTGTCCCGGAGTAGAGGAGCCTCCGCATTGCGAGCCGTACAGACGCCAAATGGTGAAAGCGATGAACCTGCGCCTCGAAGCACCGAAATCGACAATTTCGACGAGCTAGAGCGGGAGCTGCTGGCGGGGCTTGAGGCGGCTGGCGATTAGAAGTTGTGGTTGAAGTTGAAGCCGGAGCCGAAGGCGATTCCCAGACGCAGACGCAACCTGGCTTTGGATTTCATGTCGTTTTAAAAAAGAGAAAACATCTGGCCGGCGCTTTTTTGTGTTAGAGTAGGATTGGGAAATCTGGGTCAAGGTGTTTTTTTTTGTTTCTTGCTTCAGCTTTTGTTTTCGGGGTTTTTTCTTCTTCTTCTAGTAGTTTCTTGCTTGTTCGTATTTTCGAATACCCATTCTTTGGCCGGAAGAGGGAAAGCAATTGAGCATTTTTTTTTTTTCATATGAATGACTTGATTCTTTGACTTGTGTGAAGTGATGCCTGATTTCGCAATGTGATGGTAAGGTGTTGACACGGAGATGTAAAAGAGGGCTATGCTACCAAAGAATGGATATTGCTCTTACGACCGAGGTTAGGTTCTTTATAAGGAATCCTTTATGCAGCAACTTCTTCACGTTTCATTCTCTTAGTCTAAATCGAAACGGCCGGCCCCAGCGGAGGTGCAATCTCGAAATTTATCCCGCATTAACAGAAACTGCAGCGACATTCACCCAACAGGGATAACATCTGCTAGCACTGCTCCGGCCGGCAAGGGAATCCCTCCGGAGACCCACCAGGTCCTATCCCCCGTGTATTGACGAGGCTCGCGATATTGGAAAAAGGAGCAGAATCAGGAAAGTCGTTGCCGCGGTGGAGGGTTTATGCGCATGGTTGATGGGGAGATTGAATGTGCCGGTGAGTGGAAGGGGGACGGTGAAGTGTATATAAGGAGAAGCTCGAGATGTGAAGAACTTGTTTACTCAAAGAACCGGGTTATTGTACTCTTCATCTTTGTTAATTTGTTGTTTATAAATAATTTGTAGGGAATTTAAAGGCTGATATTGCACAATGGGCCTTGGATTCAATCCAGACACTGACGTGCCCAACCTTTCGGGCAAAGTCATTCTCATCACTGGAGGTAAAAGTCCCCCCCTTGTCGAGCCCGATGAACAAGAACTGACGACAAGAAACCAAAATAGGCACAAGCGGTATTGGCAAAACCACCATCCTGGAGCTCTCAAAGCACAACCCCGAACACATCTACTTCACCGGCCGCAACGAAAAGTCCGCCGCACAAGTCATATCGCAGTGTGCCACCCCTTCCAACATCACGTTCCTCCCCTGCGAGCTCGGCAACCTCGCCAGCATCCGCGACGCCGCAGCAAAGTTCCACCACAACCGCCTGGACGTCTTCATCGCCAACGCAGGGATCCTCGCCGTCCCGCCCGGCCTCACAAAAGATGGCTATGAAATCCAGTTCGGAACCAACCACGTTGGCAACACGGCGCTGCTGCTCCGTCTTCTGCCCATCATGTTGCGAACGGCCAAGGAAGTTCCCGACGCAGACGTGCGGTACGTGACGGTGACTTCGCTGGGCTACTACACGCGCCCGCTCAACGGGATCGACTTTGACGGCCTGAAATCCAAGCAGGACAATCTGCTGCTGGGCAAGTGGGCGCGCTACGGCCAGAGCAAGCTGGCGAACCTGCTGCTGGCGCGGGAGCTGGGCAAGCGGTATCCGCAGATCACGAGCGTGGCTGTTCACCCGGGTGTGGTCAAGACGGAGATGATTACGGGGTTAGGCTTGTTTGACAGGATACTCATCTTTTTCAATGCTCCGCTGGGAATGCTGACGCCTCGTGAGGGAGCGTATAACACGCTGTGGGCGGCGACGTCTGGGGATGTCAGAAGCAAGATGAACGACAAGACGGCCCTTTTTGAACCAGTTGGAGTACCGCATAGCGGGGATGCAAAGTGTCGTAGTGATGAGCTGGCCAAGAGGTTGTGGGAGTGGACGGTGAAGGAGGTTGGTGTTGAAATCGAGTGATATGGGGGCTGTTATAATATTGTCCACTTGGTGGCAATTTTGGCGTCAAGACCATCTGTAACATTAGCTATAATTTGTGTTTCATCTCTTTTCTTTCATGAAATAGATGGATGGTGAGCGGTTCTGGATGGGTGAGTGTAGCATCGTGGCACAAACGAGACCAACAAGACATTCGCCACGCCTTTTCGTGATTCGGATTTTTCTTCTCATTCTTGTTCACAGAGTCGAGCCAACGACAAGTGGCACACACTCATAGTGGTATATATACAAAATTCCAATTCGTCCATCCTTGTGTCCTTAGTCTATTTATTTCGAAGGAGCTGGGGATACGGCAAATGTTGGTCGCACGAATCTGTATGCTACTTGTTAGCAAACCCTCGACAAATCTTGACCTGATAGTATTGTAAAAGACGCACCTGTCGCTGTTGTAGACCTTTGTGTTCTCGCCCAACAGCTCCTTCTCGCGCTTCTGGTCGGCCCAGTATCGTCGCACCTGGTCACGATCCTCTTCGGCCTGCAGGAGGGGAATCAGGTGGATTCGCGCCCACATCTTTTCCCGAGCAAGCTCACTAAGGGGGCCAGTGTCAGTCTGCGAGCTCTTTTGTTGCTTTTAGGAGTAGCAACCGCTGCATTGAGTGATATGATGAGGGGAGAGAGAGACATACTTGGCCTCTCGAATACCGCCAACCAGCTTGTACCAGCCATAGCCCATGACGGCGCCCATGCCAAGCAGGAGAATTCCAGGTCGGAAGCCCTTGGCGGGGAGGTTTCGCTAAGTAGAAACGTTAGCCTTTCCCATTGTCTGGCTTGATCAAGATGTCAAGCCATATATCTCTCGCGATTGATACAGCCTTGCGACTCCCCCAATGCGGATTCGCACACCCAGTCCTGCACTGAGGAAGATGACGAAAGCAACAGAAGTCGATTGCCACTACCGGCAGAATCCCTGGAGCAACGCACCTTGTACTGGACGGGCTCGTACCCGCCCCGAGGGGGCATATCTTGGGCCATGATGGACGGTTTGCTGCGGTCGAGCCGGGACGGAGACTGGGTCAATCGCGGTGTGCGCTGAGTAATCGGAGAGTCGCCTCGTCAATCGAGATTGAGGCCGGTCGGGATACCGCTGCTGCACGCCGTTTGCAGGGGAGGTTCGAAGTCGTCTGGCGAAGCTATGGTGAGGGCTGTTTTCCGTGAGAGCCTCCTCAAAGGTTTGACGGCGGATTACATAATGCCGTTTTTTTGGTTTTGGTGGGGCACAGCTTCATTGTCCATGGCAAGAGGGAAGGAAGTCTGGCTGCCACTGCCACTTGCCTGCTTAGCAGCACACAGTGCATCAGCTACAATTTTCCAATGTATCGAACGTTGTATCATCACCCGCCAAAAAAAAAAACTATACAGTTAATTCCTTCCGAGTCTTTGGCCGCGAAATAGCCACGAGTGGTTACTAAGCCGGGCTGTCCTTTCAAAATGGATTGATTACCGTCGTTTCTCTTCGTCGGAGAGGCGGCAGAAGAATCACCTACCAGGCATTACGGTGAATATATTGGATACCAAGTCGCCTTAGAATCGACTCTCAGCTGCGCGGAAGATCTTGCTCGGAAGAACTGAGGCCACATCAGGCAGACCAGCAATTGCACATTCCGATTTCCCTACCTTATGATGTTGTTCTTTGGCGGCCGACACTCAAGACACCGCAGGCCAGACACCGCCTGTAACACCGCGCATCCCAACTGACCACTACAATCGCCTTGTCGTGAGCTTCGTCCACGTACGACTGAGATCGATGCTGAAAGTCGGCAAGTTTCTCAACTCTCACGGAGGCAGATCATCTCGAGATGCACAATGACGAATATGCAGAAAAAGGGAGAGGAGGGTCTTTATTCAATCTACCTTCTCTAAAGACCACCGCTACTTACCGGACCTTGCCCGTCTTCATCTTCATCCTCATGTTCACCTTGTCTCCAGACGTCTCCTTTGGTATTTGACGAGCCTGCTTATAAAAGCCGAAGAATTCTTTGCAGCCGACTCTTCGGAATGGCTCTTAGATGCCATTTGAATGCCTGTGATTTCTTCCTCTGGGTCGACAAAGCTTGCAAAGAAGGATGGCCACTCCGAATTGACTTGGTATGAACTACCTATTAGTACCTAGTAGTTCGGCTCCTGAGCAAGCCGATATGGCATCGAGGTAGTAGTCTGTCCCTGGTCTTCGTCCACCGGAACATGGCTCGCATCTCGAAGCAATGCGACCACCTCTTCCTCTCCGCTTTCTTGTGCCAAGTTCAGCGCCGTCCGGCCCCTCTTGTCTGTTTCTGTAGTGCTGGCATTGTGGTCAAGCAGAAGCTTGACCATATCTGCATCTCCATTCTGAGCCGCCAGGTGCAGCGGCGTTAAACCAGTCTGATTCTTCAAATCAACATTCGCGTTGAACTCGAGCAGAACTGCCGCGGCAGCCAGAAATCTCTTTTGCACCGCCCAGCAGAGCGGAGTGCCATGAAAGCGACTTTGGTCATTGATCTTGACATTTCCCTTCTTCAAGATGTGTCTGATCGTGTTCGGGTCACCGCCCTCGGCAGCCCAGTGCAATGACGTGCCCGCTTCGTTCGGATCCTTTATGTTAGGATCTGCTCCTGCATCTAGAAGCTTCTTCGCCCGCTTCTCGTCTCCCTGCGATGCGGCTGCGCTCAGCCGTGTCACACCGTAGTCGTCTTTTTTGTTGACCTTTTCCGTGTCACTGATGATGTTATCCTCTCCCCTCACATCCTCCTCTTCAGTCACCAGATCCAATGTACCACCGGCTGGCTTACTGAGGCAATCCACGCAGAAATAAGCCTCCGATTCACCATTGCTCATGCATTGCTTCCTTGCATCTTGGATCAGAGTAGTAATCTTTGGGCGTTCAGCTAAGTCATGCTTGGTCATCTTCTTGCACCAATCGATGGGTGTGGAAAGGTCAGGTCGCGTTGCTTTGACTGTGTCCAGCCATTTGTGCAACTCATCGACTTTGTCCGAATACTGGATGCCCCGACTTTCTCCGTCGACTCCCTTTATTTCCTCGTAAAATTCGGTAATTGTCATACCCGAGAGAACTGCTATGATTTCCGCGAAGACGCAGCCTAGAGAGAACAAATCGGTTTTTACGTCTCTCCTTTCATTGGATATGAAAACCTCGGGAGCAGCGTACATTGGATTGATGAGTCCAGGCAATGTTCGAAAAGTCTCTGCAAGTCCTTTTTCGAACATGTAGGCGCTGCCGAAGTCAGTGAACAAGATCCTGCTTCCATCAATAAGGATATTTTGTGGTTTGATATCCTTATGTCGTATTTTGACACTAAGAAATCCAAGTCCGGAGAGCAGGCACCCAAACGACCGCTTAAGGGCCTTTTCCTTTCGAGGGTTCATATCAGCCTCCAGGTACTCAGAGAGGTTGTGATCGGCCAAAGGACTCAGAATAATGTTCATATCGCCATTATAACTGTACGATCCCACCAACTGAACAACGTGGTGATGAGAGCCCATGTTCGTAAAGGTCTTCAATTCATTCAATGCTGTCTCGGATTTCCCTGCAAGAGATCTCTTTCGTGCATAGCGTATAATTTTTTTCTCTCCGACATGATGCACGCGTTCGACAGGCTCAACAATGGCATATGCCCCCTTTCCAACTGGACCGTTGCATGTATAAAAAGGAGAGAGCATGGGCGATACAACATCCGAGTGTTCTCCCATCTCATAGGGCCAACACAACTTCCGTTGCAAATCATTGAATTTCTCCTGCTCATCCGTGCTGGAAAGGCCTTCTACCTTTCCGAGCGGCACTGGCAGATTTCGGTCATACATTGTCTTATTTCTGTGGTTCGTCTTTAGCCACTCTTTCATAGCAGTTGCGTCTTTGAGGCAGCCCATGATAAGACACATCACCTGCCGAGTGGCAAACGCATCCAGAACAACGCCATTGTCACCATCATCGCCATCGTCACCATATTCGTCTTGATAGTGCTTGTTGAGCTTATCTAAGCAGCTTTTCACATCCCCTGGTAGTACCACGTCTTTTGCAAACAGTTTGGCAATGTCGGAGCTCAATGATGCTTCTTGAGATGTCATCTTATGGTGCTTTAGAAATTCAACAATCCCGGTCAAGCTGAAATGGTTTTCTTTGGACAATCTGGCCGATCCCGGTATTTGTGGCTTCTTTTGAAAGATGCCAATACAAGCGGATACAAGTTCTGAGAATGAAACCATGAAAGACTAAAAGAAGCTTGAGCTTTGCTTAGTAGAAGAGAGGAGATTCTTTGTGAGCGCCGAAGACTTGAGTTGGAAACAAGTGATAACAGTTTGTATGCTCAAATACTCTCTCTATATATACATATATTTCCCCGCTTTCAATCAGTTGTTCGGCGTTCAGGTAGTCGGAATGTTCATGCCGCAAGCAGCATGCTGCAGGAGGCTTTACCGAAAAATCACTGAACGAGGCTGGCGAGGCTGGCGAAACGTTACAAGGAATGATTGCAGCAAGTTGCACTTTTGTTTGCATATAGTAATTGTATACAAGGATAGGTCGTGGCCTATTGGATGGATCAAGAACCAGGTGCATGTTGCAGTTATATCAATACACCACTACAACAACCACGAATTAATGTGTAGGACCAGGCTGGAATGATGCAAGAGCGTGATGGACTCGAGCTGAAATTAGGCTAAATATAGTATTAGAAATACAATATAGGACAATACAATTCAGTCCAATCCAGCACAGAGTAGTATTCAAGTATTACACACTCTTTGAGTTGGTGCCTGTTGCGTATCGATGATCTGGCTGAGATCGTGCACAAACTGGGAAGAAGCCGGGGGCATCTCTATAAACAGATTGTCATTATTGCCTATAATTACCTGGAAGAGCCTTACGAAGATTCCAAGTGCAAGGGTAACTCCTGTCATTCTTACCGTACTGTTACATAACTTATGCTTGTTCTGACTGAATTCATTTTCGATTTATTAGACAGTACTTGTATGACTCAAACTGGTACTTACACCATAACAAACATTTACCAACATGTGAGTACTGAAACTCATCGGTTATCACCTGCAGTGCCATCTCACCATGCATCCCCAGCCTGATTTCTTATGCCGAAGGTAAGGATACGGCTTGGAAGTGATGTGGGGTATTATAATGCAGGTATTGCTGAATACATCCTCAAACAAGGCTCAAGCACCGAAAGAGCGGAGATAACTGGTCGCCTTGTTACAAGCAAACTGTTACCCCGCATAAACCATATTTCATCCGTAGGTAGTCCAGCACGGTCCTGCTGCCATGTCTTGTTTCAGGATAGTAGTGTAGTTGAGAAGCAACATATAGCCTTGAGGATATCGTGGATTTCGTAGAGTAGATGGATGATATATTCATCTCCCCTATGAACAACAAAATACTTCATCAACTTAGCATAACTGAATAACAGCCCAAATATGGGCCGCGCCGAGCCTTGAGTGTTCGCCCATATAGGCTGCCTAAACTGTGAGGCTCTGATTCAGCCGAATGATAACAACCATGTCTAGCCATAAAATTACCACCAACATATAAGGGAGAGGTTTCCGGCTGAGGGATTTCCTCGTCATGTGCCATAAAAAGATTTCAGCTATCTTGGTGGAGAGTTTGTGTGACGGGAACGATAACAATTTAAGACCAAGGGATCAAAAGTCTTGCGCTTCAGCATTATTTGATATAACCCCTCATCCTTCCTCTGGAGCATCGCCTCGTACTATTTTGGTTGGCACGCTTTTCGAACACTCTGAGAACAGTGCAATCTGTAGTATTGCTATGGCAGACGTTATTAATGGATTGTCTCTCACCCGCGAACTTGTCGATGGTTGCATCAAAGGCAAGTGTGTTTTGATTACGCGTTCCGGCGCGCCATGCTGCTGCTCGATTCTTCTAACGCGCCGATCGATGTGAATCGACCAATAGGCTATAATTTCCTAGTAGATATCGTGGAGATGCCAGAGTCTTGTGCAGAAAGAAGGCAAAACCTCATTATCGAATATAACTGGCTCCTTGCCTGGGCAAAAGAAGCCGAGTTGATAGATGAAATATCTCAAGACAGCATTTCCAGGAGCCTTGGTGCTCCTCCGCTAGAGATAGCCGCAATCTTGTCGGCAATTCGCACCGTCCTGGAGACTATCGCAGAACTGTATGGAAGGTATGAAGAGCTGAGGCCCGATTCTACCGGCGAACAGGGCAAGCCAGAACAGGATGGTACACTGAAAAGCTCTTTCACCGAGATTTCTACCATGGTGCTTGCCTATAACGAAAAGAGGAGAGCCAGAATTTCAAGACCTCCACCGTGGACTTCGGCCAGCAAGGTCGTAGCAGGCGTGGGTGCCGTGTTCAAATATCCAAAGCGAATCCGTTGGGTCTTGGTGGACGAGGCAGCCTTTGACGTTGCCCTCAAGCGCCTGCACAACCTGAATAGTCGTTTACGTGGATTGGCGGGAGATTCTCGCTTGAAGGCGATTCAAAAAACGGTCGAGATGACGTTTATGGAACTGGTGCAGTCAACGGAGACACAGAAAGAATTATTGGCGATGGTACGAGCGGCCATGTTGTTTCTTGCAGAGCCTCAAATCAGCCGAGCTCAGGACGATGCTCGTTCACGAAATGAGTTGCAAACGCTGCTTGATCTGGCCAAGTTGAAGGAGTTGAACATTGCGAGCAAGATGAGTGATCCAATACCATCTAACCGCATTCACTATACCAAAGATGAAGGCTCCAAAACCATCACGATTGCGACTTACCTGAATCACCCCGAAGAGACAGAAATGTCTACAGAAAAACAACTCGACGCAAATACGAGAATGGTCTGGATTGAATGGAAACGGTATGGGCTGAGAGACTCTAAGCACACTTCCGACGACGATGAGGAACACGCCGAGACCGCTCATCCAGAAATTACCTCGCGAACAGCTAGGCTGGCTGAACTTCTCGCATGTCCGAAACCCACCGATTTTTGTACGCCGAGCTGTCTGGGCTACCTCGACGAAGCGAAGAACTATCGCTTGGGTTGGGTATTTGCTATGCCAGTCGAGACAGCACACCCTCCGAAAAGCCTCCGCTCACTACTTTCCAGCATTGCCTGCCCTTCACTCACCGAGCGAGTCGCATTGGCATCACGACTTACTGCGTGTCTGCTGTATTTGCATGCCGTCAACTGGCTCCACAAAGCTCTTCGCAGCGATAATATCTTGTTTATATATGATGGAGATGGCCCCCCCATATCCGAACCCATTGTGTCAGGCTTCGACCTCTCTCGGCCAGACAAGGACTCGGCAAAGACGATTGAGATGGCAGAGGCAAACCCGAGGCGAGACATGTACCGGTGGCCGATGAGCCAGACTTCCTTACCGGACGAGAACCGGGCGCGCAAGACTTTTGATATATACAGCCTCGGGATCATCTTGCTTGAAATAGCCCACTGGAAGCCCATAGAGTCGATTATGGGATTCACTGACATGGACGAGATTACGACTAGCCATTCCGTCAAGATTCGCTCCAGGCTTTTGGACACAGAGCCCCAGCCCTTGAACAAACTTTTGGAGATAATGGGGAGGAAATACCACGATGCCGTCAAGGCATGCATACAAGGCCCCGAAGGTTTCGGCCTGGCCGACAGCGATAACCAGACAGACCCAAATGTGGGAGTTGCCTTGCAGCGGATGTATATGGAACGAGTTGTTCAGAAACTGAAGAGCTTGGATGTTTGACGGGTTTGGTGGGGGGTGTGAGTTGGGAGCTGGCCACTGTTTGAGAATCTCGACAAAATCTACTACACATTGGGTTGATCTTTGGAGTTTCTGTTTATAGTATATCTATTCAAGAATGAGAATGATGTTGGTGCGCACTCCAAGTTCTTTCATCTTCAACCACTACTAGGTATGCAGTGTTTGTTTACCTAGGAGATGATGAATATCTTCCGGTACCTTTTACTACAAGGTACTAATGATGGAATGGATGCAAAGACCGATTCTAACGGCAGGTCGCCAACGTACGAGTACAGGTACCTACATCCTTACCTAATAACGGCGTAGCCATAATAGCGCATGCAATAGAGCTCACACATCACCACGAGTTTCTCAATCCATCAATGCCATCTTGTTTTATCAAAATGCCACGAGACCCTTTGAGCCGAATGTACAAATCGCCGGCCAGTTGACTACCAAGTAGGGCACACACAATCGATCTCAAGATTGCCTGGGACACCTGGACTCATCCCGCAGCAGATTTCCTTCCTTCCTCATGGCTCGGCAAACAAAGGCAAACCACCTCGACGAGGGCGGCAGAGATGCAAGACAGCGACAACCAACAAACAAGCGTGGCGGATGAATGATGAATGGACAGATGCAACATGCGATGCGATGCAATGCCGCTGACTCGACACGCGTCCATGCCTTGGCCTTGAAGCGAATGGCATCTACGGATCCTTGGGCATCATCATCCTTGGCCGGACCTTGTTCCAGCTTCGGCCGCTTGGAGTCGCCAACCGCAGAGGCAAAACTAGCCTGCTTCGAATTCCGATTGCTCATCCCCCTGCGTAATGAGCCGTCGTCTTATCTACGAGTAGCACAAGTACCTGGTGCCGTGAAACCATCCCGGGGACCCTCACGAGCGTCAAGATGGTGCGCCAATCTCATTGTGCAAGGGCCTGTTTCTTGCGCCTGTGCTGCATTACTCCGCGCGTCTGCCCGACGACGGAGTGGTGTGGAGTCGTGGTCCGTTTCCCCAATGCAATGCCCACGGGCTCACTTTGCCGGCCTCGGTGGCTGGACTCTCGTCTTGTCCTCGCTGGCCATGTAACGCAGCATCCGATGAAGCAATCAATCAAGCCTCACCTCGCCCTCGCCCTCGTCTCCACAAGCCCTTGACCTTTGGCCTCCGTTGCTTGGGCCCCGCTCTCGACTCATATCGCAAAGAGTTTTTGCCACAGCTCAAATGTCTGGCCAAGCCATTTCCGCCTTCATCCCGATCATACCCGCCATTCGCCGCTTCTGCTTCTGCTTCTGCCTGTGGCCTTGGCCTGGACGGCACTGCGCCGCGGATCGACGTATGAGATGGGCCTTTTTCACGTCTCCCCGGACTGCCATCCCCGGCTCGATGCTACCCTTTGCCTTTGTGCCTTCTTGGGGTTTGCCTTGTTTGCGTAGCATGTCGTCGGACACCTTATTATAGGGGGGTGATATGGGGTGATGGCCACGGCGCCCTGATGCTCGTTAACAAAAAAGACTCAGTCCCCCGTTTTTGCATGAACTCAATGTGATTCCTTTTCTCTCTTTATTTTTTCTTGACTTGATTCTGAAAACCCAACTGTTTTGTGTTTCTCCTTTTACCTCTCTTCTTTGCAGCGTCAAATTGCGCCGTCTGTCCTACCTTCAAACGCATGTCACTGGATCCATCCATCTCGTCTTCAACCATTCATGGATCATCACTGCGCTACCCATTGGTAAGGGAAGAAGAGGCCATACTGCAGAAACAAGGGAAATAAAGAGAAGAAGAAGAAAAGAAGAACACGGCTCTGTCGCCATTCAACATTGCATCATGTACGGAAACTTTCAACGGATTCCTTATCCCACTCACAAGAGTCCCATGGACGGCGACACAGCCCATCGGGACCTTGACTGGGTATACGCCTCTCAAACCGATCGCATCTACGTTTTACAGGTTGGCGAGTTTGGCGTTACGCGTCAGCAGAAGCTGCACCTCCTACAAAACGACTTTTGGCCCGCCCTAGCCCGCTGGGTCATCTCGAGGCAGCTGGTTCTGCCTGGCGGCACCATCCTTGGCGGCTGGTGGCGCGCCGACATGCAGGGGATGATGGACTGGTATCGCGAGTGCCTTCACATGACGGCCCGCTGGGAAGACGCCATCATCGCGCACACAGACGGCATCTGGAGGACGGCGCTGGAGACTTCGCCGTGGCGGGACTGGCCCGAGTTCTTCCTCCTCCTCAACGAGCCCGTGGTCGACGCCAACGGCCAGCCTACCAGGGATGCTCAGGGTCGCATTGTCTACAAGGACCGGGACCCGACCACCGATGGCATGGAGGATGCGTTCCTGGACGTGTGGGAGGCCGTTGCGAATTCCCGACCGCTGGCGGATTTCGTGGACAGGCGCACGGCCAAGGACGGCGATTTGCTTGCTTCGCGAACACGCACAACGACGGACTTGTGTGTATGATTGGGCTCGGCGGCGGTTGTTTCTCCCTCTTCTCTTGTTTCATTTTTTTGGTATTCTTCGATGTACTGAAGCGGGCGCATGGGGAACGGATTTTAGGCATTATGGGACTGCTTCATGACAGTTTACGACAGCGACATGCTCATTTATGAATAATGAATCTTTATTTATTAATCCATCGATTTGATCACTGCTTCCGCTAACAATCGCACATTGGCGTAATGTGACCATACGATTTGCATTCTTCTTTCTATAGCGCGCACAATCTATTCCAGCCATGAAACCAGCAATCACATTATCGCTCCCCATCCATCCAAACAAGGAAAAGATGGCCATACCCAATCCCCAGAAAGCAGGAAGAATGATAAAAAATAACACACATGCAGAGCATTAAAAAGCACCTGTTCTAGGCTTTATGTAGCAACAAAAAAAAAGCAAAATCCTCCTGCTGCCCTCCATTCATCCAAAACTATCCCAAGAAGAAAAAAACATGGCTTCGTTTCATTAAAAGGAAAAAAAAAGAGAGAAAGAAAGAGAGAAGAGAGAAGAAAAGAGAAATCATTCATCTCATGCCTTGCCCGACGCCTTGCTATTGTTACCCAATGCCACGCCATCCAATCCCTCGCTCAACTTGGTCGTAATCACATCCGGATCTGGTTCGTCGCCCCGGACAAACGTCCAGCTTTCTTCCGTGTCCTCATCTTCTTCGGTTTCCAAGTGTCCATCTGTATGCTTGATCAAGCTCTTTGCATATTCCATGTCTCGATAGATGGACTGAATGGCGGTTTCGACGCCACTCTCCTGCAAGATTGTTAGCGCAAAGAACGTATTTCAAAACAAAAACAAAGGGGGGCAATTCTCCCTACCTTGCGAATCTGCTCTCCCAGGAGCCGGGCCTTGACAATCATCCGCTCGTTACGCGTTACCTCCCAAAGAGCCCGGCCAAAAGACTTGGTTCCCCATTTCTTAACCCACACGCCAACGCCCAAATCTTCCACGCGGCTCGCAAAGAAGAATTGATCTCCAAAGAATGGCCGGATGATGGTTGGTATGCCGGCTCTCAAGCTGGCACCAGTGGTACCGGATCCACCGTGGTGCGCTGCCGCATCAATCTGACGGAAGAGCCAGTCGTGGGGGGCAGACTTGATGACATGAATCTCGGGCGGCATCACTGGTTCTGCCGTAAGCGGCCCGGTGGGCTCGTCTCTTCCGGTAGTAATGCGATCCGACCATCCCTTGGACAGGATGCATCGAACATCGGCTTTGAGGATGGCGTCAATCACTTCCTGGGTCATCTTTGCCGGGTCGTTGACAATGATGGAGCCAAACCCAACATAGACAATCTTCTTGCCGTCGGCCCTCGCCTTTGCAATAAAGTCTCGGAGCTCTTGAGGAGGCTCATAGTCACCGCCTTCATCCAGGAACCAGTAGCCCGTGACTCTGACCCAGTCTGAGAAATCCAGAGGCGGCGCAACAACACTCGGGCTAAAGTTGTAAAGGAACGGCACCTTGTTGGGCTGCATCTTTTCCAAGCCAGTGTTTGGTAGTCCGAGCGTCTTGTTCCTCCATCTGTTTACCTGATGGGCGGTGGCCTTCCAGAAAATGTTGTCAAACATGACATACGTCATGTAATTATAGGCACCGCCCATTTTGTTTTCTGGCATAATGAAGGCATGGGGATACGCCCTTGTCCTTGTCCACGGCATTGTGAATGCTCTAAAGTATGGAATGCCGAGCTTCTCTGCGATATGGATTCCTGCCATGGCGGACGGCGACTCAATGAGAAGCTCAGACCCTTCACAAGCCTTGTATGCGGAGTCAAGAAGGTCATCGAGCCACCCTCGGAAGGTCGCATTGGCTTCTCGAAGAAATGAAAGAGTAAACGTTCCATTTTCGATGCAGAGACGCATGAGTTCTCCGGGGTCACCTTCGACACAAGCAAATTCGATCCCGTGAGATTCAATCCACCCCTTGAACTCGGCGTGGGTGGCAATCCGTGGCTTGTGGCCGTCTGCGAGTAATCCTTTACACAGTGCAATGTAAGGCTGAACATCGCCCCTGGAGCCAATTGTCAGGCATGTGATTTTCATGGGATGAGGCGACTTGAACTGGATCACTGATGTTTCCAGGTCATCTCCCAGGACATGTGGAGCCTGAGACAGCGACGCGGTCGATTGGGCTAGCTGAAGCTCGCGATCCGCAAACATGTCCCCTGTTGCTATTTTCAAGGCATCTCGCTCTGCAACGGCGGCGCTTGCCACATCTCTGTATTCTTGCTCTAGGATCACGGATTCTTGAAGATGGCGATCGGTTTCCAGGCATTGAAGTAGTGTCACGGCACAATCATCGCGAATCTCGGCTTGCCGGAACTCAAAGAAGAGCTCTTCATGTCCACGGATCACGACAACCAAGCCAGAATATCCAAAGCGGAAGCCCTTTTCCTTGTGTGCGTTTTCGATATCCTTCAGGGGCAGAATCAACTTGGTACGAGTGCCAGGAAGCAAGCTTCGAAAGCAGAAATACCGGCCGCTGAGGTAAATCTTGCCATACAGCGGCAGGACACGCATGATGTAGCCAAAGTACGTGGCCTGCAGCCTTTCTGTCTCGGGGAGTGCGAAATGGGCTCGAAACCGCTCATTAGAAGTTTTGATCTGGCCATCATCATCCTCTTCTAGCTCATCTTCGTCGGGTCGTAAACCGGCTGGTTCATCGTAGTGCTTGCGCTCGCCTTTCCACATGCCGGACACCTTCTCAACATAGCCCATAGACTCGGTTGCAAGGAGAGTGCTCATTCGTTTACCCGTCTTGTTTAGATAATCGGCAAACGCACCCGCGCGCTGTAGAGGATACGCTCCCATCTTAGTAATGCTCTGTAATGTTGGCGTCGAAGTTCGTGGGGGTTCAGCATAGACCGATTCCTCATTCTGACTACCTGCCGCTGAGGCCTGCTGCCCTTGCTTTGACACGAGAGCCTTGTTCTTGACCTCGGTATAGTCGCGACTAGAGGTCTGTGAGTGTCTCATTGTTGGACTTTGGAATACATCGCTGCCCCTCAGAATTTGGCTCGCAGAAGGATCTTCAAACGCAGATTGGGTGAGGCTAGCAAAGCTCGGCTCTTCAATCGAGGAATACAGATTGGACTCGGATGATTCCATTATCCGCGACGATATTCTCTCTTCTGCGTGCCTGTCGCCGTCTTCTCTCCTGTTGTCGCTGGATCTGCCCCGAGAGCTCTTTAAACTCAGCACGCCTTCCTCATCGGCGCTAGGGTGCGGGCTAGGACTTGTTGAACCAGGTGATGTTGAAGGAACAACTTCTTGTGCAGGGCCCAGGAACTTGGTTGTGAGTGCGCTATCGACGCGGGCTAGATTTCGGAATGCGCCCCCAGAGACGCGGGGCGATGAAGACTGGTCTGAAGATTCTCCTTCCTGAGTGGCAATGACTTTACCAGCGGTTGGACCCTCGGCAGATGCGTTCTCTACCAAAAGCTTGATGACGTCGATGGCCTCTTTGCCAAAGGTGAAGAATGAGAAGAAGTACTGTATATTAACCAAGTCAGATGTGCAATCTTTCCAATTCCGTGTAGGGACCCTCCGTTGAACAAACTCACCTCGTCGATGGCAAAAGTTTCATCGCTATCGATGACTCGAATCTTGCAAGTGTCTGAAAATTCCATCATTTGAGTGTCCTCAATGTCAATGATGTTATCAATGCGCAGAGATATTTTAACACTGTCGCCATCATTGTGGCTCCGGAAAATGACCCTTTGCAGGCTCTTCACCCACTCCTTTGCACTTGGCGCACTTTCGGCCCTGAAGTTGTAGGTACGGTGGCTCGTCACCACTGAGAAGTGCACACCTTCCTTGTCTTCGTCGGTGATGCTGGCAGATATGCCGAAACTAAGGTCGATATGGCCATGGGGGAAGTACAAATTTGTGGCATCTTGGTAGTACGATAGAACGTCGCCTTTGAGGCGAAACCAGTAGCGGTTGTACTTTGGGTTTCGTTTGCCACTCTTTGAGAGATAACCAGACTTGGAAACGGTATGCTATATATGCCGATCAGCCCAAGATGAACAGTACATTGCTTGACACGGTCATCTTACCGTCTTCTTTGGAAGGTATGCGTAGAAGCAAATGTGCTTGGAAGTAATGTATAGGAACCCTTGGAGCAATACTTGTTGGAGCAGCCAGCAGGGATACTCTACACATGGCAGCTTGTTAGCATTGAAATTTCGGAGCAAGGAGCGCAACGAGGCGTAGACATACCTTCTATGACTCGCTCTGGTTCGTCAAATTTGAATATTTCCATCAATTTTTTGGCCAGCGCTGTGGTGTCTTCCTCTTCACCGTCTTCGTCGCCCTCCGCTTCGTCTTCTGCTTCGTCCTCTGCTTCCCCATCATCTGTGCGATCCGGGCCAGATGAATCTCTTTCGATGTCGAAGCTGGATCGGCTGGCCATTTCAGCCTTGGCTTCCAACATTCTGCTCATGACGGGCGCTATTCGAACGTCTTCGTCCTCGTCTGGATGCTGCGAGGGCATTTTGGGAGAGGATGGTTGACTAGGCTCGCTCTGCTCGTCCACCTCTTGGGTCGGCTCCCATAGCCGGCCAGAGCCCGTGCCCGACCTGCTCTTCCTCTTGGGCAACGAAGCAAACGACTTTAACAGCCTGTGGCCGGGAACCTGCGTCTTGTGTCCCAGTCTCTTATCCTTGGGCGGCAATGAGCCGAAGATGGCCGTTTGTGAAAGGTCTCGGTGTCGCAAGTTGATGGGCTTCAAGCTACCACCTTCGTCCTCGTCGCTGCTGCCGTCGTCGAATCGCGTGTTGAAGTCGACCCGAGAGCCGGCGGCGGCGATCAAGCCAAAGATGCTCTGGTTCATATTCACAGCCATGGGGCTGGGCTTGGCGAGGTCGGCATTTTCGCTTGTCTCGTCGTCGCTGCCTTGGAGAGGTTCGGGGAGCTCAGCGGTCGGAGTCGGAGTCGGGTCGTCGTGCGTCGTCTGCGGCAGCTCGACATGGTCCTGGCCGTCCAGGGTGATGTGGCGGGGGGTGGGAGTTGTAGCCATATTGGCCAAAAGGCAGAAGAACAAAAAGTCTCGGCCTGGATGGCTAGAGCTACTAGGTAGAGCTGCCTGGAGATGCGGAGACTTGAGAGGAAGGCTTAGGATTAGGTTTCCAATGGGCCGCGGGTCAGCACAGAGAGATGCAGATGACGGAAGACGTGCAGCCGCGATCAAACGGCCAGGCAACCGCCAGCTCCGCCAACCGCCAACCTAGAGATTATGCGAGGCAGCACTCGGCAGACAGATACCGCGCTGGAGGCTGCTTGGGGATCTGCGTCTGCGGGAGGTGATTCGTGCGAGGTTGTTGGAGTGGTGAAGCGGGAGCCGCTCATGTATGGCTACAGGTACTAATGGCTGCATCGATTAGTACGAGTACCTGATAAGGTTCGCGGACTGCCGGCTACCTGGATGTACCTGCTGGGTACACGCGCTCGCAATCCAGGCCTGGTACACCGCTCGCTGTTCACAGGTCCCCCTTGTACCTGGAGCAGCGCGGTTGCGGGTTGAATTAGCGCCGTAGGACCTGGTGAGGACTTGGTGTAGAGGTAGGAGGTACGTCAGAGGGCGGAGGCTCCGAATCAGATGAGCGACTGCTCATGTAGTTCGATCGTACAGGTACCGTGGCGGCAGGTCCAAAGCACTAAGGCACAAGGGAGCACTTATCGATAAAGGCGCAATGCAAGGGAGATGCCGCGACCACTGAGGTGTCCGTTATCTTGTGATGGTTCCTCTGCATGTGTCGTGCCCGGTAGGTACGAGTAATGCAGAGGTCATATCGTATCAGAGGTAATCATAATATTCTCACTCATGCACAGGCCAATCGAGGACAGGCCGTTTATCATGTACACGATGCGCAATGCCCCGGCGGCGACACAAGTCACACTCGCCGGCGTCTTAGTCCAGCTCGTGGCTCTGCCTCCACTCGCGTCCCCCATGTGATATGATCATGTACGGGCCACGGGGGATTGACGATGACGTGCGCTGTAAATAGAGAAATGCTCACCGGAGCGGATATGCAGCAGGTGACGGGCTACCGACTCATACTTGCTTGAACTGTTGACTATTTTGCGGGCAAGCATTTGGTTCTACAGATATGAAATGATGCGCTGTAAACATGATTCCAAGTGACGGGATACATCTCCCTACTACACTACCTACTGTAAGTGACCACTCTACCAGGTGGCAACAAGTCGTCTATTCAAATCACCGACTTGCACTGCCTCGTGCGTATCCTTAGTACATACATACCTGGTATGTAAACCACTCCGGAGAGCTTGCATCTCTCTGCGCACTGAGGTATTACGAGTACGAACCGGACAAGGGTCAGAAGTGCTACCAAGGTGCACGCACAGCACAGGGGTAACGCTGCCGTTTTTGGCCACGCAAGGCGGACTTGGCCTATGCCGTGCCACCACCTCTGGAGCTTCCCTTTGGCTGTCTCAGCCTCTCGTTTTCGTTTTCGCCTTTCTGACATCTACATACACTTATATCCCTTGTTGTTTAGATAACGAACCCTGATTCTGCAGCTCAGGTCATCCGACATTCACTTCCAACGTGAGCCAGACTCCCATCTTACTTGTCGAGTAATGTCCTTAAGCTTTTGCATTCTGAGCTGACTCATCTGGACTCCCGGCGCCACAGAATCAGTGCTTGTTGCTACCAGAAGCGGAAGAATGAAAACATGTGTTTCTTGTTCAATCGGATCAGTCGGATGACCTTTTTGGCCAAGTCTGAAGCCTTCTCCCGCCTGCTTTTAGCTTTCTAATTTAGCTGGGCGCCTTTCCATGTTCCATCTCGAATAAGTCGGGCCACTACTAAGCTGCCACTCCCGCTATATCACGGGATGGGCCTCGCCGCTTTACAACAAGCTCCGTCATCGGCTCATCGGCGTATCTGTAGTTATATAAACCGCTTCGTTTTTCCTTTACTTATATTTAACAAGACGCTGATTATCTTATCCGATAGATACGTTACAGCCATGATATAGTCTTTTTGATCTTCTTATTGCTCAAGTGAATGCAGATTATCGCGAGATGGTTAATGGGGTAAAGTGATTAGCGTACAGCCCAGAGGAGGCACTACGCAAGTACGGGATAGATAGCATTCACATGTAACGTCACAGATCGAGACAATTCCAATAGTTTGCTTACGTTGATCCTAAAATCAATGATATCGTCAACTTCTTCAACGTCCAGCTCTGTACTGAATTCTGTTCCCGCGAGTGCTTCACATTCGCTCTGTTTGCAAAGCTCTTTATCAAGTCCCTTACAATGTCCTCTCAAAGCCCCATATTCCCCGCATCTCTCTTATCTAGCGACGCCGTTGCGGCTCTACCAGAGGGATTCGGCATCCGACCTCTGGAAAAGGGAGATTATGCCAAGGGATTTCTTGAATGCCTTCGAGATTTGACATGGATGGCAAATGTCACGGAACAAGAGTTTAACGAGCGATACGATGAAATGGACACTGGCGGCAAAGGGCCCTACTACTATCTTGTTATTGAGCATGAGGGCAAGATTGTAGGAACGGGTTCTGTAATTGTCGAGAAGAAGTTGTAAGTCTTCCGTGACACATGAATACTTGTTTCTTGATCCTAATAAGAATATAATAAAAGCATCCAAAACCGCACCACTGTCGGCCACATTGAAGAGATTTGCATCTCCAAGGACCATCAGGGAAAGAGGCTGGGTTTCTACATGCTCGGCGCCTTGAACTCGGTGGCCAAGAACGTAGGATGCCGAAAGACGATTCTCAACTGCAGTCAACACAACATCCCGTTTTACGAGAAATGCGGCTTCAAGCTCTGTGGCACGGAAATGGAGACTGTATTCGAGGAGCAGGGAAAGGAGAACTAGACAAAGTTGCATCATCAGCGAACAACTAAGACACTTCATACACGGCAGAATAGCAATAATATCGAGCACGCCTGCCTCTCCAATAGAGAAAATCATTACGTGTATACATTGAATAGAATTCTAATTCATGCCTCTTCCATCTGTTGCCAGCTATGTGCAGGTCTAGAAATCCAAGTCGGCGAATCAAGGAGTAGACCCCGCATTTCTTCATCCATAGCAACTGTTCCCCGCCGTTGTCGACGACATCTCTAAAAGTATAGCCGAGATACAGCTACCTCACCATCTGTCCATAATTATTAACAGCAAGTGGTGGACCAAAGCAATTCCCTTTTGCAAGCGTTTCCAAACATCCCCAATTCATCTACTGCCATAGACACAACTTGCCGCTTGCGGTTCCTCCTGCCACCCAATCCATGGTTGGATGGAAGTGAGCCACAGCTGGAACAGCAGAAATGCCGTCTCCTCCTAGTTGAGCCAACTGACTTCCATCTGAAGCATATACGTCGACGAAGCGATTCATGTTTCCAATAGCAAATTTTTGGATACCGTCTTCCGGGTTCTTCTGCCACTGCGGCTTCAGGATGGTAACCCATCTACCCGTCTGATTGTTGTGCCTGATCGTGTGTACGGGCTCCATAGTCTTCGCCTCGATATTCTGACCAGGTTTCCACTTTGAGGCCTCTGAAAAGTCGTAGATCTTGATCGTATCATCATACGACGACGTTGCGACATGACCACCTGCACTCCATGAAGCATGAGAAACAGATAGCCGGGATTCGTGTTCACCAAGCAACGTAGGATGCCTCAAATCACCCTTCCCACTCATCTTCCGGAGGTCCCACACCTTCATGGTTCTATCAAGGGATGCAGTGGCCAGAAGATAGGGATGTAGAGGGTGCATAGAAAATCCTCCAATTTTCTGTTCAGATAGGGTCCATAACTCTTGGCTGCCCGGTGCCCTGGTATCATAACGGCCCACTGACCCATCTAATGTCGAGAAATAAAGCAGGTTGGGCTCGGCAGCTGGAATCTCCAGAGTCGAGATCGGCAAGTCTTCGTAAGCGTTTTCTGGTGCGAACACTTGTATAGAAACGCCCTTTTCCAAATCCAGTTTTCGTATTGATGAATCATATGATGCCGAAAAGACGGCATTCGTGTCAATTGGAGAAAAGCCAAATGATGTAATTGTCCTTGCGTGTGTTTTAAATGCAGAGATGACGGGATCCGGGATGTCCTCGTCGTCATCGGTCACTTCAGGAGCAGTTTGAGAAGCGTCGAAAACGCCCATGGCACCCTCTTTATCGCCCGCAAACACAATCGGCTTGTCTTCTGTTGGATGGAAGCCCAGCGCATATACTCTTTGGGGCGTGATTTTGATGTCTATCGGAGAGAGTTGGTGTTAGCTGTCGGAATTGCGCTTGAGCGACCAATTCTAAGAAGCTTACCGTTGGGAATCCAATGCTCGTAGAGCTTTAAGCCATTCATTCGCTGTCGTAATTCTTTGAGGTCACCATCTGTGGCCTCCTTTGCGTCGTACTCAAAGGTCCGTACACCCGGCTGTGCACCTCGAAAGATGCCCTTGAGGCCGTCCATGCTGCTTGTGTATTTTTTGCCGTCCACAATGATGTCGCCCAGGTTCATGTCGTCGCCGATTCGCAGTCTCTTTGCCTTGACTTGTTCGGCCTGGTGTTCTGCCTCCACCTCCAGCTTCCGTTTCAAGACCTCATCATCGGCAGCAACACCGGCAAGCCGGGAGCTCATGCGCGTGCCCCGACGAGGCTCTCTGACCACTGGTTCTGTCTTGACTCTCTTTCTCGGAGCCGAGGGCTTCGATGGCGGTTTGTCGGGTATGATTTTTTTGGCGGTAACGGATATTTCGGACAATAGCGCCTTGTTCGCAGCGATATTCTCGAGACGGCGCCGCTCAAAGGCACTGAGCCCATCGCCTTCGTTCTTTGGCGCCATGTTTTCGTGCTCTAAGAGTAGATGCTTGAAGAGAAGAGCAAATGAAATGAAGATATCGAACGAGAACCGAATTCGTGCAAGTGAAAAGCGCCAGATGACAAAAAGTCGGTTGCTGGTCCAAGTGCAGCCAAAAGGTGAGCGATGGGTGAGGCGGATTGAATTTGGAGCTGAAGCCGAAGCCCGTCGCGTGGCACCGCGTCTGTGCCGTTAATTGTTCTGGCGCGAAGTCACGCGCATGGATCAATTCTCCGGCTCACTAATTAGTGGGACGTGCAGCGCTCTTTAGGCACTGCAGGAATCAGATCAGGGCATCATCGAGAGCAAAACCGTGAATCCCATTCACCGGGGTTTAGCCGTGTAAAACACTTTGAACCCTCAGTCGCTGCATCTGATTTTTCAAAGACTCGAGTGTCAAAGCAGCAGGTTTCGGGCATCGGAAATATTCTCATGCCAACAATGGCTTCAACCATGCTTCCGTTCTTGTATCAGACACAGACCCTTCGACGGGCTGTCGGGAGACCCTTTGTTGCGCTGAATCTCGCCCGTTTGGCTCACTCTGCACGCCGGGTGAAAAGGCCTGCAGACAATGCCATTCCCTTCCAATGGGAGTCTGGAGACCACGAGCTGGCCAAAATCGAAGCGGAACGTGTCTCTACCATTACGCCTTCAGAGGCTCAGATCTTCAAGGGCATTTTCCATGAAATCGCCGAGGGGAAAATGCCGCCTGCAAAAAGAAGAAGCCCTATTCGGCATCTGCGAGATGAGCTTCAAAGCCTCAGTGATGCACCCACGAGCAGCGAAAAGGACAGCCCTGGCTCGGCTCGCTCGCTCGTGGAAAAGGCCCGCATCACTGACTTCCGGGAGAGATTTCTGAGCCGGTATCCCAGATCCCTCCAAAACGCTGCGCAAGTTGCACTCGGCCTGTATGAAGTCAAGCCTCGGGATTCGGACTCGGGACGGGAGGCCCAGATGATGGAGCTGGACGGTGCTGATGAGGCGACATGGGCAGAGCGCGCAGAGCGGGAGATTGCGAGAAGCGAAGAGTGCGAGAGAGTGGAAGCTCTGATGAAGGAATGCAAAACTGACGCCGAGCTGTGGAGTGTGATGGAGAAGGAAGTTTTTTCTCTGCCCGAAAAGCTGCATATAGCACAGGCAAAGCGGTCAGACGTTTCAAAGGGCAGAAAAGCCAAGAAGCAATCCGTGCTGTTGGAGGGCGAAGGAGAGCAATCGGCATCGGAAGTGGCCTCGCAGGATGAGGAGCGTGTCATGAGCATCCACGGCCCGCTGTATTCGCGATTCCTCAGCACGGCTCTCGACCTCTTCGACACGGCTTTTGCTCGCCCGTCTCCGTACTTCTTCCAGGTTCTCCCTCGCGTCAAAGAGCTTGGCTTACCATCGTTTGTGCTTGGTGTCTCGACGCCGTTTTACTCCAAGCTGGCGGAGATTCATTGGCACCGCTTCGGTGACGCCAACTCTGCGCTTGACATGCTGATGGAGATGAATTCCGCAGGCCTTTTTACGAACAAGAAGGTGAATAGTCTCATCTCACAATTGCGCAATCAGCTGCACGCTTGTACTTGGGGTGGCCAGGGTCCTTTTGTCATGGCCATGATGGAGTCTCCTCCGTATGATGGCGCATTGTTGACAAGGCTGGAAGAAGTCGAAAAGACAATTGTACAGTCGTCACAAGACCGTCTAAAGGACTATTCCTTTTAACTGATCCGACGACATCTTCTCTCTTATTATCGGTACCACAGTCGAGTTTTTACGAACCTACCTACCTGTACATGCGCCACCAAGGAATGACTTCACCCTGTATCATATCTACAACATTTACGACTTTATGCCCCCATATTTTACTCCCTTTACATGGCCCTCTTTTGTACACGACACATATAGACATAGATATCTGGCCAATACTCAACCTCTCTTATACCACCATAGACTCCAACAAAGCATGGAACTATTGTGCAGCTGCAGCAGTAGTATTACCTCGCCTATGTGTGATATAATCCATGCGTATGTATGTTTCACTCGATTCCTCCCAACTCGCCAGGTGGGATGCTTTGATTGGATCCAATGCACCGGGGGCGAAGGGGACTTCAGCTCAATACCTCCCCGAGCTCGCACATTGTCCCGTCCTCGCACTGTGCCATCGTAACCTTGCTTTTTATATGCATCTATCTACTGCACGAGAGACATGCAATCACACCCTCTCAGGTAATTCCCAAGCAGCCTTGTCCAGATGTTTCCATGTATTTATTCCTGCGTATCCCGCAATGCTATTGAGATGCCATCTTCGTTTCGAATAATACAGCCGTTCTTTGGTTGGCATCAAGCGATACCCTTCACTCTTCACGAACGTCGAGTTAGAATAACGCTATCCTTTAAGCTTTCTATAGCCTTTTATTATCCATCACTACCTTGTATAAAATGTCTCAAAATAATCAACTGTCTATCAATAACCGAAACATACGAGCTTCCACCGGCGTAGCTGCATCTCAGCAAGGAGGCCGTCAAGCCCGTCCTCCCCCACTTTATCCAAGATTGCATCTCTTAAAGATGCCACTAGAGGTTCGCCTCAAGATCTTTAACGAGCTATGGGAAGAGCGAGACTTCGATCTGCTCTTGTTCATCAAGGACTACGAAGAGAGACATGATGACGAGAATCCCTTCACTCTTGCTCTCATGCACTTCATTCACTTCAATAAGAATCCCAAAACCCACTGGCCTGATAAGAAGATTCCGTGGGACAAATACGCAGCGTGCCTCGGCAGAATCGAGCAGCTCTGGTTTAATCAGCGACTACATGGAGGCACCCGTAGCAATAAGCCCTATTTCAGTGTTTTCAACCTGATGATATCCTGCAAGCAGATGTGGGAAGAGGGAAGCCTCGCATATTGGCGTCAGAGACGATTGCAAGTGGTCATTACTAGGGAATTTGGTGAGATTCCACACGGAGACGAGGAAGCATTTTCGATGCCCGATTGTACAAGCAGCATACTTCTTGGTGGCAGCATTGGAGAGAGTGTCCGGGTCTTGACCTTGAGATTCGATGATAAAGTCTTGAATTGTCGTGTTAAGCGCTGCTACAATGTACCTGGGGTGATTTCCTGTGAGCGGCACACTGACAACAGCTTCACCCCAAAGCTCCAATGGGCTCAAGATACCATCATGAAGGCCCTGAAGCTCTTTACCAACATCACTTGCCTAGAGCTTCTTATCGAAAACAACCGCGTCTACAAGCTCTATAACGAGATGGGCACGTTTGACGAGATGTTGGAGTACGTCAAGAAGGAAAGGCCGCTGATCAAAGTCATCCGATTCAAGGGCGGCCAGTGCGCAGAGCTTGTGAAGCACTGGAATCTCGAGCTCGACGCCTCTGTTTCCGGGACCGCCTGGTCCATGAGTCCTTGCGTTCCTACTTGTAAAGAAAAGGTATACAAGGACCACGTTGACAGATTCGATGTCACTCCACGAGAAGTTGACCAGCGTCCGAATTTTGCCTAGGACTCATGCCTAAGCATGCCTTTGGTATAAGCGAGCTGTGTGGGCAAACAAGATTTATAGGATATAGAATATTTCACGTCAGCGTGGCATGGTAAATTAGATACTAGTTAGAGTATATTGAACTCTCCAGCTCAGGCAGGGATTCTTTGAATGATATAGTAGTCAAGCTCCATTCTTATCTCTGTGCATCTTTTTCGCCCTCAATCTCGACTCAACGCGCTGATGACTTCAGAAGTACTTCGCACTTCAGCAAACTCCTTCAAGCTTTCTACATGCACGCGATGGACTGTTTCAGCATCCACTCCTCCTTTTCCAAACGTTCTCGTTGCGTCGTGAACGAGGATGATACGAGGCATGTCAACCACAAGCTCACTCTGTCCTCCCTCGGGTTTCTCCAAGGATGCATACACTCCAGAGCCATCGGTCCATAAAGAAGATAGTGCAACATCATCCATGTTGCCTTGGCCTCCCCACTTCCCAGTCAGAGCAAGATTCTGTGCTGAGCGCACAGCCGTGCTAACAGCATGATCCGTCGGAATCCCAGCAATGAGCAGCGTTTTGATGCCCTTCTTGTTTAACAAATGCTGCAGAGGCGTGTTTATGAAAACACTGTGGCCGTGAGACGTCATCAGGATCTCGTCTGAAGGCGGACGAGGAGGGTCATCTGGTTTGGGTGGCGGAGGCGGAGCATCGGGTTCATCAAACGTGTACACAAAGACGGGGCCTTCCCGCCTCTGTATCAGCGGAACGGAGCATTCCAGGAAATCTATGGCACGCTTCTCCCCGCCATTGACTCCATAGGGGCCGACTTTGCCTGTGAAGAGGGGAGAATCGGTCCACACGGTTTTGAACTGGACGTGGAAGATGACTGGCCTCTCGCCCTGGGGAGTGGCCGCAAAGATACTGCGGAATTTGGCAATGAGACTGGAGATGTTGGTCTCGTAGCTAGGATTGGAGGATCCCTCTCCCCACGCAGAGACGTTGCGATACCCGTACTGGCTGTGTATGATGAGGAGAGCCGTGGTGTTCTTGGCGGGAATTGGCGCGATTGACGCGCCCGGCCAGGGATATTTCTGTGACATTGTATATGAGCTTGATTGGTGTCTTTGTCGTTCGATTACACGTCACGAGGATATTATATCGCAGGCACGTTTACAAATGAACCCCGCCCAACAAGAGGGGGAACATCTTGGCTAGATCGGTATTCGGCTCAGTCAATATCTTGCAACACAATGATAAGATCGAATTCGATTGAGCTAGAGTTGGAGCCCACTTGGTACAATCGACTTGGCCCAATTGCGCAGGTGGTTAGCAGAGGTCATATGAGCATCATAAAGAATATGGGCAACCTATCACATTTTAAGAGGCCGCCTAAGCGAGGATGGAATATGTTTAATGGAGATAAAGGTTGATGTATTTTTCTAAATCATCCTGAGGCGTTCATGTGTGCGTTTCAGTCTTACTCTAGTTCTGTTGTTATAGTTGAAAACATCTTATAGCAACACATACGACTCTTATTTGTCTACACACAACGGCACCGACAACCTGTCCAGTATAAATTCTCCCGAGTTGGATCGAAAGCAAAGCTGTTAAATTCAATATTATCATCGTCAAATAGCACTTATGTTATTCTTCACGAAGTCGTTCCAACGAGCTCCCAACTACTTCCTCGGGAGATTGTAGGGTAATAGAAGGGGACTCCCAACAGACTCCTAAAGATGAAGCTTCTTTTAGGCAATGCTTGTAATGCCGTCAAGGTAACACCAGCATACAACTCTAGGTTGCAAGGAGACCTATCTTGAGTTAACCATCAAAACACGTGAAAGCTGAATCTCCACCTCGGGATTGCAGGACTGAGACGAAATTGCACCGCTCACTTTAATCCGGAAAGGTACGAGTACCTGGCCTGATTCTAGGCCGCACAGTGCATTTGGCGTACGCCTTGCGTCGTGCTGGGAACATGGGTTTACTGCAGCTAGAGAACCCCCTGGTTGAATCATGGAGTGATCGTCCGTCTCCTTGTAAAGTTTGACTTTGTATCTGGGCGGGGAGATCAATGCCGAATGATTCGGGACAACCCTCCTGGAAGACCCAGTTGGTCTATGGAAAAGAGTTCAAGATGTTGCTCCTAGTTGGCTCTGTCTCTGCTAGGGCTAAACCACCATCATCAACTACGCTCGCTCGATTTATGTTCTATGTAACTCATCACACGCTTCCAAACTACCGAAAGGAACATCAGTATGTACTGCCGGATTGTACTCCGTACCTGTCTTGTCAAACCTGGTTCATCTTGTTCAATGCCGGACGCTCACCGGTCTGCCCATCTCCACCACCCCATGCCGGAAACGGTCTCATCACCCACCCCAGACTTCAGCCTCACCACTACTAGTCCAAAAAGAAGAAGAGACATCAAATCACGAAGAAAAGACTGAGGGAGAAAACAAAGAAAAACCCACCAAAAGCCCAGGTTCGAGACGCCCAACGGAGCTAATTGTCCCATGCCGGCGGGGATATCGGGAAGCTCTTAGACAGCAGGGATCTCAGCTCTAAAGCCACAGCTGTCGCCAAGACGCACTTGGGTTGATTGTGGAACAGCCTACAGGCTTTTATGGCCTGAGCGAGTTCTCTCCTCTTTTCTCCTGGGCCAATGACACACCCCTGGCCTTGGATTTAGCGTCGAGGAGAGCTTCTGTGACCCTGAAGCCGGTCAACTAAAAATACCATTGGCTTGAACATTCTCGCGAAAAGCTCTTCTCTGACAAGCCTCCATGCGACAAGTCTCCCCTTGATGGCTTTCACTGCAATTTCCCCCATACAGCCTCTTGCTTCACATCCAGTCGTGGCGTCATGTGAGTCAACCGGCTGGGGAGGAAAAAGGCAAACTAAACTTGCATTATCCTAGGCAACCTTCCTCGCGAATGCCGTTAGCACGGGGGAGTCCTTTGCAGTAGCGGCAGCCCGTGACTTTTGGGCGAGCTTCCGTTTGGCTGTTCCGCTTCAGACGATAGCCTGCAGAGTCATGATAGGCGACCAAATGGCGGACGGACACGACTGCCGAGAAGACGCGGTATACTCTGCTTCGGTCTATGCAAGCCCGCTTCGTGTGCGTGAGACAATAGAGTTTGATGTATCATATCATTGGCACCACCACCACCTTTCACATCCTTCGTCTTTTTTCCTGCAGCCGCCGTTTGCCCACTCGTATTGGCGGTTTTGGGCTTCTTTTTGCTTTTTACTCTACTTCCCAGACATGACCTTTTGAATGCAAAGAAAAAACTTACCAAAGGGCATCGCCCACTTCGTAATCTCCGTTGCACAGCTTTACGACTCGATGGCGTTCATACCCATGTATTGTTTAGGCAAGGTTGACAATCACAGCAATCTTTTACCCAACTGGTATCAAAAGCGGCTGAAATTAGTTTAGCAGGGCTGAAAGAAGTCGTCTCCACGCTAGATGCAATGTGCTTGAGCGTGCCTTTCGGCGGCGTTGACGAGGGCCAATGACCGTGTCTGGGCTCTCGCGCGTGGGCCTGAGTATGCTTATTACTATCAATAGCAAACTAAACAGCCACTGACAGCTTCCTGGGCATGATGATCCGGCAATCTTACGGCTGGGTCCCCCTTTAGATAGGCATCATAGGGTACCAGTCTGCCTCGGGCGGACTGCATATGTTTGCGGCTCTGCGTGAGAAATCCGATGCTGAAAGAGAAGGAATGTTTGGCTTTGGGGCTAGTCCTCCGTATTCGTGTAGTATCTAGCTGTATATATTAGACGGCGGATGTTCTTCATAGCTGATGTTGACTTTGCAGCTTCTTGATCTCTTCTTCTGCCATCCACCACACACGCTCTCTAACAACTTAATTGAAGCTCCTTCTCTTTCACCCTTTGTCACTCATTCATACCGTTTACAACCTCTTTTGATACCCAAAACTTACCATCAAGATGTCTGCTCCTACTGATACCCCTATCGCTCCTGTTGCGGCTCCTGCTCAGGCTCCTGCTCAGGCACCCGTTCAATCTTCTGCTCCTGCCAAGGGAGGCCCTATCGACGATAACGACGTGAATCACTGGAAGGAGAAGTTCAACGATGTCTTGTCCCGACCTGGCGACCACATCAACTCGAGATCCCCGGGTGGTGCCATTGGCTGGGTCACCCACCTCTTTGACTGCTTCAACCCCATTGACCTTTGCCTTATCACTTGCTGCGTCCCCTGCGTCACATTCGGCAAGGTTCACCACCGAGTCAACAAGAATGGCAACATGGAAGGCTATGAGCCCGTCAACACCTCTGTATGTCTTTACTCTCGCACTGCACAGCTGCTGTAAGCCGTCTCTTGAACACCTCACTAACATGCTCTGCCTTGTATAGTGCCTTCTCTTCTGCGGCTCTGGCTGCTGTGGTCTTCACTGGATCCTCGCCAGCATGCAGCGTGCCTCGATCCGCGAAAAGTACAACCTCGAGGGAAATTGCATCGAGGACATTGCCAAGTCCTTTTGCTGTGGTTGCTGCAACCTGATTCAGCTCGAGAAGGAGACGGAGCACCGAGAAGCGCTCCTGAGAAACGGCAACGCGGAGCAGTACAAGGCGAACACTGGTGGCATGGTGTATCCCGGAGCCAACTGAGTTTTGTGGACTTTTGCATCTGACGTTACCCGAGCGTGGGAAAATAATTATGTGGAAAACGGTTTAGGATTAATAATGGTGAATGGACTGGCATGTTCGTTTTAGTTGATGGGAATGCATGTGGATGGATACCCAAGCTGATGGTTCAGTTATTGTAACTTTACATTCATTTTCTTCAGAGTTTGTTCTAAAATGCAATTGCCTTTAGCCTCAATTCCTATGGATTGGACTAGGCAAAGCGCCGCGAAAATCTATCTCTGTTTTTTATCAGTATTATTCTTTAAAAGGCGATTTGCTGTCATGTATCCTGAAGAAAAGAGTTGTGCACAAGTCACATTGGAGTAAACTATGTTGAGAATTTGTTTTTCTGGCGAACAATTGCCATTTTACAATTCATTAATACATGTACAACTAATTTCAGGTTCAGCCAAATTATTTAGCAAGCTTACAGCAGCTCCATCAACTGATGTCATGTAAACGCGGGACTTTGAAACCCCACAAGTTGCTGGGGTAAAGGCCAAGATGCTGATCCATGCGTCTTGGCGAATTCAGATCTGTCATGCTAAAGTTGCGCCAAGAAGAAGTTATTTATCGACTCTTTGTGATGGCTCAGATAAATGTGGTTGCGTTTAATATCGGGGCCTTCATCTCGACGCTGTTTCTGCTCGGGTTCGGTGCCGACAAGTTTATCGATCATGCAACTGCAATCGCAGGACGCATAGGCGTGTCGGAGGTGGTGATTGGACTGCTCACAGCAGGTGCAGAATGGGAAGAGGTAGCTATACCATTGAAGCTAATCTATTGATTTAGGGAAGGAGTAAATGCTGATATCATCAGCTCGCGGTTGTTATCGCGTCTCTGGCCCAAGGTCGTTCCTCTTTGGCCATTGGTAACGTGGTTGGCTCGGCCATCTCCAATATCCTGGGCGCGTTTTCTCTCGGCCTGCTGTGTTATGAAAAGGGACAGCCGGTCGAATTCGACAGGAGCTCTCGGATTTACTCTCTTGTAACTCTCATCTTAACCACATTGGTGACTCCAATGATCTACTTCGCGACAAGAATCACTTGGCTAGTTTGTGGGCCTCTATTGGTGACGATATTTGGCATCTATTTCCTGGTCATTGCTCTGGCAATTGGCCGAGGAATCCTTACGGCGCCAGAAGATTCAGATGATAGTGATGATGATGGCTCTGACGATACGAGTTTTGTAGGAAGTAGAACAGGGCTGCTTGCTGATAACTCCAACACAAACGTCAGGCAACGCCGTATTCGTCACCGGCTTGGCTATCATGGGTTCTATATGTCTTTTGGATTCCTCGCTATCTGTCTTGCTGGCTACGTGATTTCACAAGCGGCAATTAACATCATTGATCAACTTGGCATCTCGGACGTGCTCTTCAGCGTCATCATTATTGCCATCGCTACTACACTCCCTGAGAAGTTTATTGCTGTCATGAGTGGTTATCGTGGTCACCCTGGGATTCTTATCGCCAACTGCGCTGGCAGTAACATTTTTCTTTTGTCACTTTGCTGCGGTATCATCATGATTGACACAAAGGGAACCTTGAAAGGGGGCAATGTGACTGTCTCAGAACTGGCAGTATTATGGGCTTCAACGGCTGCATTCACCGCCACAGTCTGGTTTGGCGCTAGGTTTTCTCGCTGGATAGGTGGAGCTATGGTTATCGGATACATTGCATTCATTGTGCTGGAATTTACCGTTATTCACGGAGTGGCGGGTTAGCAGTGGCAGGCGTCTATGTATCAAGAGACGTTAAGGCGCCTCGGAACTTCCCAATGCGATAAACTAAGCATACGAGTTTCCGATAATGAAGAGTTTGTAAATTGTTAGTAATGGTAGGACGACAAGGCTGTAGATGTGCAGAAGGAGACCGTTGAGGCTCTTGATGGAGTAGTTGCTTTGTGGATCACCAATGACCATACCACGTATATTTTTTTAGAGAGAAATCTCTCTCTGCTATACACTGGAACAACTCAATGGTTTGATATAGTCTTTCATTGAGCCAGCTGCCACGGCGTATTGTTATTATTATAAAAGTTAATCATCTATAAGTGAGTCGACAAAGAACTATCCCGTAATGCTCCTTGACCACGACATAAAGAGAGAGACCTCTTCACAGGTCGCAACATAAAATTCTGCTCCCTGTCTCCATTTTTGGTGTGGTCCTATCAAGCAGCCGACAGGCAACGTTGTTTTTACGGCTGAGATCAAGTCTTCCAATAACCATGGCTGGTTGAGGGGTGTGTGCCCCTTTCGCCGCCGCTGAGCTTACTATGACCGACACACGACTATACGGCTCGTACAGTTGACCAGTGAAAGCCCTAGGCAGCAACTCCTCGTATCGAATAGTCAGGCTACATATCCTACGTGGCATGACCTCGGTCCTGCGGTAGCAGTGTCGCTCTTTTCTTTCATGTAATTGCAAATTAGGTGGGGGGAGCATACACGTATTTTTTTGCCTGTGAATATGTCGCCCCTTGTTTAGATTGAAGCCACTTCAATGCGGAAATCCGTAATCCGTCGGATGCAGCGTGCTTACATGTACGCAATTTGGGGAGAAGTTGGAGTTGAGGGTTTAACCTTGTTTTTGACTGTGCGTGCGGTCTATTTCCCATGAGACAGAGATAGTGTCTTCGGAAGTTTAATAACTGTAGTCGCCAAAGACAACACACTGGTAAACAAGCTCACAACTGAATTGGAGGCAACAGTTATTACAGTACTATTACACTTGCTGGCCGCAACAAACTGGTCGCCTGTGTGCTTATTCTTGCCCTAAAGTTCTTCTGCATCCTCTGCATGATACGCCACAATGAGGATTAATTTCTTGACATTTCTTACCGCACTTTTGTTGCCCAAATGAGGCTCTCGATGCGTTACCCTAGCCAGAGACTTCAGCTTAGAAGCCAATGCAACGCAACTAAGGTCAGCGCTCGAGCCACCGAATCCTTGTGGCGCCGAGGAATCGATTCCTTCTTTACTCAACTTCCTAATACAGTCGGTCCGAATTAGGAGCGGAAGCAGACGGCATCACCACTTACTGGAAGAGGAAGATGAAACAAACGACAGCCAATAGGCTGGGGTTCGGGATGTCGCTAGCTGTCATGAACGGGAGCCCACGGCATCAAGGCTTTAGCGCGGAATAAGTGCCGAAAGACATGATCAGACTTGTATTAGATCACATCCAGAACCGGAACGTGTCCTTCCGTTGTCCTCTTTCGACCTTGACATGCGCAGTGGGGGCTCATGGATCCGGGGCTGGGTAACTGCTCCTACGTGGGGTTGGTGATGTTCAGCTTCACTTCACAGAGGCTCACATTGGAGGTATCTGACAGAGACTTCGTACAGTAGAGCCTAGAGCCTAACCTGAAAGAATTTCACACGAGAGGACGAAATATGGCATTGGTTCTGAAAATCTATAAAGGAGATGGGAATCCCATCCCACTGTTGTCAGACAGCAATCTTCAAGACACTCGACAATCGCCTACTACAAGTTCAAGACTCACAGGTTCACCATGAAGCTCAACATTGCGGCGTCCGCTCTGGCCGCCTCTGGCCTCGCTGCTGCTTCAAACTCTTTTGCAGGATCCAGCTTGTATTTCCTTCCTGGACTTTCGGCTTCCGACCAAGCTCATTACATCGACACTCTCGCCAGCTATGGAGCCAAGGTGGTTCGCCTTTGGATCAACAAGCATTCGACTGGTTGCGATAAAGGCAGCAACGTTGTCACGTATGCTGATGATTTCGAAACAACCATTGGATCATACAATTGGGACAATCTCGCAAAGGTTGACAAAGTTCTCGCTCAACTTGCTGCAAAGGGAATGAAAGCCATCATCTCTCCCCACGACGGAAATGTCATTCATGACTCCAGCGTCAACACACCCAACGGCTGTGATGTTTACTGCACCACCTATAGGACTTCGTTCTATAGCAACGCGAATGCCCAGGCTCAATACGACGCTCGTATCAAGGCCATCTTGACCTACAAATCGCCCAGCAGCGGCCTTCAGTGGGGTAACTGGTCTGAGGCCATCCTGGCATTTGACCTGCAGAACGAACCTTTCCAGTTCACCAACGATGGAGCCAACGGTGATCCTTCCAACTGGCTCTGTGGCCGAGCCCAAAACTTTAAGAAGTACATTACGGATTCCAACATCAAGGTCGCAACCGGAGGCATTGGTGGCGACCAGGTCCACGGCCATAACCTGCTCTCCAAGGCTCTGACTTGCTCGGCCATCGATATCATTAGCATCCATGCTTATGTCGGCGATGCGTCTACCTGGGGTTATCTTCTCCCCGGCTTTGAGTCTACGGCCGCTGCCAACAACAAGCTTCTCCACGTCGAAGAATGGGGAGTCCAGACAAGTTATGGTTCGGGCTTCAACGACCAAGCCGCCTCTCTTAATGCTCAAGGTATTCCATGGGTATGTATAGCCTCACAACTCAGGCGCCATCCAAACCCCTGTTGAACCTTTTATTTCGATGCTAACATATAACCGTGAAGACTTACTGGCAAATGATCCCAGGTAGCGATGGTACCCAGTCCTGCTCAAGCGGCTGCTGTACTGGCTATGACGGTTTCGAAGTCAGCTTCACCAGTGGAAAGGGAAACCTCAAGAATGCCATTGCTCAGGCCAATAGCAAGACGACAAAGCAAGACTGGAGCTTTGTTGGAGCGCCCCCGAATGGAGGCTCTGGCACTCCTCCGCCACCTCCAAGCTCCAGCAGTTCACCACCACCTCCGCCACCTTCATCCTATCCCAAGGATACTTGTACTTGGGGGTAAGTTTCTCTCTCCTTTTGCGTCACCTACATCAGTGCATCAGGGGACCGAGCTGACAAATGAATCTTTCTAGTTGCGAGGGTTGGGATTGCAGCAGTTCCGTTCCTTGCCAATCGGCTTACTCTTGCGTTGGAGGATACTGCAAAAACTGCAACTGGGGATGCGGTGGCTGGGATTGCAGTGCATCTCAGCCTTGCAACGCGGATTATACTTGTGTCAATGGCATCTGCCACCACGCTGGTCCTGCAACCGGCAAGAGGGATTTGTCTGGGACACAGGATCTGCCTGCTGTCGCGTGGGTTGCATAATGCCTTACGCCCTTGGCTACAGGTATATGTGCATGTATATAGGTCAAGCATCTGTCCGAAAATGCTTTAACGCGCAACTGGATAAAAGATGAAGTATATAAACTTAGTTTTGTTCTGTAGAGGAGGAGATTAGGGGTAGGAGAGCACAATATGAAAAGTTTAGTTGAGCGAGCATCCAAGGCCCTTGTATAACACTTTGAAGATGTGACGCCCGCCATTTTCCTCATATTGCAACTTGAACACATAAGCCGGGCATTTTCGTCTATTTAGAAAGTCAGTGACAGCGCTAACTTGCGAGCGGGGTCTTACTTGTAATTGGTGATCGGTTTGGAGTATCTCTTCCGTATTATTAGCCTGATCTTCATCACTGCTCTTCCCCCCAACCCATTGTGGTGATATCTGGCGATAGTCTTGTTGATTTACCTCACATGCCATTAATGTTCCTGCACTAGAAAGAAGTGCAGTTGGGGCAAACGAAGTTTGCGCCTATACGAAAGGAAGCACCGGGCCATGACTGTTCAAATACATGTAGGAATTCTCCATCATGGAAACAAAACATTCTTAGGTGTTTTCTTCTCCCTATTTCTGCCTAAATGTGTCGCCTCCGCATTGCTCTAAACTCTTGACAATAACCATTACCGAGATGATATGTCCCAAGCATGAGGTGCTCTTGTGTTACATTGCAGCGGGCATCCTAACATAGGCGCGCCAATTGCCAGTCGGCTAGAGTTTTGTAAGGGATATAAAAGTGAGCCATCTGCTGATCAAACAGTCGCAACTAATTCTCTGGCGTACAACCTTGATCGTACAATATATAGACATCAGCACCAGTCCTTCATCACCTGATCGCCATGCGATCAGCTGTCATTCCATCGCTAGGCCTTGCTCTACTGTTCCAGAGAGCTGGGGCCGATACAACACTTTCCATTGATCCCACTTCCAACTGGGGTACGTGGGAAGGCTGGGGAGTGTCCCTTGCCTGGTGGGCGAAAGCCTTTGGCAACCGAGATGACCTGGCCAATGTCTTCTTCACAAGGAACAACCAAGTCATCAATGGCCAAAACTTGCCGGGCTTGGGCTTCAACATTGCTCGGTACAATGCTGGCGCATGCAGCACCAACACTTATAACGGCACCAGCATGGTAGTCTCGTCGAGCATCAAGCCGTCTCGGCAGGTTGATGGCTACTGGCTCGATTGGGCCAGCACTGACCCTGCTTCATCCAGCTGGAACTGGAATGTCGATGCCAACCAGCGAGCAATGTTGCAAAAGGCCAAAGCAAAGGGTGCAAACATCTTTGAGCTCTTCTCCAACTCGCCTATGTGGTGGATGTGCTTGAATCATAACCCGTCGGGAAGCGGCTCGAGTGATAATCTTCAGTCATGGAACTACCAGAATCACGCTGTTTATCTTGCCAATATTGCTCAACATGCTCAACAGAACTGGGGAATTCAGTTTCAGTCAGTCGAGGCCTTTAACGAGCCGTCGTCGGGCTGGGGACCTACCGGTACACAAGAAGGCTGCCATTTTTCGGTATCAACGATGGCTACAGTTATCAATTACTTGAACACTGAGCTTGCGCAACGTGGGCTGTCATCATTTGTTTCTTCATCAGATGAGACCAGTTACGACTTGGCTATATCGACTTGGCAAGGCCTAGGCAGTTCTGCGCAAAATGTTGTGAAGCGTGTCAATGTTCATGGCTACCAGGGCGGCGGCGGACGACGTGATACGCTGTACAGTCTTGTAAGTCAAGCCGGGAAGAGACTGTGGAACAGTGAATATGGCGATTCGGATGGAAGTGGAAAATCGATGTATACAAACCTGCTCCTCGACTTTACTTGGCTCCATCCTACCGCTTGGGTATACTGGCAAGCAATCGACGGTTCGGGCTGGGGACTCGTCGTTGGCGACAACGATCAGTTGACGCTTTCATCCGCAAACACTAAATACTTTGTACTGGCGCAGTTTACTCGCCATATCAGGCCCGGCATGCAGATCTTGACCACCCCTGATGGTAACACCGCCGCTGCTTACGACTCTGGTTCTCAAAAGCTCGTCATTGTTGCTGCAAACTGGGGCAGTGCTCAGACTATCACTTTTGACCTTACTCGTGCTAAGACTGCCGGCAGTAATGGAGCGACAGTCCCACGATGGAGCACCCAAACAAGTGGTGGAGACCAATACAAAAGCTATTCGGATACAAAGATCAATAACGGGAAGTTCTCTGTGTCTTTTTCTACTGGACAGGTGCAGACATTTGAGATTAGCGGTGTTGTGTTGAAATAATGAGCCAAGTTATTTTTGGGGTTGGATGCCAAAGTGTCTGGAGAATTCCACATTATAGTATGATCAAATAGTAAACTATCAAATGCATTCAACATGAGGGTCAAAGTGTAAGATGACTGATGCTATCAACAGGCCTTAACATATGTATAATAGATGGATTCATCTTCACATGTCCCAAGAGTTCCTTTGTCTTGGTAACAAGATGAGAACCAATATTGTGAATTCAGCGAATGAAAGACGAGGTAGCCTATATAAAAACAAATAAACCAAAAGTGTTCAACAAGCTCGATTGGGATTTCATGATTGGTCAATCTCGATTACCTAATCAGCGCCCTTATAGCTCAGTGGTAGAGCGTTGCACTTGTAATGCAAAGGTCCATAGTTCAATCCTGTGTGGGGGCACGAAACAAGATGTTTCTCTTTTTGCTTTTTGCAGCATGTGTGAAGCATTTGACTCTCTCTCCGATGTCATGGTCGTTCTTTTTCCGATGCTGTTTGCAAGGCAATTTGCTTTAATGTTAATACACAAGTTCTGGTCTACTTCATAAGGTATCTGGGACAGGAAGTACCTTGAAAGTGTGTATGGAGGAGTCCATACAGTGGCAATGTCGGTGGCGGCGTCTTGACTCATGAATACTCCCGAGGCATTAAAGCGAGTGGCTTTTTCAGGGCCACACAGACCACATCTGTCCATGTATATATAGTGTGAGGCGGTCCCAGTAGTATATGAAGCTTCATTCTATAAATTAGAGCTCATGGTTACATCCAACTAATACCCACAAATTGAATGACGACGAATGAAGCCAGAGGACATTCGCTCAAGCAGGTGAAAACACACCTAGAGCTTCTAACAAAGCCCTTGGCCCTTATAAGCTGCAATATGTCGAAATATTCCCAATACTTAGTGCCCTTGTAGCTCAGGGGTAGAGCGTTGCACTTGTAATGCAAAGGTCCATAGTTCAAATCTGTGCGGGGGCATTTATTTTTGCCTTTTTGCCCTTTACCTCTGAACGTGTACGACAACAGCTGTGTTCTCCATTGTGGTCTTTTTTTCTTCTATTTCTCTTTTGTATAAATCGCTTTCTCTTGATTGTTTGGGCTATTTATTGTCTGGGTATGTCGAGAGACCTGAGTAAGATGTTCTTGGGGAGGGCTCTCCAAAATGATGGCATCCTCATCAGTTAGACGAGCACTGGCTGCCAGCTGCTCATGACCAACGACAAACCATCGAGAAACGCACGCTCGACCGAACAAGTGTGAGAAAAATCAAGCTGTGATGCAGGGCACTTTCATCTCACCGCCTTCGAACCGCCTCTCCTCTCCTCTGAGATGCACCAATACCTTCTTTCCTTGACCACCCTCTCCCAAGACCGCAGGCTGCAAGACCACCAGATTGAATCCCTTCTCCCCCTTCAAACCTCACAACGATGGAGGTGATATCGGCATTGCAGCCGCAAAACATGAACGACTTCATACACGGCCTAGCTACCATGTCAAGAGTGCAGAGGGAAATCCGACGACGAGCCACCTCCATCGCCGATGCAAATCGCATCCAAGAAATCACCTCGTCGACTCCTCAGCGCAGCCTCAAGCGTCTTCGAACCTCTGCATCGCCCATATCCATCGCCTCGACTCCTCCCCGACGAGCGCCTCGCAGAGTCAAGAGTGAGCGTGACAGGCTCTTTGATGCCATCGAGGCTGGAGCCGACTATCCTCTCAAGCCTGTGCCCATCAAGAGTGCAGATGACTTGAACGATGCTCAGCTGAAGAAGTGCTACGAGATTCTGCATGCGTGCGGCAGTGCGACGGATCCAAATGCCAGCTTGACCAAGACGAGGCAGAGCATCGATGGCTTCTTGGATGCCGTCTTCAACGACTGGTCGAGCTGCAAGGCTGGTGCTTTGCTGCGCTCGGAGCTGGACTTTTTGGTGGATGCAGAGGTTGTGGCAGGAAGACTATGTGGTGAGTGGACATTCTGACGTACTTGGTGTCTGTTCCATGTCTTGTTTTCCCTCATCATTCATCAAGATGTACCTCCAGCTAATGAACAGCTTAGGGAAGCCTCAAGAACATGCAAAGCTGACCGACTGTGCCGCTGGCTCCCTCTGTGCGGCGAATGTGTCCGCCGTGGCTACCTACTGCAACAATCCGCCCATGTTCAAACTCGAGTTTTCAATCATCGACGAGCTCTCTGGCCAGCCAGAGGCATTCTGTCCCATCTCCCGCAAGGACATCAGATGGGTAGAAAACGACTGGGTCCAAGAGCTGCGACAGAGTCTTCGTACCAAAGTGATTGCGAAAATTCACAAATACAACAAGCATCTTGCTATATGGCAGGCTCGCAGGCTCATTGCGGAATGGGCCAAGGGAAGCTTGTCGTTGGGGGACGACGTGAGTAAGATGGGCTTTTTGGAGCGAGAGACGGCGGATGTGGCTACTGTTGGGCTTGGGGGAGCTATCGAGAACAAGTAGGGCGCTGGTATGCGAGGTTTCGGGTCTTTTCTTCTTCTTCTTTTTCTCGATTGGCGTTGGCAATACCACGGGCACCAAGGATACGAGGGCAATCACATATTGGGCTACAAACATGGGATTTAGCATTTGGGGTTCACTAGTCACGACAGGATGGATAACGAAAGCGCAGGAGCTTATTGGGTGGGAGTGTTTACTGGGAAGGCAACTTTCAAGCATCGAGGGTTGATGTATTTTAGCTATCAACAAATGCTCTCCCGTCAAGTACACGCTCACTTATTTCCATGGACCGTGTAAAACGTTGATCACAAATTGATCCTGCTTCTCTGCCTCGAAATTGCTACCCTGTCAGTAGTCGTCCCTCTTCATCCAAGGAGCGCATTCTTCGAAAAGTCTCTCATGGGCAGCTCTGTCGCCGGTCCTGTCCAACAACTCCTGGTATAATATCTCATCGGTACGTTTCACAAAGATGACCGCTCCCAGCCACACAAAATCCGCATAGCTCACCTCCTTGCCCAGGAAAAACGGCCCCTCAGCCTGTTTCCCCTTCAAGATGGCCGTCAGCTCACTCATGGCCGGCTGGGCCGCCGCCCAGGCCTTCTCGCCGCCGAACTGGCGCTCGTATTCATCGAGGGGCATGCCGTATTCCCTGGTGTACTGGCCAACCCAGTAGTCGTAGCTCTTGTCGGTGAGGATGACCTGCGAGATTTTGTACATGAGGACGGGGTAGAGAGGCCTGATGGAGCGCAGGACGAGACGCTCTATGCTTTGGACGGTGGGATCATCTAGGTGGACGGGTGGAGAAGGATGTCTCTGTTCAATGGCCTCTGCAATCTTTCTCGACTCCATGACGTAGGTTCCATCTGGGAACTGGATCGTGGGGATGGAATATGCTCGGCCTGTTTCATTGGGTGGGAGGCTGAAGGAGAGGTTAGTTGGTTGCTGGAAAGTAATTCATTGTGCCCTGATGAAGGATATATATGCGTACTGGGGCCTGATTCTGGGTGCAATCTCCGGGTAGTTGAGCTGGCTCATGTCATTAGCGACGGTTACTCTAGATGAGTGGTGCATAATGCCTACCCATTCTGTCTTGTACTCAAGGCCTTTGTAATTCAAGAGGAAACGTGCTTTATGGATAGTTACGTTAGCCGTGATATAGAGAGGGGAAAAGACGAGTAGTCTAAACAATGATAGGTGATGGTATATATCACTTATACATATCCCGGGTACTTACTCTTCCAGGGGTTCAAAGACCACGAAGCGCATGGCTCCTTGCTGGGCAAGTCAAACAAAGTTATTTCCTGAGAACCCATGGCTGCTTGTTTTTCAGATCATAGAAAATACCATGAAAAGAAGAAGAAGAATAGCATTGAGGTGTTTTCTCTCTCCTTATTTTATATCCATCTCCTCCCAGATACTACGCAAAGACAGACCCCGCCCATACAAAGGGCGCGGGTTTGCCATCTTGCGGCTCCCAGCACTTGGACTAGCTCATCCGTCCCAACTAGGGAATTATCTCCATCACAGATATTCCCCTTGTTGACGCGCATCATACAACCGCGGTGCAGATCCTCCGATCCACAATCTGTAGACACACTTGAATTGCTTGAATTCAATGGATCCTTCCGAAGACAATGCGGCAAGGATTCCGCAGAACTTCGGCTTCTTCCGCGCACATGCCGAGCACCGAATCAATACTCCGTCGGCATGTATCGTGCAGTAGCACAGCGTTTTAGGCATTACAGCAAGCATATCAAGAGCAACAGGCCCTGGAATACCACCAGCCCTCGCCTTGTTTTACCATGTTAGTCATGGTGCGCGCGTGCCCTCGAATGCCAAGACGTTTTTATCCCTGTGGAACTTCAAAGGGGGCAAAGCTTGCAAGGGTCAAGTGGAAGCTGAAGCGTGAAGCCAGTGCACATCCAGCAAAGGCGTGTCTTGGCAGCCCTGCTCCCCGCAAAACTATGTGCTGGCGATGGCGTTTTTTTTTTGTCTCCTGGGGGGTGGGCATGGGGTACGCGGCTTTGGGGGAGGGAAGATCCGGGAATCATCCCGGGAGAGAGAGGGATGGTCATGATGACGATGCGTTGTGGTGAGGAGGATACGAGTAGGGAGGGGATGGCTTGGATTGGGCAGAGCAAGACGATCAGGGGGAGTTTGAATGCATACCAGAATCTTACACGACGTGAGTCTACGGGAGAATGGCAAGGATACAGCAACATCATCGCAATTGCTTCTAATCAGATCACATCAATTGGGAGACAAGGCTTGCTCTCAAGGTAAAATCTACACGCGTACTTCCTATTTTCTAAAACTAAAAACATAAGACATATAGAGTAACAAGACATGCCCCAGGGCTTTTACAAAATACTATTCACACAAGACTCGCCGCCCCTCTATTCCCAGTCATAACAAGGCTTTCCCGCGCCAAGAGATCGACGCCGTTTTACCCGTCCATTCACCCCCCGTCCAAGACATTAATTAACCGTCTGACGACTGACGCGTATACCATCATGACTCCACCGCCGGAGATAATAACCCCCTTGGCCAATCAACTTGCTCTGATAAAAAAAAGAAAAGCAATACTCCGTAGGCTGAGGGTTTGTCTTTAAAAACGCCGTGGTCCCCTCGCCTTTCCTTGTTTGATTAAAATCACAAGACAATAACGCCACGCTCAATGTGAGCCGTCTCATTGACCAGCGGCATGCAGCCAAACATCCTTGTCAGGTCGTTCAAGCACTTGCTGCGAGCCTCGAGGTGGCCGGGCTTCTTGCTGATGCCCTGAGCCGGCTCGTAGTTGACATACTTGTCGCGGCCCTTGACCAGGAGGGGTCCGGTTCCGGTGAGGTACGACGCGACATAGTTGAGGGCAATGTCCTCGCAATTGAAGTGGTCGTCGACATAATCACGAACCTTTTGCATGACGGTGTTGTTGGACGAGTAGTAGTCGAGGAAGGACATGTGGGAGAAGCACAGGTTTGTGATGATCATGGAGTAGACGTCCTGGTTGCTGTCCTTGGAGCAGAAGCCGTAGCCCCAGTTGCCCTCGGCGTCTGGGGTCGCACAGCGCGGCAGAGCTCCCGTCAATCGATGCTGACCAAACTTGCGCCACGTCTGAAAGGCAAACTCGAGGTCCTGCGGCTTATAGTACACGTCGTCGTCCGAAAGCAACACGGCCTGGGTCTTGAAGTCCGGATCCGGCAGCAGCTTCATGTTGAGGCTGTTGCGCTCCGACACCCGGTAGCGCACGGGCACGCCCGTCTCGGACTTGAAGTTGCCGGGGGGCTTCTCCTCGAGGTTGTTCCAGACGATGACGATTTCGTGCAGCGAGGCAATCTTTTCGGACAGGATAACGCGGAGCGTCTCGTCGAGCTCCTTGGGCCGCTTATAAGTCTGCATCGCGATTCTGCGGGAAGAAGACGAACATCGGTTAGCATTTCAATTGCAGATCGAAACAACCGGATTCGCCGAGCCGCCGTCTGTCCCGATGACGCATCAACGTCACACAGAAAACGCTCCCCGCAAACTTACGTGAACTTGTCATCCATCAACTTGCCATATTTCTTCTGCGCTTCCTTCCACTGCTTGAGGGGCTCGGTAATGTTCCTGTCGCATTTGTCATAGTGCTCCGGCTCGTGCGATCCCGAGAATCCGGGGATGTTGGGCAGCTTGGACATGTCGATGTCGGGCAGCTTGACGTCTGGCAGCTTCAGGTCGTTGAACCTCGCGGGCGGCCCGAGCCGGACAAGAATGACAATGACGCTGGCCAGGACAAAGGCGGCGGCCACGAGAGTCACGACCCGGCGGGCGGCCAGAGCCCGCAGGCCGGCAATGTACTTGGCCACCATGGTAGACCGTCTGGAGAATCTTGCGGGCGACGAGAATTGGAGATGCCGCGTTCAAAGGAGAGTCGGGATCGGAATACGAGGATTTCGTTTTCTCGTTTGATGCGCTGCGAACCTAAAGGGGCGCAGTCTTCAGGAGAATCACGTGACGATGGCCTTTTGGCTATCTGACGCGATCGGCGGCCCCTGTTTTTGCCTGTTTTGGCATATCTGCGACGCAAACAGCAAAGTCACCAGAGTATTGATAAAGTTGCCCGATTCACTCTCTTGCGACGCATTTGCATCAATGGCTGCAACTCACCTACCCGGTAGACGCACAACAGTCTGCAATGGAAATCATAAAAATTGCTGTAGAAGTCGTGATGTGATGCTACGACATGACATGTGACCAGCAGTACAGTAGTGCTCTTCTCCCATTGGCGGCTGGCTGCAGATCAGCGACAGTTGTCTCGGAATTTGCTGCGCCCATCTGTTACACAGCGGTTGAGCCAATGGCAGCAATGCGCGCCGTCTCCAGCCAAGAAACAAGTTTGCAGAGGACGGAGAAACGAGCAGTTCCAGACTCTGAAAGGCTTTCGTGGCTACAGGCAGACCTTCTCGTCCATGTAATGTATGCAAGTTGGTGGTAGTCAGTCAACTCTTGTATAGAACACGAAGAGCCTTGGCCATCGTTGCCACTGCGGCCCTTTATCCAACAGCTGCCTCAAAGTACATGTATGTATGCTACGATGGCCCGATATATCGTACAAATACTGGACGAGACGTCTCGAGTGGGTGAGGGGGCCTTGGCCCACAAGTGAGAAAAATATAGCTGCTTCTAGCACAGCAGTCCGACACGGCGAGACACAGTCAGATTCTCCAGTTTAGTCGTGAGTATCATCTAGACGCCACCATATGGAGCACAATTTGGCCGCGATTGTCCCATTGGCAACGTACTCGTAAATACAGTGCAGAGACGGGAAGGGACTTGACCGCCGGCGTACTCGGGGCGGCGGCTGATCAACAGCAGAAGGGCCTGTCAACTGAGAAAATCCTTTCACCAGATAGCCTCGGTTGCCATGGTCGCGCGACACACTGCCATCAAGGAACATTTTGTTCATGCCGCCTTGCATGATTTAGTGAGAACAAGCAACCAACAAGCGACTCCATTTACAATGACACTCAAAAGGTGTTGGCAGAACAGATTCGGCTGGGCGCCGAGATTGCGTGCAAACAGCCCGCACTCTGTGTCGGCCAACAAAGTCCCCCCCCTGCATGAATTTTTACGCCATTGCTCCCGCCGAGTCTACAGCAGGACTTGAGATTCCGCTGCTTGTTCCGAGATGAAAAACGGGGGTTCAGAGGGCGGGCTAGTGAAGAAGCAGACAAGCCGCGGGCTTCTTCCACGTGTGAATCGACGAGGGAAACGCCAGCACCTGAACCAGAGCGCGCTGCAGAACAAGGCCTGCGAGGTTGCATTGGCTAGCTTCCGAGGGCTGTGACAAGGGGGCCCCTCCAGATTGTCTCGCAATGCTTCCCTGCATCGCATAGGGCTCTAGAAAACCCACCCGCCACCCTGTAAGCATGGAGACATATCTGACTTGTTCACTGATTCTCGGCGTCGAGGGCAGGGCACGGATGCCCGGGCCAGATCTGCTAGACTACATGTAGGCTTCGATTTGCTACTGTATGTACGAGTACTTGTAAGGCAAGGTACTATAGGTACTCTATTGCAGACATGTGCTTTTTGCAGGGGAGAAACGCCGTGCCGCCTTGTGTTGACGAGCCACGGCTTGCAGGGCGGAGCAGGCTTGCGCGTAGAAGACGGAGCGTCGATGGATTCGGCATCGACTGCGCTCTTGCAGCCACTGGACTGTTGGAAAAAGCTGCAGCCGGATGCCCAGGTAGGAAGGTAAGCAGTTCGTGCCATGCCCCATCGGCGAGGAACGGCACAAACCCAGAGAACACAAACCTGGCGAGCGTGGCTGGCGGTAAAATGTGTTAGTAGCTTCAATGGTTCACTCACTCACATGTCGACGCCTCTTCAGTCTAAGGGGCCGTGAAGCCAGAGCTAGCACTGGGTAAATTCAAGATGGGTGAATGCTAAATTCAAATCACAGTGATGACACATGAAAAAGACAGGGCAACCCCCACAACCCGAGCCATGTCAGCAAAAGGCGTCGTGTACTCGTAGAGGCGAGACAGGCGGTGCTGCTTGCTTGGGGCCCCGAGGTAAGTAAACTCTGTAAAAGGGGGCGATGCGGGCGTTGGTAAATTGGACGGCCAAGAGCTTCTCTCGGGCCAATGTTTGTTTCCGCTTCAGTTCTTGTCAATGTGAAACTCGGTACGGCAGCTTGGCAGCACCCATGTAGTAGTACTGTAGTCGTTCTCTGGGGAGCTGGATGGATGATGGACATCAACAAGAGCTGAGTCTTGAACATGCTTCTGTAGGGGCGGGAAGGAAAAAGTCTAGTAAAGCCATCGCCACACCTTTGTGGCCAATTTGCTGGAGACTGGATCTTGTCTCGTAATTTCTTTACCAAGCTACATCTTAGTACCCAGTGGATGAACCTTCATCCTTCTCCTCTTCAATGCCTCTTATAGAAAAGTGAAAAAACTTCAGCGCCTCGTCCTCTACAAATGTGTCAAGTTCTTTCAGTTATGCCGCTGTCAGGCCACAAAAGCTTTAGTCTACCCAAGCCTCGACGGTGGGCTTCGTCAGTGAAGCCCGTTGCAAATCAGAACGGCAAAAGCGCCCGCTAGTGAGCATTCGCCGGGCTCGCTCGTCAGTTTCTGCAACGGGGCTTTGCGCCGGTCGCAGGCCAGACAAAAAACGCTGCTATTTTCGAGTCGGCACCCTCCGCTGGTGGCCCCGAAACCCACAATCTTGCTCGATCGGTCCAAGGGGGCCCCAATCCGATCGCTGCAAGTGCGGTTCCAGTCATGCGATTTGCGCCTTTAGCCCTTGTAGCTCCGTCCCCCTGACTTGTTCCTCTTGTCTCGAACCAAGTTTCTGGAACATGGCGCTAGTTGTGGCTTTGACGAGAGCTGAGAAGGAGGGCAGCTTCTTTGTCCCCATGCTATCCTTGGCGAAACATGAAGCAGAGAGAGAAGACACGGGCCAGCGGTAGATACGACCGGTACGAGGTGGTATTGCTTGCGGTAATACTACCTTGCTGTCCTTGTTATATACCCTGAACAATATTGGTTCAGCCGCAATGTTCCCCGGATTGGACACGAGGCCTGGGTTGGGTGTCTTGTCCGGTTGCCAAGGCGGCCTCGGGGCCCATGTAGTTGCTTTTCTCTCTCCCCTCTTCTCTACTGGCATTTGAAGAAATAGAGATTCAAGTACTCGAAGTAGGGCCATGACACATCTATGATACGCCATGGCCCAAACTCCATACACAGTACGGAAACCATCCCGCCATTGGCCGATGCTGGTGCCGTCTCGCTGTGGGGACATCCGTCTTCTTTTCTATGCTCACTGCCCGAGAGCAAGTTAGCTAGGCACATGAATTAGCACGGAGATGCATGCCTAGTAACCTTTCAAGCCCGTCACGCTGCGTAATTGGGCCGGCGGGCCCCTCGCTCCTCGGGTTCCTGAGTCGTGAGCCAAGAAGGAGGAGCTCCCATACAAGTCAACGAACGCCTCAACGCCAAATTAGTGCCACTCGCCCCAGTCGCTCGGTTTTCAAGACCCATGGAGGACATCATGTCCAATGTTATGCCGTCTGGTGCCTTCAGCTTGTTCGCGTCTTACTGGGCACACATACTAGCCAAATCGAAACTGTTCTTCGGCAGAGAGCATCAGCGGGGAAACTTACATAACGATTGCCCCATACACGCAATCAAAGATTCGTCTTTAACACCAGCATCTCAGCCACTCTTTTGTTACAATTTTTCTCTTTCCGTCGTTTTCTCCGTTTCTGTGTGGCTTCCACCGCCGAGGTGTCTGAAGACAAGATTGGACTTCTGGGCCGAGTTAAAGTTTCTAGTCTCTCCCATATCCAATCATTAGTTGCAGATTCCCGGACCCAAAGATCTAAATCGCCACCCTCGCCTTCGATTCGTTCCATAGACGGCCCATGTTCAAAAGACGATGCGCAACACCAATCACTCATAATCCTAGCATTCTTCAATAGGAAACGAACATACTTTAAATGCCATGAACATATGGCTATTAGCACTTGCGGTTCTGGCTACCGCACCAAAAGCCTTTAGCCAGAGTACCGGCTCGAGTCTCTCAGGTATCGATGCTGTGGCAGAGATGCCCGCGTGTGCTGTATGTGTGCCCTTCCGTTGGATAAGTCCTGTGCACATACAAAGTCCGTCATCTAACCTCCATCTCACAGCGCGAGTGCTTTGTTCAATCGCTTGCATCATCACCATGTCAGCCGACAAACACGACTTGCATATGCACGAATCCGACGCTGCAGCAGAATATGCAAGGCTGCGTATTGAAGAGTTGCAAAACTATAGAAGCCCTGCGTAAGGCTAACAGACATGCCAAAGACGTCCAATGACTCCTAACAGTGATATAGAAACACAGAATTTGACATCGGTAGCCTGCAACCAGCCCATCAGAGACAAATCACGAACATACATCACCCTCAGCAACACCTTTGGCGTCTTGGCTGGCGTTTTTGTTCTTCAACGACTTGCATACAAGATCTGGTCCAAGATGGGACTGAGCGGGGACGACTGGATGGCTTTGGCGACTGTGATCGTGGGTATTCCGAGCACCACCATCAGCGCTCATGGAGTGACGAAACCTGGACTTGGTCGTGATATCTGGACCTTGCAGCCTGCAGATATTACCAGATTCGGTCTTTTCTTCTGGATTCTGGAATGGAGCTATTTCGCAGAAGTCGCCATGCTCAAGCTCTCCGTCCTGCTCTTCTATATTCGCATCTTCCCAAGCCCCGGGGTACGTCGCCTGCTCTGGGGAACCTTTATTTTCACCACGCTTTATGGTATCGCGTTTCTCCTGGTTGCTATATTCCAATGCACGCCTGTCAAATTTTACTGGGAAAAATGGGATGGGTTACATGAAGGCACATGCTTGGATATAAATGCCATTGCTTGGACGAATGCCGCCATCAGCATAGCGGTTGACATTTGGGTTCTGGTCATTCCACTGTGGCAGCTCAAAAGTCTCAATTTGGACTGGAGGCGCAAGCTTGGCGTTGGAGTCATGTTTTGTCTTGGTGCTTTGTAAGTTGCGAACCTCCTTTTCCCTCTCTTAGCGATCCTGCCTGCTCATCGCGTTGTTAGTGTCACCGTCGTGAGCATATTGCGTCTCAGGTCTCTTATTCAGTTCGGCACCGATTCCCTGAATCCCACGTGGGATTTTTACGATGTCAGCATTTGGTCTGTTGTGGAGATTAATACCGGGTTGATCTGTATCTGCTTGCCCTCCCTCCGCCTTCTGCTCGTCCGCATCTTCCCCAAGCTGCAGGGCACGACGGAACGATACTATGGAAAGAACTCGAAGCGAAACCGAACGGCAAGCAACAAACGGGTGAGCCGACTTCCCCTGGGACATAGCGCTGGTTCGCATGTGGACAGATCACAACCTCATCCCGACATTGAAGCCAACCGAATTGCGTATCACACGTCGTACACGGTTGAGTATGGCGACAATGACACGGTTCAACTGGTGAACATGAACGATAAGTTTAGCGCCAGGTCAGACGTCAGATCTGAAGTATCATGACAAGGCTGTCTTTTCTTTTGTATTTGCTTTTTTATACACTTAGCTCTCTAATGAGCATGGGAAGGGAATACCTGGGCTTGACGACTTCAAAATGTTTAGACTACCTCCACCTATTCAGAGAGGAATATTCATCACCTCATATGTGTGATGGCCTTTAGACCCTACTACCTTGATGGTAGCTCACGACAAGAAATTATAAATTGATGATTTATGATATGGCATAATATTCAAGTCTTTTATGCTGTGTAACACAATGGGGAGCAATCGTATCCCATGGGGCAAGGGGCCTATCGCCGGATTGCTATGAGAACTGATATGAAATCGAGCAGGGGTTTCGGAATACGTGGGAGACACCAATGGATCAGCGCGCGTTTCGATAGCGATTCCTTGTTGTCTATTATAAGCGTTTTACATGATAGGAGCGTCGTGCCAAGTGTTCAATGATTCAATGACTCGTAAGATCATCGGAGCTAGGTAGACTCGCGTGGTTCGAGAGTGCGCCGATGTAGACGCCAATGCATTTCTCCACCTCAGCTATAGGGTTCATGGTTTGGGTATTGTGTACTAGGTAAACAATGGTATAATTGAGGCCCCATGGATACTACTTTGAGCCAATCTCATGCACAATTGAGGTTGTAGGATTGAACACCAAGGCAGCAGTTCAATAATCATGGCTATGAGTTACTAGGAAAGATGAGACGAGGTGTATGGTGAAACGGCTGATGAGAAAAGGGACTCAAAATTAAGAAGCGAACCTCTGAAATTGTGGGTATGCTCTCCTAATGCTCTCTCTCTCACAATTGACCGAACAGACAATTGATGCTTGATAATTCAACGACATGGCTACTTCATTTATACGGCTGTGACGCTGCCAAATTTGCTCTCCCACTCCTCGTTCACGTCCTCATAGTCCTCTGCGCCGTAGGGGCTCGTCACTTCGGTGAGAAACCCCTTCGGTTTGCGAAGGGGATTTAGGCCGAGGTCCTTCTGCAGCAGGTCGAGGTAGTACACGGCGTCGAAGATGGTGGTTGGGGACTTTGTTTCAGCAGGGTAACGCCACCTGCCGAAGCGGTTGTGAAGCATCGTCTCATATCGTAGCTTGGCCATAGCCTCTTTGTCGTCGACGGCTTGTGATGGATCGTTGACGAGGAGGCGCCGGAAATAAGCGCCAATCCAGAGGCCCTGGAGGTGTGCGGTTATCGTGTTGCTGAAATTGCTAACGAAGCCGCAGAAGGCGATGTCGCGGGGTCGGAGGAAGCGTTCCGATGGTGGTACGAGGAAGTGATACAGCATGAAGGGGGTTTGAGGGGTATATGGCGTCATGGCTCTTTCGCTGGAGATGCCCTTTTGATTTGTTAGGGGGATGTAGTTTTTGTTCCAGACGGGCTGGTCGGTGAGCCTGGGGAAACGGGTCGAGATCTCCCTGTCGGCGCGTTTGATGAGGTCCTGCTGGTTGGCGAGATCCTCTGGGGGAGCCTCTGTGTCGATTTCATGTGGCAGACCAAGTTCCTTTTCGATGCCCTCGGGAAGAAACTTGATAGGGGGGGAGCTGAGCCAGCCAGTGTTGGAGATTAAAGCGTCTGATTCGAATGAGGTGCCGTCAGCAAGATGGACCTTGCCGGGACTCAGGTGATCAATCTCGCCGAGGTGAATCTTGATCTTGCCATTCCGGACGAGCTCGAAAAAGTCGGTGTCGTAGTTGAGAATGCTGAAGCTGGCTGCGGTGAACATGGCTGGGAGCCATGGCTTCAGCTTTGCCGTCTCAGGATGGGAATCGTATGCATTGAGACTCATGACGTCGCCACCAAGGATAGCCCAGAAGGCATTCACGATGAGGCGGCCGATAAAAGTGCCGTGAAGGAAGCGCTGGATACCGGTGTAACCTGCAGCACCGCTGTAGACACAGGGACTGAACCATGTGAGGAATCGCATATCTGCAAAGTAGCTAGTCAGCTGCCTGGATGGTATCGATGATGAAGACGATGCATACTCGCAAGCTTCTCAATCCATTTCTTGAATGGAGTTACATACGATGGTGCCATCCAGCAGGGACCGTGGCCAGACGCTACATGTTTACTAAGTCAGCACTGTGGATTGACCTTTTTCTGATCTTCGTCAAAGTAGGGAATATGAAGGAGAAGGAATATAAAGTTAAGGGGCCAACGAACATCTAATGACCCAATTCACTTCCACGCCGGCGGTAGCATAGCTGTAAGCGGCATCCCAGCCAAACTTTGTCCCTCCAAATACGGTGACTGCTTTGGAAGTCTTGAGGGTATCTCGGTTCTGTCGAAAGTATTTGCTGTGGAAGATCTTGCCTCCGAAATCCTCCTGGCCGTCAAAGTGAGGCATGAAGGGTTCCGAAGTCAAACCAGTGGCGACAATGAGGCGCTTGGCAAATATCTTGGACTCATGGCCCTCGTGGTTGACAATGGTCAGGGTCCAGCCGCCTTCTGTAGTGTCTTCGTGTTCGGCGACGGCGATCTTGGTTCGAAGACGAATTAACCCGCCGAGGTTGAACTTGTCCACGTAGGCCTTGAGATATGAATTGGTGACCTCTCCGGGAATGTATTGTTCAGGCTTTACAGGGAACTTGTTGGGATCCATGGGGAAATCCGGATACTGGTACGTCCCCAAGAGGTTGTTGCTCTTCACATCCGGATACAATCGCTCGTCGGCCCATGTTCCGCCGACGCTGGACTGGGGATCGAATACCACGAGAGAGTCATCTGGGTGGAGGGCGCGGTATTGCTTCGCGGCGGCCAGTCCGTACCATCCTAGAGCCAAAGACAATTAGCATGTGAGATCTTTCCTTTTCTTTTCTTTTTGCAAAGGCGCGACACAGCTAGAGACGCAGGAGAAGAAAAGAAACGGACATCCAATGGATAGAAAGGGAAATTTGAAGCGAGAACTTACCGGCGCCAGCCACGACGCAGTCAAACGTCTCCATTGTCAGATTCGTTTGCTGAAGCAGATTTCCTCGAAATTGCTTTTTCCCACGTTTCTTTTTTGTTCCAGTCCCCTCTTTGACCACCACCGTGATGGGGAATCATGTTGATCAAATACTGGGCACTCGGTAGGATTCAACCCACAGGGGGGCTTGTCGCACTTTGTGAACCAACCCCATTGTCGCTTAGAACCTTGGCAACTTGGATGATTTTCGAGCTTACGGGAGGATAACTACATTCCTCACTAGGCCAAGGATGACGAAGTGCTGCACATCCAACAGCCTGGATGAACCAACCTGCAGGCCCGTGACCCGCATATGCATGCGGTTTGCTGATTAGGGCCAGACGCGGGAATTCTTCAGCACGGTTTGTAGGAAAAAGGTGAAGAGGGTAGTGAGTCAATTGGGCGCTTCTGCGTCTTTGAGCTAGCGATAGGGCTTAGATCAGATTCAACAAGACAAAATAAATAAACGCCTAGTACTCGATACACAGTCGACTTTCGACAACTGCGATGTAGGCAAGCTTGAACTTTCTTTTTATGGAGGCTGAGCTCGCGGGATTTCATGCCATTCGCGGCACAGGAATCGAGCTCCCCTTACGCTAATAACGGTGTGGAGCTCCGATGCAACTCGTCCACTTTGAGACGGCCATGATGGCCGGGGGTTCATCATTGATACCGTTTGGGTTGTATAGACCCTTGTTTATGGCAGGGTCACTGACAAGACGTTGCCAAGATGACATGGACGAGTGTGTATGCTATCAACGGGTAAGATCGTCCGTCCACCTCTGGAAAAGAAAACCCCCTGGCCCGGGGAGCTTACATGTACGCGGACCTGTGTATTGAGAGAGGGTCGTTGAGAATGAAATATGATGGAATGGCCTCGCACTTTTTTGACTTATGTCAGTGGGTTTGAGTGAGGCTTGAGTCGTTGAGCAAGCACATGTCAGAGCCCAGACACTTCTCCGGCAATCTTGTCTAAGCAAAAGAACACGCCACAGCTGCTCGGCACATCATGTCATCTCCTCCGCCAGATCCGGCTGCGGTGGCTGCAGCCGCTGCAGCTTTTCACCAATTCACAGTTGAGGCTTTCACTCTCTTGGCAGTTGGTATAGCCATCACCGTGCTTAGGACGTATGCTCGCGTTAGATTTGCTGGCTGGCGAGGCCTGAGCGGTGATGACTATCTTGCATGGTTGGCTATTCTCTTCTATATTGCCGAGACTTGTTTGGCATATAGTGTTGGAAATGCGGCCAACGGACTTGCGAATAATAACATGACAGATGAGCAGCGGGCTGCGTTGTCGCCAGATGATCCAGAGTATCATTTGAGGTAGGCAACTGGAGGGAAGAATAGGGGTAGCATCTATGCTGACGAGGTTGACAGAGTGCTGGGATCCAAGATCCAGATTGCAGGATGGTCGACGTATTCGACGCTTCTTTGGACGCTCAAGGCGTCGTTGCTGATATTTTACATTAGACTAACAGTATGTCTTCCCATATAGATCGGTATTCTCCGTCCAAACATCTTTCTGACCATGACTCTTGATTAGGACGGATTGGCCAGGCATTACCGCATTCGAATCTATATAGGCTTCGCTTTCCTTGCGGCTAGCTACATTGTTGTGGCGATGAATCTGTACCTCTCATGTCGACCTTTCCACAAGCTTTGGCAGATATTTCCTGATCCCGGAAGTCAGTGGTCTCTAAGCCGTATTTTCTCTCCAGCCTTTTGCTAATTTTGTTGCTTAGACCACTGCCAGCCTGCCGTTTCTAACCAGATCATCTGGGTCTATTGGGCATTCAATGTGACGACCGATCTATACATCATATCGATTCCGTTGCCTATGCTCTGGACAACTACTCTGAAGCCTTGGAGGAAAGTCGGACTTATTTTTCTCTTTAGTGGCGGACTATTCGTCGTCGTTTGCGCGACTCTTCGCTGTGCGCTCATCGTGTTGGTACGCTGTCAATACTATATACAAGGCGTACAGACTCGAGGCTAACGTAAAGTAATTTAGGATACGGCAAATGGTGCGCAGCTAGCTGGATCTTGGGCTGTGAGAGAAACCTTTGTCGCAGTCGTCACCTCCAATTTACCCATGCTCGTTCCTCTGCTCAAGATGTTGATTGGGCCTTTTATTGGATCCATCCTTTCCTCGAGGCGCTCAACACAAAAGCTCGAAGATGCAACACCGAAAGACCTCATTACCTTTGGTGGAAGCTCCAAGAGCTGGCGTGGACGAGGCCCCCCAACTGCCAACCCAATTACCAACATCACGATGAATGAAAGCGAAGAACATATTGTGGAAGACGTCAGAATGCAGAACCTCAAAGTATGGAGCGACGGCCACAACGAAAGTCAACAATTGGGAACTAATGACGACAATGGGAACATTCGGAAACACATCGAGATTGACGTTGTGAGCGTGAATCACCGCCTTTCGGGCGATCAGAAGCAAATGTCTCCCGATGAGCATGCTAGGAGGCTTCGGGGAGCGTTTCCATTTCCTGGCAGTAGTTAACAAGAACGCCATGGCATGATACCCTTTTTGATTAGATTATTCTTTGTTATAATTGCTTTTTTTTCGGGATCTTTTGTAGGGCCAAGCCTTAGCGTATGCGTAGCAAGTCTTCAAGTTAATACGAGTACACGGCAGGGTTGATCACAAGTCAAAAGCTATCAGTCATTTATGCAGCCCTTTAGCACCTCTGGTTCATTGGATATCGGCGCTTTGCTTTGCTTTTTTTCCTCCTTGGGAATGAGCGCTAGAGAGGAAGGATTTGCGTTGAAGCGTAAGACGGACTGCCAATTGACGTGTCTTTGCTTTTAGTTTGCAACTTGGAACCTTGGCGAAACTAGCTTCGCCTTAACGTGAATCCTGGCGAGTCAAGAATCCTCGCAGTTTGGCAATGGCGAAGAAGTGTGGCGCAGACGTCTTCTCTTCCTATATTTGTTTACCTATAATGGTGTTGGGACGATATGTGAGGTATAACTGTATGACGGATGACTTCCTCCGCACAGCCCTTCGGTATTCCTTCGGCCGAAGAGACCGGAAGGGACTTTGCACACCCCTAATTTCTGTCTCTTTGCAGTCTTCATGAAAAGCACGTGCGTTTGCACCCGGAAGTCCCCGTCAAAAGGAAACCATACATTTTAAAGCTCGTATCATGCAGACCTCCGAGAACATGCAGGTGGGGATGATCCGCGAACAGAATTGGCTAGTCAAGAAAGCCAAGACAGCTATCAAACACACTCCCCACAGACAATCGGACATAATCCGATAATCCAGAGGAACGTTGGCGAATTAGGTAACCTAGGTACACATTTTCACATGCTCAGACTGTATAGCTGTTTATAAAGAGAACCAATGAATACTTGGTTCGGGGTTATCTCTGCCTTTGCGATGTGGTCAAGGTCCCTAACAGCACATTTATTTTGGGGCTCTGCCTTTACACTGTTGCCTGGATTATTTACACGCAAGTTACTGGCAAAAGCAGTAAAATCCGCGATTAGCCGGTAATACATGACTAGGAATTACACACGGCCCGTTGTCTCAATACCTACCCGAATTTGTACAGATCATCAGACACGGTTCCCCTTTCTTCTTTCCCAGGACAAGAAAGTTTCCCTTGGGCGAAAACTTTCCTCTTTCCCCCTACGGTATAATGAGAGGAGTGAGTCTAACATGGGTGCATATACACCGAACGGCACAACTAATTCTGTAACGCTATCACAACGGATACAGCATGGATTCGTCCATTTAGTCGATCAACACAACCCATAGGATGTCGTAATGAAATTCTCCATAAACACGAACCTTATCAACCTGTTTCTTCTTCACGATCATTTTATAATTGAAAGTATGCCAACATCCGCGTTGAGGTCTTGAACTCATGGACTATGCGGATTACCGGCTCCACGAGGCAATATCGAAGAGCACATGCTCACAGATCCCTGCCCTTACCCTGTCTATACAGGGAGTGCGGATAAAAAGGCAAAATGATCCGCCAATAACAAGGGATCCTTTCTGAGCTTGACACCGAGCATATGCAAGCACGGTATTCGCGTACACCGACGCCTGTATGTAAAGATCGAACGGAGAGCCAATTTTTAATGACCGGTCGGTAAAGAAAAGACACGCGGCGGGAGGCTAATTCGAGTTCCCCGGCAGACTAAAAGAGCCGGCTACTCTAATTTTAGTGTGCTCAACTTTCACATGAGACATTGGAAATGAAAAGAACAGTTGGTCCAAGTTAACATAATACATTCGGGTCGATACGAAAACGCTGGGGATTCACTTGCCGACCTTGATTGCCACTGGCAGAAGGCTTGGAGCCATTTCTAAGTCCGCACAGACGGGGTGATTCTTGCGGTAATTAATACGTGCAGGTGTTTTTCTACTCTCTACCGAACCGAGTACTCGTACATGGAAGTTCCTTACATGCCCCTGGAACGTCTGCTATATTCGGATTGCCAGGGGATAGATTTCGTCAGGATGAGTAAACGCCGAGCTTGGCAAGCTATAGATATTTCCGAAGCAGGCATATGCTCGGCATTTCCCTCTGGTCTTTGGACGAAATAGATGCAACATCGTCTTCCGATTACAAAGCCCATAACGAATCTTTAGCAGTATCTATCTAATTCACTTGTCGCTATTTGGCCCAGAGACCTGTTCAGAAATAACTATATTTGCACAGGCAGTTTCAACTACTTGAGTAAAGTCGATTCGCTAACGATTGGCTTGATCGAGAAGTTCTCTAATATCTCGGTGATTTACTTTTCACATCGTGCCATCGCGAATCGTCATATGCCGAGCAACGGTGAGCGCTTACCTCAAAGTTTTCTAGTCCCGGCACCAGGGACAAGCATAAATTGCGCCACAACGGCAAGGCAATCGGTATGTTTGTTCCGGATTCTACTGTTTTGAGAGCAATCTGTTTCGATTTCACCCTACTTGTGTGTAGACTTCGCTATTAGCTAATCTACGACAACTTGCAAGTAAGACTTTAAGATACAACGTCGCAGACTTCCAAAGGAGGCTGGTGGAGGTGCAGTTCTACAAGGATTGTTACAACCTGCTATGTACCAACGATCCAGGGCATACCTGCTTGGGGCTCTGGCGATTCGCTCAACTCAGTTGCCTCCTGAGAGCAGCCGTAAGGTTGTGTGTAGCATCATACAGTGAGACCAAAACTGCTCGGTTGTGCTGCGAGTCCTTGTAGTCTACTCCGTACATTTGCGACCAATATAGTCCTACAGCGCTAATTAAATGACAAACGGAGAAAAGAGGCTTGTAAAATAATTTACAAACAGCTTCTTCTATAAATATTGTAGAGAGAGGAAAAAGGGCCTTCGGACTTGTATACATACAGTAAGAGTCTATACACTGTATTGCAATGGCCATTGACCGCGGCGAGTTAATCGGGCTTCGGTTTAAATCACAGGCCAAGCTTATGTCGACTCCGCATTCAATCGCCGATCGCGGCTCGAAACAAAGCTGTGGCCTGCGTCTCTTCAGCATCCAGTTCATAAAGGCAACAATAGAAAGAGAAACACACCCACCATAATAGACATCAGGGTATCTGAATATCTATTAATTGAAAACGTCAAGATGTCGACTACTACAACAACCGTCCAAGTTGAAACGCGACCCGCCGTGGAGAGCATCGAGCTGCGGCATCTCGGCCCCGGCGCTTCCACCGGCCAAATCAGCGCCGAGTCCAAGGAAGCATCGCACGTGGAAGCGGCACCGCATATTTCGGATGGCCATGACGGGGGTGAACCGCCGCCGGGTGCTCTTGCGGAAACTGAGAGGTGGAATCGGCCTGTTAAGAACATTGGCCGGCTTGCCTTTGCGTTTGTGTCGTTTGCTATTGCGGGGATGAATGATGCTGCTGTTGGCGTAAGCGAATCTTTGCTTCTCTCTGCTACTCTTTTGCAGAATACGATGATGTTAATAAGTGGCAATCTTGTGTCTATCTAGGCTTTGATCCCATATGTAAGTGACTACGCCGTCCAGCATTCATCTTTAACTTTTTGCACATGATACTTACTCTCGTATGACCTCGACAGCTAGAAGAGTACTACAATCTCAGTTACACCGTCATATCCCTAATCTTCCTCACGCCTTTTGTTGGCTACTCTATCGCCGCCTTTACCAATGCCCGTATCCACGTCCTGTTTGGCCAGCGAGGCGTGGCCATCATGGCACCTATCTGTCATCTCATCACGTTTGCTGTGCTTGCCTCGCACCCTCCATATCCTGCTCTTGTTGTGTGCAATGCCATCAGCGGATTTGGAAACGGTCTGACGGATGCATGTTTTTGTGCTTGGGTTGGCGTCATGGATAAAGCGAATACGATTCAGGGTTTTCTGCATTCGTGCTATTCGCTTGGTGCATTGTTCTCACCGCTGATAGCTACCTCAATGGTCGTTAAGGGTGGCTTGCCATGGTATACCTTTTATTATATTATGGTGAGTCCCTGACAAATGTGCGGAGAATTTTTAGCATCAAAGCTGATGATTGTTTTCTAATGAAGATTGGTATGTCCGGTCTGGAATTTGCTGGCCTTGTCATGGTCTTCTGGGACAAGACTGGCGCTGTATATCGAGAAGAGCATGCTCGCGAGAATGCAGACGCTGGAACTGCCGGCGCAGGCACCCGCGAGGCAATGAAGTCGAAAGTCACCTGGCTTTGCGCACTCTTCTTCTTTGCCTATATGGGCGTGGAAGGCAAGTTACGCATATCTATACTCGATGATATTTCACACCATAGCACACGCTGACGTATACCATTGTATAGTTGGTCTTGGGGGTTGGGTCGTCACTTTCATGCTCCGAGTCCGTCATGCTTCGGCGTATGCATCTGGAATTTCAGGCTCAGGCTTCTGGGCGGGTATGGCGCTTGGCCGTGCCGTCTTGGGATTCGTGACAGAGCGATTTGGCGAGAGGCTTTGCCTGTCAATTTATCTTGGCATCTGTCTCGGCCTCCAGTTGCTGTTCTGGCTTGTTCCTCAGTTTGTCGTTTCTGCCGTCGCCGTCGCCTTTCTAGGCTTCTTCTTGGGCCCGATGTTCCCTGGAGCTGTCATGGTAACAGCCAAGCTTTTGCCAAAACGCATCCATGTCAGTGCCATTGGGTTTGCCATGGCGATGGGAGGCACTGGAGGCACGGTATTTCCTTTCATAATTGGTGCTATTGCATCTCACAAGGGTGTTTCCGTCTTGCAGCCCATTATTCTGGCGCTCATTGCTGTGATCGCCGCAGTTTGGTTGAGCTTTCCTCGCATTCAGAAGCGGGACTGAGATGAATTATGGAACACTTGATAATCCAACTATATACAGTGCTGAAAAGTGCAGAAGTGTTTGGCATTGTTGCCTTTCGTTGTCTCATCTCATCTCACTCAATTAGATAATAGGCCAGGGAGCACTAAGTTGAGAGCCGAGTCGGCGACGATCCACGGATCACTTGTCTTGTTGAATAGAACATACTTCCTCTATTTTTACGAATTCTTTCCATGCATTGATGTGGGAAAGAAAGAATTTGGGCTGATTACCCGATTGACAAGAATGAATGAGAGCATACAAGTACTATCCGTAGGGCAAACCCGCCCTCATCACGCCCACTGGGGCTAACTTCTCAACTTTTGGTGGATACAAATGTTCTGAATATAATATAAATGTTTATAAAGTATCACTATATGAGCCGTTCTCAGTCCCTTGAAAATCTTGGGAAATTCTGTGATAGAGTATTGCTCCTGTAAGTCGCAAAGTCGTGACGAAATGATGCGATTCTGGGGAAAAGTTGACTTAGCGTCATGTGATCGCGATTAGAGCCAATTTCTAATCGTTGTGCTCTGAAATTCAGCACTTGCGAGGTTTAAAAAATTCCAATAAACCCCAAACTGTAGGCTCTGGCTTTTCCTCTCAATTCACATCAACTCTACTCATTCTCTTTGACCTTCTCAACTATTTGCAGTCTGACAACCACGCAAGCCTTCAAAATGCCCATCATCAATGCTGATACCCCGCCCTCAACCGCCGACACGCACTACGTCGTCTACTTTGCGTCTGGTGAGCCGTCCTGGTGTCCTGATTGCCGAAATGCTCTCCCGGCTCTCCAGAGTGTCTTTGGGGCAGACTCAGCGCCTTCGGCAACTGTAATTCTCGCCGGTACCCGAGAGGAGTGGAGGAACCCAAGCAACAAGTGGCGCGGTGCACCTTACAACATCAACTGTCTTCCAACTATCGTAAGGGTGGAAAATGTAAGTTGGCGGGGTTTCAAATATCTTGAGAAAGGATACCTAACACTGAAAATGATAGGGACAGGAGGTTGCACGCCTTGGAGACGTTGAGGGCCAGCAGGAGTCGGCTTTAAGAAAACTGATTGCTTGAAGAGGACACTAGGCAAAGGGCTACATTATCTCAGGCAATAATAAATTCTGCAATCAAGCAGTCGACCTATCTATCTCCTAGGCATAAAGCAGACTACCTTTGACTAATTCATGGTGCTCTCTGCTGATGGGCTTACGGGAATTTCCTGAGTAACACAGTGGACACCACCACCCAGTCGAGGCAGTTCATCAATCAGAACAGGATAAATCCTCCTCTCCTCGCCAAAAAGCAGTTGGGTTACCCTGATGGCGGCCGCGTCATGAGCTGGATCACCGAATTGAGGGAGGATGATGCCTCCATTGACCAACAGATAATTGACGTAGCTCCTCACCGCCCGGTCATCCTCAAAGCCGCCGCCCGGAAACAAGTCTTCATCAGGCTCTTCCACTTCAATAATCTCGAATGGACGACCTTTTGCATCGGTGGCGTTGCTCAGAATCTCAAGAGCCTCTTCGTAGACGGTAGTCCATTCGGTTGGCTCCACCTCATTGGCCTTGCTTATGATCAGCGCGCCCGGCCGAACAAATCGGACGAGAGCATCGATATGGCAGTCCGTCGAGTCTAAGCCCTTTCTTCCAGGGATCCAGAGAATCTTTTCGATACCCAGGCAGCGTTTGAGCTCAGTCTCAATATCTTCGCGAGACTTTCCCGGGTTTCTGTTATCATTGAAGATTGAACTTTCCGTAATCAAGAGAGTGCCTTCGCCATCAGTCTCAAGTGATCCACCTTCAGTGACAATGGATGTCTCAATTCTTTCGATGTGAAAGTCTTTTAGGAAGGTCTTTGCGAATGTGATAGCTGTAGGCGTTGGATGTTTATTGCCCCAGCCATTGAAGTTCCAGTCAACACCGACGATACTGGCCTCGCCCTTGGTCGGCTCTTTGAGAACAAATGTAGGGGCAAAGTCCCTCAGCCAGACGTCCATGCTATCGCCTTCGATTTTGTGGAGCGTAATTTTGAAAGGCGTGTTAATTTCATTGAAATATAACTCTGCTTCTTCATAACGCTCACTGCCGACAGCTAGAATGACGCTTTGGAAGTGAGCAACAGCTTGTGCAATTGATGACACTTCTTGTGTTGCTCTCGCCAATCTTTCAGGATACTCTTTATAAGTACCCTCCAGACCAGGCCAGCCTAGAATGGTCTTTCTTTGAGGATGCCATTCCGCGAAGCGTCGAAGACTAAAGTCAGGCATGTTTCGGTGATTGATTGATGTGTAGGAAATGGATGAGTGTGCAAAGTAGACGCCAGGAAAGTAGGAACAAGAAGGATTGAATTGGAGTTCGGGTTCATCTGATTTCTCAACAGATCAAGTAGGGCTATTTATAGGAGTTGCCTGGAGTCTGTCTGACCTCATATCCAACAGCAGTATTATTCAGAAGAGGAGTCTTCGTAGTCCCTTGCAGTGTTAGTGTTGTGGTGGCGTCGAATAAATTCACTCCCATCGAAGTTATGCTTTGAATACAGCGTAAGTGCGCTGTCTCAGCATAGTAATTGCCAGAATTACGTGATACTGCATTTATTGGGTACTTGTTGAACTTGTGATGTCATGGATGCACAAAGATGTTACACAGTGTCTTGGGGGGATAACGTGCAGCAAGGTTAGTGCGCGGTTGGCGATGAGACCAAGGTCCGAGCTCTGGAGTTTGCACGGTTGAGTAGATGGGTAATTGATGATAGAATGATTGATATAGATGGTGTAAATTTGCATTGAAGTATAGAGGAGCAGCGACTCGAAGGGGGTTACGCCCTTTTGGTTGGATTTAATCGCCAGTATGAGGATAAGTGCATATCGCAGCCAACCACATGCGTTCGCGCGGATTTGAACGCATAGAATAATGCAAGAGTGGAATTATCTTGTAGCTGACAAGCGGGAAATGTCATGTTCATTGTGAAAAGAGAACAACTAGGAAAAAGAAGAGGTTGTTGGACATTGACTGATAAGAGGATGAATCATAGGTCCACTGCCGTTTAACAAACTGGAAGGTTGTGATGCGAGTTAGATGGTTCAAATAGCTACTCTACTATTCTGGTCATATCTACCAGCGATACTCGTTCTTTTCAAGCTACCGTCCTAAAGCAGTAGCCTACTCATTGCCAGCGTCTTCTGCTAGATTATCCCGAACGGCTTCAAATTTAGTGAGCCACTCTCGAGTTCTCGTATTCTGCCTTTGAAGAATATCTCCCGCCTCAGATATGTACTTGTCGCAAAGCGCTCGTGCTTCTGAAACTCTATCGTTGGAGAACAGATGCGAGATGAGATTATATGCTGTTATTAGTGTTTCGTTGTGGGCTAGCCCAAAAACTTCGCTTTTATTCCTCAAGCTGCGCCTGTAAATGAAAATGGCCTCGTCGACCTTTTCTTCGTCTTGACTGAGCATATAAGCCACGTTATGTTCCGCGACGAGGGTATCCGGACTGAGGTACCCAAGCAGTTCTGCCTTGATTTCGTAGACCTGGAGCGCCAGTTTTTCTGCTTCCTCAGTCTTGCCCTGTTCGTCGAGAACTGAGGCAAGGTGTGCCATACAATTCATGGTGTCGTTATGTTTCAGCCCAAGAACCTGTTCGCTACGGGCCAGAGCTTCACGCTGCATCTTCTCTGACTCTGTATAATCTCCAGTCAAAAGAACAGCTGTGGCAAGGTCGCTCAAACTATCAATTGTCATAGGATGGTCTTCTCCAAGGACCTCGCGCCGGTATTCCACGACTTGTTTGAGAACTGGGAGGCTTAGAAGGTCCTGATCAAACACGGCGAGAGTCCAGCCCAGCAACCCCATACTAACCAAGGTGTCAACATGCTTTTCGCCCAGATTCTGGTAATTTATTTCGAAAGATTCTTTGAACCTTGAACGTGCTTCATCATAATTTCCCTTCCAGTGAATAAACCTCCCAGTAGAGGCCAGTAATTTCGCTCTTATGATCTCGGAATCCTTCGTGGTCGTCTTGAACTTATACTGCAGGATCCACTCAGCATGAGGGAGCAGAATTTCTCCAAGTCTGAAATAATCAGAGTTTGGTTGAGATGATGGCGCGGGGAATTGGGACGTGGTGGACTTCAACGCTTGGAAAGCCCACTTGTCTACATCCTGAGGACTCTCCTCTTCTAACCACCACCTTGTTGCCAGCTGCACAAGGCGATGTGTGCTAAACCCCGAGTCGTTTTCATCAATAATTGAGAAGGCTTTTAAGAGTTCGGCAGCCTCCTGGAAATGGGAACTATCTCCAAGCTCGTCTGTATCCTGCAAGAGAATAGCGGGGATTCCATGGTGTTGAAAGAAGTTGATTAGACATAACAAGTCCGCCGCCTTTGGATTTGAGTTCCGTATCGCTTCGAAAGAAAGTTTCCAACTTTTTGCGACAGATTCTGGGGTATCTTCCGGTCGTGAGTGGTTAGATAACTCATGGTTGGGTAATGCTGGCTTAGTAGTGCCATTCCTGCGATATTGCTCTAGGTACTGCTGAATAGTCATTTGCCCTTTTACCATAAAGGCAACTGCCTGGGTGATGGCGAGAGGAGTATAGTCAAGTTCCTCAAGCAGCTCAAGAACCACATTTTCGGGTTCGGTGTCTTGCAATTGCTTCTTGACGAATTCGAGCCCTTCCGTTTTACCCAATTCATGGATCGCGATTGGTGTTGCGGGATTCGCCACGTCAAAGGCAACCTTGCGGCTCCTTGTAGTAAACAGCAAAGACCCAGTTTGGCTGTTCGGGATGCACTCTGAAGGGGTTTTGCCGATTGTCATCTTTCCGCGAAAAAAGGCGTCCTCGTCGTCCACGTTATCAATGACCATTAGCCACGGACCTATGTGTTCCACTTCGAGCCAATCCTTCAATAGTTGGGCTGCGTCAGATGCTCCATCCGGAGCGTTTATGCTGAATTCACTCGCAATTCGGTTGAGAGATTCCTCAAAACGAGCAACCGTGGCAGCATTTACCCAGAAAACGGAACACTTGGCATCTTTACTGCGCCTTCGAAAACAGTATTCCAATGCCACTTGGGATTTTCTGTAGGATATGTTAGGGACATATGGTCGCAATCATAGAAATGGGAAGATTCACCCTATGCCTCCAGGACCACAAAGTGCTGCCCTCGGTTGACTGCCATCCTTGACCTCGAATGCTAGGTCAATTTCGGTAAAAGTTTCGTTTCTTCCTACAAATGAGAAGTTCCTTTCGAACGGCACAAGCCAACAAGGGTCTGAGGACGAAGGCTGCTGCTGCTGCTGCTGCTCAGCCTCGAGATTGGCTGCAGTGCCAGTATCCATGATCATTGTGACCAAGCTTTCGCAGTTCTCTTGACAAAAATTCTGAGGTTCCAGTGATCTTATGTGCAACTATATTTGTAACCCGCATTAGAAAATTTTGAAGGAAAATAGTTCGGAAGTTTTGATCGGTGCTGGTCTTATCTTGAGCGTTCTTATGTAGGATTGTCAGCCTTCCCATGGCTTCTTGCAAGGCATATTATAGCCTTATTCCAAGCGACTAGTGGCCATACACTCTTACATTTCTGCCTGCCAACAGTTGACGGATTCGAATCTCATTGGCCGTGCATATATGTCTTACATGCATGGCTGTGGATTCAATGACAAGAAATATGTGCACTTGTGAAATACGAAACCCCTCTCCAGCTCAAAAAAAGACACAAACAATCCATGGACTGTACTCCGTAGGTAGCGTTCGTGAAACAGATAACTACATGTAATCATTGGACGAGCGCCCTTTGCGCCACCTAAATAGTTGAGCTAGGCTGTTGCAACACTTTCTGGCATTGCACTACGTGGCTTAACGGCGACCGTACGCAGAAATGCGTGGAGTCATATCAGAGGACTTAATTCAAATAAAGATAAGAGAATGTGGCTGTTCTGGAATCAACATTGCTCTTAATTGATTTCTTCTTGTAAAATTATGGTAGCAATTATGACGAAAGAAGGCACTGTCGTGAAGCTTGATATGAGGGGAGTGCAAGCTGCACACCTTGGCTGATCAGTGGGTAAACTCCACGCTAGAGTTAGTTCTCACCTCCTCACGCCCCTCACTCAAAGAACGACTTTGATCTTTGGGTGGTTCACAACGAGTTCTTGGACCGGGTTTTCCGTCTAGCAAAGATTAGCAATATTCTCGAGTTGTCAGAGAGGCTGTGTATCTAGACAGAATGTCTCAACAAAAGACGACAAGCTCAAATACGCCATGGATCGTTGCCATAGCAGCCGCAGCCTTTGCAATAGGCGTCGCCACATCTGATGCCGTAAAGGACGCCGTTTTCGATATCCAAGATGTGATCACGACTTATGAGGGAGAAAATACTCTTCAAGAGCTGACTGCGCTGCCATCGCAAGTACAAGTCGTGGATCCAGCAGGATTCGCAGTGATGCCTTCAGTACCACCAGAAAACATTGCCAATGTTACCACGGTAGATTGGACGCTCTTGCCTACATCTCAAGCGAATAATGTTTCTAATTAATAAATAGAAATTTATTCCTCCAGGATATACTATGGAAAGTCTAAAGGAGAAGCCGTTCCATGTTTATCACCCAGACTTCATTCACATCTTGGGTGCAAATCCGACCCTTACACTCATTGCCGATTCAGGCACGGACCCGCTGTTCCACGAAGCTGTAGTATGGTAGGATATATGTCAACTCTCTTACTTCAGTACCACTATCTCTTACAATGTCTCCAGGTATCCTCCTACAGATGAGGTTTTCTTTGCTCAGAGCGCCGGCCCATTATCAGCTGGAACAGGCTTGAAGAAATCCAGTCTCATTTTAAAAGTATCCTTGGAAGAAGCCATGGCCGTCTCGACCCAGCGAGATGCCGTTGGTAAAGTTCAAATTCACAAAGTTCCTACAGAGCCGCAGGTCATTAACCCCAACGGTATGTCTTCTTGACTGTATCATAAGTTGTATCTGTTCACAGAACAATGCCTGCTAATGATTACTAGGAGGGACAAATTACAAGGGCACCATCTTGTTCACAGGCGAGGGGATGGGCGCAGATGTCGCTCCAGCACTCTTCGCTATCAATCCAGTACCGCCTTACAACACCACTAGTGAGTACCGTGCCAGCACTATCTGTCCAAACTCCCTCTTTATACTAATTGATGCCTCCTCTTCAGTCCTCGCCAATAATTACTTTGGCCGCCAGTTCAACTCCCTCAATGACGTCTCGGTTAACTTCAGAAACAAGCACATTTATTTTACGGACACTGTATACGGCTATCTGCAAGATTTTCGACCGAGACCTGGCCTTCCGAACCAAGTATATCGTTTGAACCCTGATACTAGGGCTGTTACCGTCGTGGCAGATGAGTTTGTAAATTGTAATGGTGAGCAAAAATCTATTCTTTCCGTAATCTTCTTTTCTGAAACGGTAACCAGGAATCACCTTTTCTCCCGAAGGTCGCTATGCCTACATCACCGATACAGGGGCTGGCAAGGCTTTCCGAGGCTACGATAACACTGGACCATCAACAATGTAAGTGAATACTCACCCCGATCTGCAGCCAAGTGCACCATAGGCTTGTAAGTTAAATACTTTTCTGACTAAACTCTTAGATATCGTTACACGGTAGCTAGAGATGGAACCTTTAAAGATCGAAAGGTGTTTGCATATCCTGGAGTCGGCATTGTGGATGGTAATTGCTGGCCTTCTCCTCCTCGCTGGAACGTTGCTAATACTGTCCGTCATATTTTAGGGATTCACTGCGACTCTAACGGCAATGTTTATGCGGGTTGTGGCGATGGTGTTCACGTGTGGAATCCTTCAGGAACTCTGCTGGGCAAGATATTTCTTGGCGAGGCATCGGCCAATTTCCAATTCGCGGGCGACAGTCGAATGATTATCGGTGCCGAAACACATTTGTATTATGCAACCCTGGCTGGAAAAGGAGCACCACTCTCATAAGATAGGATGTTGCCTCAAGAAACTGGGCATATAATATGTGGACGATGGACGAGTCGGATGATGAACTGTTGAAAAAATATATGTACAAATGACTGTCTGATCGGAAGTTCCCTCAAAGTTTCTTGCGATATATTCTCATCTTTGTTGGTCCTGTAACTACAGTCGCAAGCCATTCGATAACCTCAAAAGTTTCAGCAACTCTGAGTAGCTTATATCCACGACACTCATACCATCGCACAACGCGGTGATTTTTTTCGTGTTCCCACCCATCCGGTACCAAGATCTCGAGCTGCATTTCCTCTGCCCCCAAACTTTTCGCCCAATCATCCTCAAATTCCATAAGCTGTTGGCCAACTCTAGTACCACGGTGTTCAAAATGGCATGTTAGTAGGCCGAGGCTGGCCACACCGGGTCCAATGAGCTCTATGCTCACACAGCCAATTACATCCTCAGCGATCTTTTTATCTGGATCAGAAGATGGCTTCCACGCAATCGCTATTTGGCCGCTCAGGATCTTTTGGCTTAATTCCGAGGCAGAGGTTCGGATGTGCTTCTTTGCGTCTACCAGGCCGTCGTAATTAGAATGATAAGAACGGTTAATGAAGGCAGTCATGTACTCTAAGAGCGCTGAATTGGTCGCCAAAGAGGACGATGCCACGATGATTTCGCCTTTGGTAAGGTCTGAGACTTATTTGGCGACTGGGTAGCACCAGCAAGTGATTGGACGGCCTCTTGGGAGGGCATAGTGAGTGGAAGTTTAGGAAGAATCACGACGAATCTGTAATTTGAGTACAATTGAATAGTAGAGGAAGAAGGCAAGTCGTATTAATGAAGGCAATCACAGTAATGGGCAGTGAGTCACCTTTTTAAGCAGAGAGACGGCATTCTGTGGGAAACCAAGTACACCGCACAAACGCGGTGGACAAAAAAAAAGCGGGATTAAGAAAGGCAGATTTACCTGCATCAAGGCAGAAATTGTAAGAAGTCTCCTTATGAAGTACTATTAATATAAGAGTAAAGGTAATTGCGAATAAATAGAGATGCCAAAACGAAGATAAAGCACATTGCTACCTCTATAAACCCCTTTACAAGTGCCATTTGGATGATTGGCTGTTTGTTTGCCATTTCACAGTCGTGCTTATTTTGTCCACCGCCCGCCAGCAGTACAATCCATCTGCCGCGACCTCTGTATACTCTACCGCCAGAGTCAATATTTTCTAGCACAGCGTTAGGTGGTGCTCAGCAGGTTCCTGTACACGCTAAAACACTGAGTCCTTGCGCCTATCAAGTACATGTACCTGCTTGTGCACCGACCGACTGGCAGAATGAATCCACCTCGAACCACCTGAGCAGCTGGTACTACTAGGCACTAAGGTGCAACTCTTCCATTCCTGAGCACGCAACTATCACTATTTCCAGCAGCTCTGATCATAATGACAGCCACCAGCTCTTCTTCATCACCTCATCTGGCCACGATGAGCCTCTCAGACGGTTGGCAATCGGTGATCCGCCTCGACGAACGATCGTACCAGTGGTCTCGGGATCCTGTTGCTCGTCTAAGCGATGATTTTCGTGTGAGCGCCCGCCAAACATAGTCCACTCATGGCCATCGCAGACGCGCTGACGGCAAGATAACCCTCTAGCAACTCTGCTCCGGGATTTCAGGGAGTCCGTGTCTCGTCTTCCGCGCTGACGATTGCCCTGACTTTGTCGACTCCAGCCTCTGCGAGCTCTTCTCACACTGGCTTACGATTGACGATGTTACCTCCGCCTCTTTCTGCAGGGCCGTCTTCCTGCTAGATCCGTCTCTCGAACCTGGAACGGCCGAAAACATGTCCAAAGATTCCTTTCCTGGTCTCAGAGATCTAGGCACGATAAACGTCATCCGAATGGCCACCAATGGCTTACAGCGACTGCGCTCAGGGCCATACTTTTATCAAGAAGCTAGCTTTCATCACGTGTATCGCACGTTTCCCGATTCTCAATCTGCCTTCTTCTCAGCCATCACACAGAGCCCTACAAGCGGTCAATTCATAGAGCATCGCCCAACCGACCATATTGCCGTGCCATCTCGCCTATACTCTCCACCACAGACCGCCAAGCTTCCCTTATCTGGCCTTCGTTTTGCGTCAAAAGACGTGTTTGATGTTGCCGGACTCAAAACTAGTGCGGGATCCAGGTCTTTCTTCGAGCTGTCTGATCCCAAACCCAAATCGGCATTCATCGTCCAGAAGCTCACTGCTTTAGGCGCAGTACTGGTTGGGAAGGCCAAAAATACACAGTTCGCCAACGGTGAAGATCCGCAAGAATGGGTCGACTACTGCTGCCCTTGGAACCCGCGTGGTCAGTTATCCCCTTCTTTTGCTCTAGATCTTGCGGTCTTTTACTAAACATTCAGCAGGTGACGGCTATCAAAACCCCGATACGAGCAGTAGCGGGAGCGCGACGGCGGTTTCCTCATACTCATGTCTAGACTTTGCCATCGGATCCGACAGTAAGACTAAGCTTCTTTTTCCTACTTTTAGATGTCAGCAGTTGCCAGAGATCAGCGCTAATAAGACCCTTCCTAGCCTGTGGTAGCATCGCGTGCCCGGCGGCTGCACAGGGTATCTTTGGCCTTAGGTTATCTACTGGTGCACTCTCTCATGAAGGAGCATTCACCGTCAGCAAGTATGAATAAGCATACATTACTTTACGGACCATCTATACAAACAGACGACTGATCTTCACGTCTCAGATATTTAGATACGTCAGGCATCTTCACCCGAAGCATCGATATTCTGCATCTCGTCACCTCTCAGCTACTTGAGGGCACATCTGAATATGGAAGAAGCCCTCCTCTATCCGAAGTAGTTGATCTGCCGCTCCTCCCGCTCCCTCCGCCATTATCTGGTGCTTGTCTTCAAGGCTAATATCTTAGGCCCAAACGATACCTTCACGGATAGTATACCCCAAATCGTCATTTCCGCACGATAATGGCGAAACCATTGCGTCAGTTGACCGATTCATCAAGGCTCTCGAGAGCTTCTGCAACACAGAGCGAACGACCCTGGATATAGATGAGGAATGGAAAAAGACAGATCCCCAAGGCCTTGGGCTATCGATTTATAGCGAATTAAAGATGGTAGCCCTCTCCCCCCTTGTAAAATTGCGCCTAAAATGTGAGTCCTGACATGAGTGCTAAGACCACAGCTCATCTACACTTGGCTGGATTTTACGATGCTATTACGCCCTTTCAGAAAGCATACCGAAACATATACCAGAAGAATCCTTACCTGGATAGAGTGAATACTGAAAAACTGTAAGAACTGTGTGATTATTGTCTGCACGAGGTGCCTTCTATCTAATCACAACTCGCCAGGAAACTTGCCCGGTTGGTCACGATAGAGGATCGCGAAAAAATGGTACAACAAAAAGCATTCTTCGCCAACTTCGCCTACAAGCAGATTCTACAGAGTGGTGACGGCAGCGGGGCCGCTGGCTCCCTTGGAGGAATCATGGTCTGGCCTTTTAACCCCCAGGAGCCGCAATATCGAGACAATTGTCCACCGTGAGTTTTGCATCTTGTCATCTAGATGTTGAAGTCGCGTATCTGACGTATTGGGTGTGGAAACAAAGACTTACGCCCCATGTAAATTGGCGCTGGGATGTGGACTATACTGCCCCTCTTGCCGGGTTGCCCCAAGTCATTGTGCCCAGTAAGGTGGAGAGTTGCCCCTTTGCTCATGTGCGTACCTCACTGATGAGTCATTTCTCCTTAGTTGGCCAATTCCGGTATGAGTCTCGCATCACAGGAGAGCCGGATTTTCTCCCGATTGCTGCCTCAATCGTGGGACCTCCGGGTGAGTTCACTTGGCGCCATGTCCCATATCCGACTTGCTTCCAAGCATATCGTAGTACTGACTAAATCCATTTTGACAAGGGAGCGATGTTGCATTGCTTGATTTTGTTTCAAAGTTTCTCCAAAGAACACGGGGCCTTTTATCTGTGAAACCTGGCCGCTATATTGTGTAGAGACTGATAGAATAGAAGAGTGTAGCCATGCTCCATACCCATCCAGGCAACTCCTCAATAGTCGATGTTTTTTACTTCTATTTTTATGCCTTGAACAATGGCGGGCACGTTGCCGGTGTTCCTGAAGACTTCCACGTCGGTGACTGGGAGCATTCCATGGTCAGATTCCAGAATGGTGTTCCGACTGAAATATCTTTGTCCCAGCACAGCAGTAGCGGAGAAGCTTTCTCATATGGAGCGCTGCAGAAGATCGGAAAGAGGGCACTCATATTTTCGTCGTTCGGCGACCAGGCGAAGCATGCTACAAAGGGGTCTCATAACATCCCGTTTACTCTTCCACCGCTGCCTCCGCTGAACCTGAGTTCCGTGTCAATACCAGGCATTCCTTCCAGTGTTCTTGGATACTTAAATCTATCTGCAATTCTAGAGGCCGTGCTTCCTGCCAACTTCCTACAGGACAAAACTTTGATGGGAACATTATGGGATCCAGTTGCTAATGCATTCGCCTACAATTACACCTTTGACTTCGATCCCCACCGTTCTGTGGAAGAAAACAACAAGTTTACACCGCTGGCAACGAAGAGCCAACCCAACCCCCAACCAGCTAGCTGACTTATTTTGGACAATGGGGAGACGAGCAATATCCGCTAACAGATGTTCGACAGTTTGAGATTCTCAACATTCCTGAATTGGCATACATCATGAGCGGGCCCAGTGGACCTGTTTTTAAACATATTGTGAGATCAACAGTATGTCCACCAATTATGGTTAATTGCACTATCAAGAATTCATTAAAGGAAGCCACGTAGGGTGAAGGGATCAGATTTTATTCCAGTGTGAATTGAACGCATTGATGTATGAAACCAAATATAGCTAGGTAACAAGTTATTCGCCCCTTTTGCCCCTTCAAAATATTGCATCCTTTAAAAGAAGAGAGAGAGGCTAAGAATATGATATTTAAGGTAAGTTAAATGGCAACGACTTGTTATTCCGACGTAGCCAAAGGGCCAAAATCTCATCCTATCCAAGATTAAATTTAGGGCAGGAATTATAAACCTTTCGTGATCAACATGTTCGGTTCACTCCCTAACTGCGTAGTGCATCCTTCAAAAATCCTGCATATACCCCACCATCCTGCCGTGCAAGCAGCATGAGCATCGTCCTCTCGGGTTAACGAACACGTGAACCCCGCCCTTCTTCATGCGCCATTATATGAACCTGAACAATGAATTCGCAAAAGAGAATCAACATTCGATCAACTGCCGGGGCATCCGTCATCTATAAAGATATTACTCCACTCAGCTCACAACATGAAGGAATACGCACGCTCCATCTTGAAAGCGGCTCAGGCTCTTCCTTGCTTCAATGTACACTCCATAGAGTCTCTCTTCGGTCTGTCCCAGCCCCGAGTTACGAAGCACTCAGCTATACGTGGGGGGATGAGAATAATAGAAGAGAAATCGTCGTAAACGGTTATATGGTGGATGTTACCTTCAATCTCTATTCCGCCCTCTGCCGACTTCGGCTGGAGGATAAAGCTCGTGTGTTATGGATAGATGCTTTATGCATCAACCAAACTGACCTAGATGAACGCTCTCAACAGGTACAGCTAATGAGAAACATCTATACTACATGCGACCAAACCGTTATATGGATCGGCGAGCCGCCGGAAAATATGTTACCTACTTGGGAAATGCATTGGACCGGAGATGATCGTGACGATGAGTCAATAGACTGGTTCTGGAAAGAATTTTATCCTGACTCTGATCGCTCGAGCATGGATGAAAATGATTCGACTTCAATCGACCAGATTTTTCATGCGTTCGCCAATCTCAGGCTATTGTCCAGTGGTCATCTGTCAGACCAACCGCTCTTCATAGACATGACAGGAGAGGACTTTTCCTATTACATGACATATTCAGACTATTGCCATCTGATAACCGATGCTCTTGCACCTTTTTATGACAGCCCTTGGTGGACTAGAATTTGGGTTAGTCTCAGTATTGACGCGTTTTATTTCCCATCAATTAGCAAGTACTAACTCATATGACACACTGCAGACTGTTCAAGAGATTATCCTTCCTCCCAAGGCCAAATTCGTCTACGGACCTATTTCAGTCGATATGTCTTGCTTACTCGAGGCATTTGCTGCCCTTGCTTGCCACATGTTCGAGCCCTGTTGTTCTGAATTGTTTTCTCGCTGCAACTTCAGAGTCAGGAAATGTTTCCGACAGCTGGGGAGTGTTCTTACAAATATCAAGAATATGAGAGCCAGCCATGGCGATGGTACCAATGTTGAACTTTGGGATACCTTGACCACGTTTCGCGCCCGGCATGCAACAGATAACCGGGATAAAGTTCATGGTGTTTTAGGTCTTGTTAACACATGGCCGGGGCAACCTATTATCCCTGATTACAGAGCCGCAACCGAAACCATATATTGTCAGGCAGCCATCTCTACTGCCATTGCAACTCATTCTCTCTCCCCCCTACATTTCCCACTTCAAAAGCATGCCTGTCCCACTCTTCCTTCATGGTGTGTAGACTGGACGGCAGCTAGTGGGCTCGCTGATCATCTAAACGTCTATCAATGGAGCCAGCAGCCGTTCAAAGTTTTTCCAACCCAAGGCGCGGATCACTGCCACATAGTTCCACGTTCAGATAACCGCATCCTGGAAGTCCGCGGGCGTCGCTGCGATAGAGTTGCGTCGGTGGGTAAAATATGTCAGGGACACGAGCCCAATGAGAAACGCAAGGCATATTGTGACTGGTTTCTCCTCACGGAGCTTCATCGCGAACCGTCAAGGATTTATCGTTCTGGGTGCTCTTATTTTGAAGCCTTCTGGAAATGCCTCTGCTGGGACATGATACTTCATATGTCAGAAACTGCAGGAATAGCGATATCTGCAAGATCTAAAGGTGCAGAGAGCTATGAAGCTTTCGTGGGCTATTGCCACAGCTCTCTGAAATCCATATTCCATCCGGAAGGGCTCTCTCAGGCCGACCAACAGGCTGTGCTTCAGCTCGACAAGAGTTTTCAGACGACAGAGGACACGAAATGGGGTCAGTACTCACAGTCAGATTTCCTGGTTGAACAATGGATCAATGGCTTAACTCTAAATACAACTTTTTTTGTGACGGATTCAGGGTATTTGGGCATCGGCCCCCCTGAGACTAAAATTGGAGATGAGGTATGGTGCCTGTTTGGTGGTCATATGCCCTTCATTCTCAGACCAGTGGCGACAATACAGGAGGTAACCTTGGGGCAAGGAAAAAAGCAACTTCACCAAGTCTTTGGAATTTGCTATGTGCATGGGATTATGGATGGTGAAATCGCAAACGATGAGAGCATCCCAGCTGAGATATTATATTTGGCCTGAAAGAAGATGATTGCTAAGTGGTTACGACTCATGTTGCCCCTCATAGATGGATAACCCGCATCTATATGGTAGTGGGCTACTGTTTTAGTTGCCTAACACGGATCAGTTCCTAAGACGTCTTTTGCAACAGCTGCCATCAAGCGAGGATTAGTACACCAAAGGGAATATAAAGGCTCGCTCGCAATCTTTACATTCCTCATTATCTGATTTGTTGCTGATACAAATGATTTCGAGAAACTGTTTGCTACAGTCGGCCTTGAATGCCTGGTGAGCGGTGGTGAAACATGAGATTCAACCCACTCATTTCAAACCCACAAGCCACTTTCTTTCAGATGAACTCCCAAGTGTAAGACTCAAGACCCAAAATATCTGACGATTATGAATCAATAAAAATGCGAATTCTATCAAAAAGATAACTAATTGTGTTTCTAGGCCAACAGGGATAATTGCCTTGCCTGCGTGGATACATAGCGAATTAATTGCTCCACGCATTGAATACTATCATCTCCTTATAAGCCGTAGCTTCGTACATAAAGATGGATTATACGTACGCAAATGTGGCTCCCTCCTAGCTCGTATTACGCTCCTATTTTCTGTCCCCCACTTGCCTAGGAAGAGGTTGTGCTGGGAGACTACTTCATAGCCTTCAGTACGCATAATTCATCTCCATTAGCATGGTGCGATGTTTTACTACATATCAGTGTCCCAGCACAAGAAATCTGCAACATTGATCTTCTGATGTCGACTGAAGTATACAGGTTGAATTGCCTAAACGAACTAATCAGCTCTCCAAGATGGTCAACACAGGAAAGCCTAGCATGGCTTGCGCCACGTGTAAAGTGCGCAGAACTAGAGTATTCATTCACCCCAAGATGTTGGCTATGCCAATGAAAGTCTTGTTGCGCATCTAAATATTCTAACTCGTAAAGTAGTGTGACCAACAGCGGCCTGCGTGCTCCCAGTGCCGCAAATCTGGATGGGTTTGCCCAGGCTTCCCGTCCGAAGCCGACGTCATCTTTCGGCACCACACGCCCGCCTCCCAGCAAGCAAGCATTGGTCGTCGTGGCCAGCCAACAGGCAGAGTCATTGACTTATCGCCCGCAGTTACGGAGAGGGCCACATCCTTCTTCCTCCACCAATATGTCTTCAGCACCAAGACTGGCTCCGACACTGTCGCACCGGCGGTTCATGAGCATCTGCCGGTCCTCCTTCAACGGGAAGCGCCCACTGGGGCGCTTAGTATCATCATCTCGGCGGTGGGCCTCGCTGCTTTGGCGAATGCTGGAACTTCAACACCGTGGAAACACGAGGCGTACCGTTTATACGGCAAGGCCCTCCAACGATTACAGACGGACCTCAAAGACTCAGCCGGCATGAAATCGGATAGCACATTGACGGCTGTGATGCTGATGGGTACTTTTGAGGTTAAGAAAAAACTTCTTCTGTCATAACTAACAGGACTGACTCTCCAATTAGATGATCGCAAATGGTGACCCGACTTCTATGGAGTCTTTCCGCTACCATATTGTCGCCGGGGCTCGATGTGTTGAGATTCGCGGACCAAATCAATTCCGCAATGCAGTATCCGCCATACTATTTATTCAATTACGTCGCCTCATTGTACTGGTCATGTTCAATTCTTGAGTGATTGATCGAGTGCTAATCGATTACAGATTATGACTTGCCACCAACTACAGGAGCCATTGCCCTACGCTCTTAAGACGTGGTCTCGATGGGCTGAGCCTACTCAGACGAGAGATGAGGCTTCTTTGAATCGCTTCGCTGAACTGAATGAGCACCTTGCAGCTGTCCGGGCCGATATTAAACGAAAGGGTATCCGAAACCCTGCAGCTGTGGCTGCGATGCTAGATCCAGTCGATCGCCAGCTTGCGGGTTGGGAAACGAGGCTCCCAGACTCGTGGAGATTTAAATCCTACCGAAATCTTGACTCAAAGGTCGATTCATTCGAGAGTCATAAATTACAGTATGACGAATATCCTGGTCTCTGGGTTGCTTCCACTTGGAATAATTATCGGATGATCCGCATTCTGATTCACGAATCCAAAATAAACGCAATAATGAAACACGGCTCAGACAAAGACAGAAAGGATCTCCAGCATTCAGCCAAAATACTCACAGAAATGACAAATGGCGTTTGCTATAGTGTTACATACATTTTAGGTGACCGGCCTAACGGACTCTATCCGAAGAGAGTCCACCAAGCTGAAAGCCCAGATTTACTACCAAAACCGGGCGGATACTTGTTGTTATGGCCACTCTTCCTAGCTGGGTCTTTAAGTACTACATCCAGGGACCAGAGAGGCTGGATTGCGCATTTTTTGAGAGATATAGGTCTACGCATGGGCATGCAACTAGCTGTATCGATGGCGATGAAATTAGAGCAGACAGCCATCTCATTTTCAGATCGCGAGATGTGGCTTATTGGAGAATTCTTCCCTGTTTAGCAGACGGGCTAGTATTCATATTAGTATTTAATTAATTTTAATTGCGACATGATACCAGGACCCTTTTGTGAAGGGGCAAACGCCCGGTGCAGTGCAATGTCCGTGTAGTCTTTGTTACCGTGGCTCACATAGCAAGGATCAAGATATCCGCAATTCCGTGGATCCCAAAGCCTACAACATTGGGAGTACGCCGATGATGAACATGAGCAGCAAATTAGCTGTTCTTACGATGGGGACCTAGACTCCCTTGTGTTCTGACTGTGAGATTTGCACTACTTCGATATCCATCAGCCTGCCTGACACTTCCAATATTATACACACACTAGAATGCGAAACCGGTGCTGACTTGTAGACTGTGCTATACCCTACTCAGCTAGTCTTGCAAGTTGACCAATCAGAGACTCTATAGCCCTCCTTCAATGCCTATATTGGGGTGCGTCTTTGTTGAGTGCCAGCCATGTGGTGGAGTGAAAGTTGGAGTCATTTTCGGTATAGTCTTCTGCTGATGACCGAAGTCCAATGGCATCTCAAATAACTCCTGAGCTGATAAATTTATATCAATGTTGCTGCTCATCCTCTTCGGTATTTAAATACCTAGTTGTCCCCCTCAGTCTGTCTAAACACTCACTCTATATGCACTGAAGCTTCACCTTTTCTTGGCCCATTTTCTGACAGGATGAAATCCCTGTCTCTCGCCCTCGCTATATGTCTGGCTACAGTGCCAAGCTGTGATTCTGAGTGCCTTCCAGAACCGTCGCAATCGGCCCCATTGGTGACCACCAGGGATGGAACTTTGCTGGGTGGAAGATGTAGCACGACAGATGTGAACTTTTTTTTGTCCATTCCGTACGCAAATCCTCCAAGAAGGTTCCATGCGCCTACACCCTACACAGGAGTGTACCATGATCGAAACACGACGACTCCCGCCCCAGCCTGTCCACAGTTTGGCACGACTTTCATCGAGACGGATGAACAGTCTGAGGATTGGTACGAATCATCACGATCCGTTTTGTACATGTGGCCCTTTCTCCTTTGCTGACAATCTTTATAGCCTCTTCCTTGACATCTTTGTCCCCGCTCACAAACCCCATAAGTCCAAGCTGCCCGTCAAAATCTGGATCTATGGTGGCAGTAATGAAGCAGGTGGCATCTCAAATGCGATGTATACAGGTTGCTACGCCGCTGAGAATGTAATCCAAGTCAATATCAACTATCGCCAAGGGCCTCTGGGGTTTTTGGCTGTCCAGAAAGCTGGAATAGATGGCAATTTCGGCATTCGAGATCAGCTGCTGGCATTGAAGTGGATTAAGGCAAACATTGAATCTTTTGGCGGCGACCCTGTAAGATTCTCTCAGTCTCATTTGTATTTTTCCTTCCAATCACTAATGATATGTTTTTGATGGACTCTAGGATAAAATGGTGCTCTTCGGACAATCAGCTGGCTCCTTTGACACTTTCACTATTGCCACCCTGAATGATGCGCCTGATCTGATCAGCGCTGCCATCATGCAATCGGAAGGTGGTAGCGACTTCGCGTCAGTCACCGAGGCTCAGCCCTGGAACGAGCTGTTCGTCACTGCTCTAGGCTGCCAGCCATCAGATGTAAGTGGTTTGCTTTTACCATCGCACACCTCTGATGATCTTTGTTCAACCTGAATCTGACCATGCTTTAGTTCTCCTGCGTCAACTCTAAGAGCGTGGCCGAAATGCAGCAAGCCGTCCTGGCGATGCCTGCCGGGGTAGGACCATCAATCGGCAGCCCAATAGCCCATATCGGCCGTGGCTTCAGCTGGGGTCCTCTTGTAGATGGCAAAACGATCCCACAGGCGCCTGCATCAACCGGCGTCAAGGTTCCGTCTATCTTTGGCTCGACCGCTACAGAGGGTATGCTCTTCGTCTTGGCCACCTACTCGAAGAACTTAACAACCCAAACTCAGGTCACTTATGACGACTTCTTGAGTTACCAATTCGGCCCCCTCGCATCGCGCGTCAATTCAACTTACCCGCTCTCTAATTTTCCGCGAACCGCCTCCGCGCCTAACTCCGCTGACTCTGCCATAAGTGCCGTTTATACTGACTACGCTTATAAGTGTACAGCATATAGAGTCCTTCAGAAGGGAATTGCAAACAAAGTCCCTGTGTTCACATATTTCTTTAACCGCACCCCTTGTACCTGGCTGACATCTGTTCCAAACACCGCTTTTGTCCACAGCTTTCTTGGTGCTACCCACACCGCTGAGCTTCCCTTTGTCTTTGGTGTAATGGATGGACTGCCTGCCCCTGGAGGGAACTGCACCTCGACCTCGGCCGAGTTACAGCTAAGTAAAGAGATCATCTCTTCGTGGGATAGTATGGCCGCCACAGGTACTCCTGGATGCGATTGGCCACGCTACTTTGAACAGGGTAAGAATAAAGGTCTGGGAATGATGTATCTAGCGAACGAGACGGTTGTTGGCGAAGTGGACTACAGCATTTGCCCGTTCTGGGATGAGATAAGGGACGAACTGTTGGCTTTGCGGGCCCAGGGAAAAGTAAATCGGTCCTAAGAGAGAGAAGTTCAGGGGCGTCATAGGCGTGTATGAGTTTCATTCTACATCTCAATATTATTCATATTACATAGTAAAGATTAATCTTTTGACTCATTTACACGACATTGGATTCTGAGTGCCAGTACATGCGATAGATACGATAAACAAGACCTTTGAGATGGAGGCAAGGTCAATTCTGCACAATGGGTTGACATTGTAGCCGTCTTAACAAAGAGACTCTCCACGACGAACACTTGGCAAAAGGTGGGAGGCTTAATTAGTCTTTTCTAGAAATTTTTGCGACATAGACCCAATTACCAACAGTAATACTATAGAAAGTATGAGATCCTTACAGGATTCCTGCCCTCATTACCACGATCTTCGTCTTCATCCTCATCCTCATCTCCATCATAATCTTCTTCTTCTTCATCACCTTCGTCATCATCATCATCATCATCATCATCATCATCATGATCATCATCTTCATCATCATCATCTTCCTCATCTTCATCTTCATCTTCATAGTCATATTCATAGTCATATTCATCCTCTTCACTATTGAATAAAAATTCATCGTCAATCGCTTCCCAATCTATCTCTCCTTGAGGGTTCAATGGATAGATTATTGGACCGGGCGTTAAACTCATCAGCTTTCGACGAAGGCTACGAGCAGTGACGACTTCGTCGTCGGATATATCCCTCTTTCTACAGATCATTCAAGCATTAGAAGTCATACAGCGGGAAATTTCATAGCATAAAACAAAACACTGACCTCTTTCCTAGTCCATGCGTTGCCTTCTCTTCTTTGTTTTCCCTTGACGAGACAGACACATCACTTTCAGGATCGTCAGTGTCATCGGAAGACGACGTGCATCCCGCGTAAGCAAATGTGCCCATATCACCACCAAAAGATCTCGCCCACAGCTCCTCCCTCGTTCGGCGATCCATAGCAGCCTCATAGTAATCGTCGCCAAGCCATGGGGGCTCGTCATGTGTCTCTTCATCGCTAGAGTCTTGTAATTGATCAGCGGAGGCCTGAGTCTCCTCGCTGAGATCGCCAGTAGTGCCATTCGATTGCGAATCTTCTGCTGCATCCGGTTCCCAGCCATGGGAAGTACCAATTAAGAGCCTTAGAAAATCCAGAAAACAGCCGGTCTGGCATAGATCGGATACTGTATCACGGGCATTTTTACATAGATAAGTATACTCCTCGTCTATTGCTCGCATTGCAGCCGTAAGCATTTCGCATGCCAGTTTCTGTCGCCTTTTATTCAATTCTTCAAACTTGCGCTCAAATACTTCTTTCTGGCCTTTGGCCTCTTTCGCTATGTTTAGTGCGTCATCGAAGTAAACGTCGGGCCCGAATATTGGAATTTGTATAGTGTTGAATCGCTGCCAATAATCTCCCCACAGCAGGTCGTGCATCCGCGGTTCGACATTGTCAGACCAAGCGCGAAGCTGGCTTGAACGGAAGGGTGCTTTTGGCCTTTCGAATGGAGGCATTGTGTGATCGGTTGGTCGACTCGGTGGTGTTGGTGTTCGCGTAGTCGGTGATTTCTGATGCAGTGAATCTCGACCGTGAGGTTTACATGCAGATAACAAGACGAAGCGGTGAACAGATGCGGTTTCGACGGGGCTTACCACCTAGTACATGCACATGCATGCAGTTTGCCTTCCAATAGAATTGAAGCTTCACAGTATGGAACACCCCACAAGGCCAACGTAATACACTCCAAAACATTTAATATTTAAAAAAAAAATCTCTAGCATGGGGAAGTTGGAATTGCATGTATATCTTCGGAGATCCAGAATACTTCTTGAGCCATATCCTTTAATTTCCCCACCAGAGCGCGCTCATCTTCTAGGCAACCACACGCTTGACAGTCTCGGTAACACTAGAAGCCTTCAGTTCCAAAAGATCATTTGACAATGTCTCGTCCTGAGCATAGTTCGATTTGAGACCAGGCGTGTTGCTATAGCTGGTTGCTCGAACTAGAGCGAAAGCGCCATTCAGGTCACCAGAAGTTAGCTTCTGGAAAGCATCGTTCACTTGCTCTTCTGTGGTAGTGATGTTGATGGTCCATTTAGTGTTAGTAGCCTCTTCCAGAGCAGTGAGAATCTCATTTTGAGTGGTTTCAACGGAAGAGATGAAGAGATACTTGTTGGAAGTTTCCTCTGGCTTCTTGAGTACTGATGTAATGGCAATGCCAAGATCCCTTTCGTTCGTAAGAGTGAAGCGTTTATCGCCACCATCCCAAACGGTAGCGGTTTTATTAGCAATATCATACCCAAGAAACCCATTTCTCAGACCCTGTAAAGATATGTAGTTAGTTGATATTTTATTCCACCTAATAATGCTATGAATCTCTCAATCATCACTTACCCAATCAAACAGGAGAGAGGTAGCAACACCTGTCCAAGAAAAGCCGGGTGATTGTTTTGTCTTGAGATACTCAATCATTTCAGATTTCTGGCTGAAGAGGGGCAGCAGTTGAAGAACGGCAGAATCTTGACTACTGGAGGAAAATTCCGAAGGCAGGAAACGCTTGACTCCAGCACCAATAGCGGCATCAACAAGCTTCTTCTGTTCGCCGAAGCCAGTGGCACCAATGGCTGAAATGACGACATCTTGGTCCTTGAAAGCGGATTGAAGATCGCTGTTGGAGAAATCCGACTTGTAAACAGAGATATCGGGTGGGAAAGTAGCAGGATTATCCCCGCGAGAGAGGGCGGTGATGTTGAATCCGCCGGCAGCGATCAAGCCCTCGAGGATAATCTTACCAATACTCCCGCTTGCCTAAATGATCGTGAGTTAAAAGTGATGAATATGAAGGTCGGCGCCCGGATTTGGGACCACATACGCCAACGATAACGATGTTCTTGTAAGTCATTTTGTATTTGAGCTGAGATTGTGAGAGGTTGAAGAAAATGTATGTCAATAATGGAGATGAGAATGATGGACTCTATGTGTAGAGTTATTGCCTAATATTTGGCGTAAGCAGTGATGTTTTTGGCATTAGATGACTAGAAGCCTTGCTCGTCTCCGAGAACAGATAATGAATTAAAGACGATCTCCTTGGTGTTTATATAGTTGAGTGGTCTCAAAAAGGCCCGCCGATACAACAAAGTCATCATATTAATAGTAAGAATAATGAGTAGAGTATGTCCGTACACAAGGGATGCATTACACCTGAATGCAAGAGCTTTGTGGGCCAACTATCGGTCACCCAGTTCAAGTACACACCAATGGTCTCCGAGAAAGGCATATTTGCAAGCAGTCACGCTATCCATGATGCTGCCGCCCGAACAGGAACTCAGATTTGTTCCAGGTCCGAGATCCCGCAGTGAGGCATGAGCCCCTGCCAAATCCAATCGATCGAGAATCTTTCATTGGTCAGATCTCCACTGAATCCTTCACTAACAAATGGTGTTTCTACTTAGAATGCTTAGAAATGCGGACACAGCTCCGTCAAGTCCGCTCTCACCAATAGGAGCACCTCCGTCAAGTCCGCTCTCACCAATAGGAGCACCCTCCGTACCTCCACTAAACCTCCGCGTTATTTGGTGTTCTACAGACCTCGAGCTGTGGGTTTCAATCCTCATCACTTTCATTGTGTTCAATTCTTCATTACGATGTCCGTCCGCGTTGGAGCGGATTTCGATACAGACAGCAATCACAATATCCCCACTGTTGCCACGGTTCGTCATCTGCGCTAGCTGGAACTTCATCGCTCAGTAGTGACAGCTGCACCAGCAGTTACTCAACCCAACGGTCCAAATAAGTGACTGCGCTCATGTCTCGCAGGGTAATTGCGTCGGGGCGTTCATGTCTTGAATGCCGTCGCCGAAAGATCAAGTGCGATAGGTCTTTGACATGCGCTTATTGCACACGTACCAAGCTTCAATGCAAATACCCTTCAAGGCGACAAAATATAGGTACTGATGAAGAGGGCGACTTAGCAAACAGAGTGCATTCTATTGAGTGTGCTTTGAAGTCACTGGATCAAAAAGTAAAATACAATGGGAGCAAGCTGCAAGCGAGTTCAGAGTCATCAAGCAGACAGAGTCACAGTGGACGAGACGACCAATTATACATCGTAAGAGTCCAACAAAGACTACAAAGTTTTCCATTAGATTATATATACTCACAACTCTCTGTAGGATGCTGCGCCAAACCTATCACGTACGAGCTCATTTTCTTGGCGAAATCATCTACAATTGAAGCAAAGTCAAAACAATACCTCTACCCAAGTAATAAGATCACATCACTTACAGTCATTGCTATTCAATGACCTAGTTGACGTGTCACAACCTCTTGAATTGGCTCATCCCCCTCCTGCATATATCTTGTTCCTGTGGCAGACATATCTCGATGTGGTAGACCCTCTTATCAAGATTTTCCACGTTCCCTCTATACAAAGACAGGTTATGAGTATCAGCCAAGGCCGAAAGGTTCCAGACGCGGCTACGGAATGTTTATTGTTTGCAATCTATTATTCTACAGTAATAGCTATTCCAGCAGCAGAATGCCGCCAAGAACTTCAAGAAGAAAAACCAGGCTTGCTGCAACGGTATGTTGCCAAACTTGTCTGTTTATCACTAAATGAGACTGACAAATTTCAGGTTTCGCAATGGGGTAGAACAATCGCTTAGACGAATTGATTTCTGGAGCTCCCGGGATATAATCCCCTTACAAGCATTCACTCTATACCTGGTAATTGTCTCTTGATGAAACCGGAAAGCGCGAACACGGCCATTATCTAACATTTTATTGAAGATTTGCGGACGGCAAGACCAAAGTGGCCCCGATGTCTCGTCTCTAATCGGGATCGCAATTGGCAATGCGATGAAACTAAGTATTCACATAGACATCCCTGGTATGCGTGCATTTGATCTCGAAATGCGGCGCCGATTGTGGTGGCAGATCTGCACTTTGGACGTTCGAGTCGCCGAAGAGTTTGGCCGTGAACCTTTTATCCTTGAGCAGAGCCTTCGCACAGAGCTACCGCTCAACACCAGTGATGCGAGCTTAGATCCTGATATGGGCGAATTGCCGAGCCAACAACCGGGACGAAGCGAGATGTTATTCAGTCTCATCCGGTTTGAAGTAAGCAACTTCGCGCGGCGAATTATTTTTTCGGACAGATTTTGCCAAAGCAACGGCTACCGTATAATGAATGAAGCGCAGAAATGCCAAGAAGTAGATCGGTTTAGAGAGCGCATTGAGAAGCAGTACCTTTCATACTGTTACAATGGAACTCCACTGGACTGTATCACGGTTAAGAGCAGCCGCCTCATTCTTGCAAATTTAAAATTGGCTGTTTGTAAACCGCGAGCTAACCAGAATCATGGAATTCCATTACGAGTCAACTATCGCAAGGCTTGCGAAGAAGTCCTGCAACATGCGCATGCCTTGCGTCAATACAGCAAAGGCCGTCGTTGGCTGTGGCTATTTCAGACATACGTGGAATGGGATGCTTTGGCGTATCTCTTGCTAGATATTTGCATCACGCTGTCATCCCCATCATCTAACGAACCGCTTACTCTGCCGTGGGAAGTTATTGATGAAACCTACAATCACTGGAAGAACAATGTAGATGTTCATCGGGGTCGCCGCTGGGCTCATATCGAGGAACTCCGGTCACAAGCGTTGTCCGTAATGGAGAAGACGCGAAATACAGCGCAAGCGCCCCGGGCAAGCTCATCTTGTTCCTCTCTAAGGGCACAAGGTCAGTGTGATGGTATGTCGGATACCAGCATTGAGAGTCAGCAACCGTATGAATATTCCGATTCTACGTTCAATCAGCATTCTGCTATTGCGGCCAAGATGCTTATTCCCCCGCGTTTAAACCCTTTGGGTGGTATTTCGCAGACGCAACGGCCCTACATCACAGATCTTCAAAATCCCGATCTCAATATTTCGACTGATAAGGTGCCCCAGAGGTGGGCTCTAGCAGATGTAACTTCTGAAGAAGTCCAAGTCTCTGCTAACACAGCAGACCTGCCCGGAGCTGGGACTGTTTGTGAGTGGAGCAGTTCACTCATAGAGAAGTATTGGGAGATTGCCGGACAGGGATATGAGGAGTCTAATGCCTGGAGTTCATCAATTTAGCAGCATTCTCTCCATGATGGCACTAAACTCTGTATTATACTTGTGCGCGCTTCTGCATGCACGCCAAGGCCAGCAAATATTATCGAGAGTGAAGCTCGGGAGATGACCATAAACAATTATTACCTTCAACCCTTCATTAGTACATTATGCGTAGTATTGGGGAGCTATATTATAGTAATATTTCATTGATATATCCAACCCGACTTGGATGGACCGCAGTTCATTTTATCACGGATCGGCACAAGTATTATGCCGCGCGAATGTGCCTCTCCTACGCTGGCTTGTGATTCATTATCTGTACTAAGTAGGCGTAAAATTGGAGAAGTGAACAATTTTCGTACAAAAGATGGTATGTTTATCTGTTTCATCTTAACTAATAGATTCTCGTAGTAATGGTATATGTTGGCAGAGGCTGTGGGTAGACTTGAAGAAATCCATGGAAATTTTCTTCAGTCAATTAGACCCTAGTTCCGCAAGGCAAGAATCACTGTGGTTGACGAAGCTAAGAGAATGCCGCCGCCGTCGTCGTCGTCGTTATCGCGCATTGAAGACGGAAGTCCATCCTTGATCAGGCTTCAATGAGCCAAGGGTAGACCGCCAATCATACAGCCGGATCACCATTTTAGGCGTGCATACATATCTCTTCCGTCTTATCCGCGACTGAAATGAACAACACTGTGTATCTTCAAGCAAAGGTGGTTAGTCTTGGGACCCAACTCCGTGATTCACTGTAACGCAGTTATAAACCCCACCAAATCTGGTAGTACTACAGAATCTCAACATGACATGATAAGCTAGGCAGGCATGGAAGGAACCGATAGGCAGCAGGGTGGGCCAGTGGGAGGGGCTGCTCAAGACCTCTGGGTTGAAGCTGGTCAAAATCCCGAGATCCGTTGTAATTACCCTAAGCATGCAGTGATGACGGTTCCTTTGTTGTAGAAGGCTCTTTAAGAGTCATTGTAGTGTACCTATATAAGGATGGTTCTTGGTATCTTGCTAAAATACTCCATCTTCTGACTCATATCTTCATAAACTGATTGTATTAGCGACCTGCCGTCCCATCAAGTTCTCAAGTTCGGATGCAACACTTGGTCTAGCGTTTCAAGAGAGTTGAAGGGAACAAGTGTTGCTATCAGTCTGCACGCTTAAGAAGCTAATGCAAGCAAGACCTGATGGGGTGGTGGGCAGGTTCGTGTCACAGTACGATACGCTGATTACGGAGCAACGCCGCTATTAATCAATCTTGCATTTCTTCAGTTATTTTTAGTCATCCTAGTGTATCGTGAAAAAATGGTATTGATTGGAAAAATCTCTGTATAAATCAATGTTGCCTCGCAATAGAGCGGACAGGTAAGCAAGCTGGAAATAGAGTCTGATAATAAAATGTGTGATGAACACCTCGAATCTCATTCTTTCAATAATTATTATTCAACAACTGGGGCCGACTGGCATCAAACGGCAGTTTTGTGAAAAGTCCATCGGGCTTACAGAGACAGATGAGCTCTTCTTAGGTTCCACTCTTCAGCATGGCTACTTCCCGGCCACGATGATTGGCATCTTAGCTGTCCCTCAATGTTAGTTTCTTAGATCTCCATCTACTTTAGTCAGCCCCCAAATCCAGTCTACCACGATTGAATTTCTATACCTATTTGAAGATGAGACGTATAGTAAGTAGCCTTGTCAATTCACAAGCTCCGTTTAGCATGACACACTGGCAAAGCCGAGCGTTTGTATCAGTAGGAAGACGGCAACACGGCTATGCAGCTCTAGCGTTTCTTGAGAGTAGAAATGGAACCAAGGGGGCTTAGATGAGATTTTAGCGCTGATCTAGTTAATAATCATAAATCGATATGGCAGCATCTGTGAAGCGATCATGCGTGTTTGCGGGGATCTCAATGCCCAAGCCGTTGTATCACAAGAGACACCAGTTTATAACAGTGAGCGTTTCATCAACTATGACGCTGCAATTCAACAGGTTGAATACCGAACCTTAATAGGGGGCATTGGCTTGAAAATGCCGATAAACCGCTCTTAGTACATGTGCTTTAATTTCCGTTACGTGGAACGGTGCGGACTTTACCTATAGGACTAACTTATACAAGTAACATAGATAAAAATAAGTTGATTCAGCCTTACCCACTAAGCGCAAGGTAGACATGTCTTTCGGCATCTACAAACCTGGCGCGTCGTAAAGTTTTAGTCCTAATTTAGAATTCTGGGTCAGGCATGGTTAATTTTGTTCCCCAGCTGAGGCTGAAATGCAAACTGCGTGCCCGAGCCCTGTTGGGCCGTAGCGATCGGTGGTATATTGTATTTATTATATAATACTTGGCACATGCTAGGTCTTTGCATTTGAAGTCGTCCGCCATCTTGCAGTCTGCACAACTACTTCTCTTCAATCACTCTCCAGTCAATTCCTTTTCAGTCATTCGCTCATTTCTTATATCTCACCCTACTCCCTTTGATCGATAGTCAACATGTCGTCCAAGGAGACGCATAGCGAGACTACCTGGGCCAATGGCTTGTTCGATTGTTGCAGCCCGGGTGGGCTTTGCTTTAAGACGACTTTTTGTCCCTGCATTACCTATGGAAAGACTCAGCACCGAATGAAGCATGGCAATTTGAATGATTACTCATGCTGCAACGCATCTGTGAGTGTTCCTCTTAGTAAATCGACCCCCTAAGAATACGGAAGCTAACAGTCTTCTTTCTCTAGTGTGTTATCTTCGCTTGCCTTGCACACTGCGGCCTGACATGTATCCCCACCACGATGCAACGAGGAGATATTCGCGAAAAACATGGTCTGGAAGGTGGTTGCTTCGGAGACTTTTGCAAGTCTTGCTGGTGCAATTGCTGCGTCTTAATACAAAACGAGAAGGAGTTGGAACAACGCGAGGCCCTCTTGAAGGGCTCGTCTGAGCCGTACAGGCCCAATCCTGGTATGGTGTACTCAGATGCAGGCGCACATTAGCTGGAGCATTGCACGAACTCCGATACCTAAACTGAGTTGTGTCCCTGCCATTGGCATATAACTCATTGCAGATGATTGGAATTGAGATGTGTATGTGTGGGAAGACGACACTTGCAACTCATGCAGCTCAACGCAATCAGGCCCTCACCCGCTCCAGAGGAGTGGAGCGTGGCACATCATGGCAGATAGTTTCCGATACCCCCAAGAGCTGGAAGATTTTTATAGGGCAGTGGTTTTTATCAATTTCTATAAGCGTTATTCAATTAAAGTGCCTTTCTCAGTGTATTTCCTTCTATTATAATTTCTCATGAGGACGTATTGTACACTATAGCTTCAAGTATTTTTATGAGTTGGATATTTATTTACTTTACCAACTACAGGGTAATAGAACCTGCTATCTTTTTGTCATGACTCTTGTCAATGAACGGTGTGATATCCAGTTTGTAGAATCCAGAGCTGCACTCCACCGCTCCATATGCAAATTGAAGATTAATTTTGAATACCTGACGGAAATTTGGAGTGCCGACAAACTGTTAGACGGTAATGTCACAGCAGGGTGAAAAGGTCATAAGCCGTGGTGTAAGCCTAAAGACTAAAAAAGTAGGTAGCTAGCTGTGGGATTACTAGACTTCCATATGGTAGCAAACGTCTCATATCATGCTTTGAAAAGAGTTATGAAACCATTGCTTGAGGCTAGGTGTTTCAGCTCGAACCCGGTCACCCTTGCACACATTTAGCTTTCCATGCACTGAACTGTGCATGTTGCCCACAGATGCGCAGTGAAATATGGCATATATGTGAAGTTGCCGAATGTTTCTATTAGTCAATATACTGGGTACTAATCTGTCCGTCAAGCTAAGTTCAAGAGACAATCAGTTGCCGCGCTTAATATTATAGAATAGAGATAGACGACACCAGCCGCACACAACTACATGTAGTTGACAGTTGACGTCTCATCAAGCTTTTTCTTGAGATCAAGGTTGTCTTTAGCGCATTATGATACATCTTGAGTCACATGTTGCAGATTATTGCACGCTGCGCTAAATTCACCGCATTGGCATAGGTAATTGATAGCGGTTTGGACATTTGTGAGCTTAGCCGCATGGGTGAGAGCACACCTTCAGAATCAATTTGCCATGGAAATCATCAACACGTTAAGCAATGTGCTGGAGAGGGCGGCATCAGTGGAGTAATGGCTGTAATCTACTTGGACATACTGTGATCGCAATGCCAATTGGAAAAGGAATACGGCAAGCGATTTTTTTTTTGCTTTTGGTTGTGATAAATATATCGGTTAAAATAGGCTTAAGGAGAGTGAGCGGGTTGTAAAGACTGCCTCAGAAAGAAGAGCCACCCTGCTACAACCCAAATAGAAGAGAAACAATTTTTCACCGTTCCACATGCCACTGCTCATTTTCTCAAACCCGTCACCGCACTGCAGCCCATAGCCGACAAAATTGGACAAGAACCACCATGTAAGACTAAAATACAGGCAAATAAGATAGCCATTGCCGACTTTGAGCTTCCGCAAGCAAGTTTAGACGTAGATGACCTTCTGTTGTCCGAAGGCACTGCAAGCCTGGTTGCCAGTGTTGATGTTGCTTTGCTTTCCCTATATGCGGTCAATGGCGATGTCTCACATGGCGATGATGTATGGACATCAATGCACGCCGTAGCTGCCGCATAATTGGTTTGGATTGAACTTGTCGTAATACATACCTGCTGGTTGTTGTTGTTGCTATTGTTGTTGCAGCAAACAATGACGTCGTTGCACACATCATTGAGGTCGGAGCACTTCCAGTAGTTTTCGCCCAGTCCATCAGCTGTAGCACTGCAGCAGTAAGGCGAAGCGCCGTTGCCACAGCTATTGGATTGCCAGTTGTTGTTGGTGTTGGTGTTTTGGTTGGTGGGAGGAGGAGGGGGAGGAGGAGGAACATGGGGAGGAGGAGGAGCACCGTGACCGGGAGCTGCAAGAGCGCCAGTGGCAACGGTAAAGAGGAGGGAAATCATGGAAGTAACCTGCATGTTGGCGGTTTGAAGTGTTTTGATCTGAGAGAAGAATGAGAGTGGATTTTATATGGTTGCTTGTTGAGTGACTGTTGAGACTGATGGTTGAGAGTGAGGGGGAATGGTCAAGGTAGACAAGGAGTCCCTCTTATACTTTTCTCTTTAGAGCTGTTGTTAGGCTTTTGGAGAGCGATTGCCTTTTCGAAGCACAGAGTACAGCCGATACGAAGTGGCGACGAGCTGAAAGAACGGAATGAACTAAAAATGCATTGTATGGCACAAATCCATATATGTCTATTGAACTTATTTTTGCAGCTCTAACGCAGGTAAGAGCGAATGAAATGAAGCTACTTAAGTCAGTTCCAGCTCTGTATGCCAGCATATTCATGTAATTGGTCAAGCCTGGTAGGGGAGAAGCTCGGAAGCTACATTGAGGCACGGCCTGGATTAGCCTGTCGGATTTTGGTCTCCTGGAAACCCGAAATGTCGACATTCTGAGTGGTAAAGGCTTCTCGGTAACAAGAAGTACTTAGCTGATTCCATGTGTAGTAACGTAGCATTGTATCTACTTGACGACATCCTAAAGCCCTGAGATATTCAGCTTGTCTCGTACAAACAGTAGTTCAAAGTTTCAGGGGCTGTGAATAATCTTGGATCAACTTGGATAAGTTGTTCAACAATTCTGCATGGTTTACGAGTTACTGCTGGAGATGTTCAACAAATTCCTAATCTTGACGAGCCACCGTTAGAATCGTCCAACAATTTGGTAATAATTTCCAGCCGCCGTTTGTGGCATTTACCTCTTTACTTTGCATATACATATACGAGCCCAACGGATGTACGTGACTAGTCATGTTTTTAGATCCTGCGGCATTGAACTCTCTCATAATTTGCAGTCTTTCATTAATGTGAAATCCAATTTGGCCGAGTGATGGAACCCAGACAGATGGTCTGTAAAGGCAGAAAGTTTTGGTTTAAATAGACCTCCTGCCTATCCACTTCCTTCCACCTCAATCAACACACTCAGACCTTTCTGAACCTCCTTTAGCTACAACACAGCCCGTCGATTCTCTTTGCCCTATCAGCTCACTATTGACACTCCTTACATCTCAAACATGTATGCCTCCATCATCTTTTATGCCCTCGTCGCCCTGAATGGCGCCATGGCGTCTCCGGTTCAAGGGCCCGAAGTTGAGCCACGAGCCATTGAGCGTCGTGTTCCCAGTATGGGAGACATACCGTTTCCGAAGTTCCCGGCTCGTAACAAGAACAGCAACAAGATGGATAGTAAGCTATGACGAGTCTTTGACAATCATGCTAAGCTTACTCAAACTACAGAAGGTGGCAGCGATTGTAGTGGCTCGGGCACGAACACTCAGGTAAATGCCTGCTCTGCAGGTAGCCCATACTGTTGTAGCAGCGACGGCAGCGGTGGTGAGTGATGAGCTACGCTTTTCCCACCCAGAATAACTCTAACACTGAGCAGGCCAAACTTGTTCCAACACCACTGCTTGCACTGAAACGATTATTTGCTGCAACAACAACAATGGCGTAAGTTGGAGATCGTCCTGTTCACCATAATCATATCTCACACATGGGATAGTTCCAAATTTGCATTGGCGACCTCGACTTCAACGTACCGATCACCATCAATGTCTATGAGTAAAGGACTCATTCGAGGGAAATACACTGCTGAAGGGGCGTGTGGCCGAGGGGCCGCAGAAATGTATAGGTACACCAGACAGCTAACTTCAATCCGTAATACATGGACATACCAATGACCTTTTCGTAACTTGCATGTGATGTGATTACCAGTATCAGCCTCTGGTCTAAGAGACTTGAGGTGTCCTTGATGAATAGTATACGAAGGCACTCGCAATGAAGAGCTAAAAGGTCAAATAAATCAAGACCACGGTGATATTGGATGAGCCCTGGAATTTCCAAGAATAGGATGACGGCCGACGAGCCGATGAGAGACCCGGCTTGGCAGGGGCCGGAAGCCAAAATAGCGGGGATGACTCCAAGCCGGGGAATTTCGGCGCCAAAAGCTTGTCTCAGACCCGGCAAGGATTAGCACGTCTAAGCTATTGAGAACCGGCTTCTGATGGTTTGTTCGTCACTTGTGATAAACTGCCGTCGTGTGTTAAACTTTGAGTAGTGCTGCATGTTTTGTTTCCTCAACCCCTGATTGGGCGGTGCCTGGAGCTTGTGTTACGCCTAAACGGATCTCGGCACACGTATGGCATAGAAGTCTGGGGTAATATTGTTTCATCTGTATCGTGTCAGGCCTCCACAGTTGTGCGGATCGAACTTACACTAAGACCAGAGGATGTAGTCTACTGCACTGCAATGGACGGTGAGACATGGCACTAGGGGCAAATACTTAGCCCAGACGTCAATTGATGGTCAGACTGGCAAGTGGCGGACAGAAAACCCGAGACAAAGAGGATTATGAACACCTACATGATAAATTATACACCAGCCCGTTCTTTTATTATCTACAACTATATCTACATTTCTCTATCAACTACTACTATATTTACAATTCTCTATTAAATATTACTATACTTATTTTTCTTTAGTAATTACTACTATATTTATATTTTTATAATAACTGCTACTATAGTTATAGTTAACTTTAGGTACTAGCTAAATAGATATTTCCTTATAAAGGTACTACATAAACTTAGTAATTAAGTAAGTGCTTATACTGCTGTGTGTATGTACTTATTTATTTTGCGGTCTCGCTTTTTCTGACCTCCACTTGACTGGCTTGGAGCTGGCCTATCATAATATAAATATTATGTCATAGTGGCATAGCCAGTATAGTGCCTCTAGGTGTGCACAGAAACTGCCGGTAGATCATTTCCGAGTGCAAACCAATCAGATGTGTAAGTGTGTCACATGTGAAAGGACTGTTGGTCAGCTCGCTTACGGCGTTCTATGTCTAGCTACTGGCCCCTTCTATTGTCCACTGCTTATAAACAAGAGAAATTACGTTTATGTACCTAAGCTCGGCTTCAAGGGAAGTAGTATGCCCTCTTCCCGGAGTAGCTTCAAATCTGATAGGCTCGGCGTATTTTCTTGGTATCGTGGCCATGCCTCCCACACAGCTAAAAGATATAAGGTTCAATTTAGCATTAATCCTACGAGCTGCATAGCCCTGCTGTAGCTAATACCTCGGATAACGTAATGCTTTCGGATTCGATATACGACTTATAACAGTGCTTTTCACCACTGCACCGGGTAGGATCCCACGGTGGCACTGAACTTCATAACATGGATTCCGCGAAGGGAAATTGAAAGTTAGCCACCTAGAAAATGTATGCCCAAAGCAAACTAGAAGACCATTGTATGAGCTGGAATCTGAAAGGAGGTACTGCCCATTTATCCGAAGTACGGCTGTACATCCTGGTATTGCCAACATAAATCCAACCGAGACCTCAAACTTAGTTTCGCATCCGCGCTATGCAACCAATTCGTATTAAGTTAGAAACGGTCCATGGCCAAGTTTCGAGATGTAAACAAGGCTCATAGGCCGGCATACTCAATTCAATCATCTTAGAACGAATCATAGCTAGAAAAAACCTTTATTAGTGAAGGACTTGCTTGAAATGACAATTAATGAGTTTATTTTGTAGCAAACGTTCTCAGAAAGCATTATTTAAACCTCCTGCATTAGTGCTCCGCTTGTTAGCCTTTTTTCTCACATTCTCAGATTTCAGTACTTGAACTGAATCAGACCACCACTAGATACCAGGGATTATCCGGATGTCAAATTCAAGGACTTGAGAAAACTCTCTGGCTGTATGGCTATTGAAGTATCATTTTCATTATCCATCCCTGGCCATGGCGTTACTACTCCTGCAACTAGCAAATATGACCATAGTTACATCTACCGGATAATTTCAGGTCCCGTCAAACTCTCTATTGGGGTTCTGGCCTTTAAGTTTGGAATGCCCCATGTGATTTCACAGCATGAAAGATACAATTTCAGACCCGACATTACTTTCTCTCAGGAACGGACAATTAACTACGTACAAGGATACAAAGAGTGATGTGGCGGGATAATAGAACTCACGTTCTTAATGCAGCTCTAACCTATAATTCGCATAGAGTTTCATAATCCTGGTTATATTATGATGCATCAATCGTATCGCCCTGATGCAAAATATGTTTGCCAAACCTGTATATAATTTGAAGCCTCCTCAAACTTCCAAACAATGATAGCGAGCAAAATAAACGGTCTTCAAGATAACCCCCGTAATAGATATTGGTATAATGACATCGACAAAGCCCATAAATATCCAAGATGCCCACCACGCACGAATATCTCGGTCGTCGCTCCACAGGTGCAGCCAAGTCCGTGGCTGATGCGCGTCTAGGTAGGTCTTCAGCTGTCGCAGGCGCGAACCAAAACAAGGAAAGGTTTGGAATGACTCAAACTCTTTAAAATCTCGTTGCAATAGTGAGATTATCATAAATTTTATATCTTCTGGACAAGCGTTGAGTCCTAGAGTTTGCTGCATGGGTGCCTGTGTTGTTTTATGCTGGTCCCGTGAATGTATTTTTTGGATCGTTTTGGTGGGTTGTGAGATGTTGAAAGCAGCTTAGAGGCTTAGAGGTAGCGAACACCGAAAGAAATTATCTAGTAATCCCTTTATGGGGCTTCGATATATGTCGAGGTCGATATTCTCAGCAGCCATATTTTTATATTCTCCATATCTCCGCGCCCTGTAAAAATGAGGAGTCGCATGGCCAACGAAGGCGTCACGTCCATGAAATGGATTTTTGACCATAATGAACTTATTTAAAGTGTTCAGCTTTCTCTTTGAGGAAGGTCGGAATAGTAGGGCATAGGTTAGCGACAGTTCTTTGAATGTGTGTTCTACATAATGTCTCCCTTCCCCATGATGGAAAAAATAGTTAGGACCATATTGACAAATAAGGCATCCCCATAAATGCAATACAATACAGATTATTTAATGCACAATACTCCAGAGCTCACCTAAAGAGATCGACGCAATTATAGAAGAATGTAGGGTGGGCAAATGTCCGGATGGCATTTCGACCCGAGTATATCTTCAAATGCTCATCCAGACAGTCGGTCCACTCTATCTCCAGATTTCCAAAGTCCTGCAGATACCGAATAGTGAAATGCTCAGGTATGAATGTTGGACTAGTAGATTCTTAAAGCGTAAGTTGCTTGAAGTGATCGATGCCACGCGGATTTTGATCGTATGTTCTGACCATATCCAAGATTTTATGAATTGGATCTTCCAGATACCGGAGATAAAAGGCCCTAGAAAGTGGAGGGAGAATCTCTCCAAAACGATGCGTAAATTCCAAGGCCGTGAGACAGTCAGTTAAGAATTGCATATGCTCATACTGCCGTTCAGGATCGTTAGATGTCGGCTGCTCAAGGACCCTGTGGGAGTAGCAGATCCGAAAAAGCTCCCGTAAACTCATTTAATTCAATCCGTCATCTCAGATTACTTAGTCCATAGTTCGCGCCACTTGAATCAAAACAGCCAAGATTGTAGAGGCCTTCATCCCTTCACTATTGTCATCACGATCTGTGGTAGTGTCGTCAGTCGTCTGACAGCATTTATTTTGCATATTTTGCCGACTTTCAATACGAATCAAGATTAGTACTAAGCGGTGCAAACGTGAATACTCAAATGAAGCCCGTGTGGGTTCCTGTATTCGAGAAAGCCTTTCCATTCAATATGCCTCACTCGCGAAGATAGACTCGATGAGAAAAGTGCGGTTATTGCACAAATTGTCATAATTTAGCGTGAGATCTTCATTCTCTCGTCATCCTAGGCAGTGATATAGATCCTGGAAACATCCAAATGCCGACTGGTACGCCTTGTTTGTGGTCTCAATGTTCGTCGTGGTACCTTCACGCTCCCTCAAAAACTCTGTACGCAACCAGGAGAGCAGAATATCAGCACATCACAAAACAAGACAAGATAGATAAGAATACTTGGTACCGGCCATTTTACCTTCATATTTCTCGATACAGGTATCTGTTTCTTCGTCATTTGTTTTGAGAGAAAGTGTTTGAACTTCTACCCACTTTGGGATGTTTTTTAGTTGCTCACCATGGAACTCTTCATCCAAGGTCTTGCCAACCAAATCTAGGGGGGCTCTTTGAAACATATGGGGGGTAGATTGACTTGAGTCATCAAATTGCCGCTCTTGTGACTCTACCAATCGCTGTAGAGTTTCTGTGAGTTCCGGAAGAACCCTGGCAAGTTGTGGCGATGATGCCTCAGCTTCTTTGTCTCGTGGAGCATTATCCATGGCGAAAAATCCTTTGTGTAGGATCTAAAGAGTTGATTTGAACAGTTGACTTGTTCTGCGTTGTAATCGTAGGAATTTTTTGACACCCATCGGCAGAGGCAGGATAGGCTCCTCATGTCATACTTCTCTAGATTCTCGGATACCCTCCAACTTCCTCCGACCACGGGATAAAGGATCAAAAGTACCAATACTTCGGTCTATCGATTCTATCACTAATACACTACAACTCAAGTAGGAAGCTAATTCCCATTGCAATGCATGTTGGTTCTAACACAACAGTGACTAACCTATGTCAACATCCAATCAAAAAAGGTTGTACACATTAACAGCCAACAGCACCAATTACTTGCATAACAGCGGCCGATTGCCATGTAGTATACAATTGGACAAACACAAATAAAAGATGACTCACATTTAAGGGTCAGTACTGACACTCAGGTAGAGGGGCAAGGCATAACTAAAGGTATCTTCAGGAAAATGCCCATTTGAGGTTGGTTTAAGGTTGTATGAGCTGAGGTTTCTCTCATGTCTGTAAGCAGTGTATGATTCAGGCTCCTTTGAACTCCACAGACACTCGACTGCACCGTTCCAAGTATATGGCCGCGAGGTAACAAGAAGATGAGACTGCGGGTTGCGAGCCTATATGCATGAACGATCTGGTATCTGAGTCAATGTGCGTGTTGAAATATAAGCATCAATAGTCCTCTGGGCCTTAACCTTTTTGCCTTCAACAATACGTAACAACAAATAAGACAGAAGGTTATTTCAAATAGCATAATGTTGACATGGGGATATGATGTAGCTCTTTCAGCCCGCAGATGTTATGCTAAAATGTACGTTTGTCTAAGATTCCTCAAGATATAGTTCAATTATGTACATATTGCCTAGTAATATAAGACCTTTAGATGAAGCGCAAAACATTTTTGCGCGTGATTGTCAAGGTCGGCCTCCCATACTAAAAGCGCTAATATGGACGAATCTTGAGATTGTGTTGAAGGCAGCAAATATTTGTCCAGCCTTCCACAATTTGGGAAGACTAGCTTAGTAGTTCGACGGACCATAGCGAATGATGCTACAGCAGGGTCAGTATGACAAAATATGTGAACGTATTAACTAAAGTATCAGCTATATTTCGAGATACGAGTCAGTCTGGCTTATTCCTGACATATGTTACAATCATGACGCCGTACGGGCTCATTAATCTCTGTATACTCAGGTCATGTTCTCAGCAGCAACTCTTGTTTTACTTATTAACGCTTCTTCTCCTCGACAAGGGTAGTCTCAATATCAAGGAATAATAAATCCGATTCTTGATGTAAACGAAAGGTCTAATGCTATGGCCACGCATAGACCTCATGTTTCAACGAGCTAGGCGCCGACAACTAACGCTCTATCGGTCTTCATTCCGTGATTCTCTCGAATCTCGCGTTTTACTGTTTACGATAGATTGCCGATCGGATTCACTAACTCAAGTTGCTTGCTGCTAGTGTAGCCCTCTATTTCTGAACACAGCTACATCAAATTCTTCACTACGTGAAATCCACTCCTTCATTCTATGGAATAAGAAGTCTAGCTCATAGATCTAATTTTTTCTGTCGGAACTCGAACTACAGATGGCATCCTCAGAATTTCTTCAACTGGATCAGCTACTACTATAGTAAGACTATTGCGGTCTATATTTCTTATGGAGAGAGAATGAAGTGGCTAGAGGCAGTATATGATGCCAGTGTCACGACCTAGCTCTTATTGTCGCGACGATGGGTCTACCGGATAGGTAACCCAGATAAATAATGGGCCGTCAAGCCAGTAGAACGGATCATCACCCTATCCACAAGGTGCTTCATCAGATATGTGATCGATAGTGAGGTACCAAGCGGATATAAAAGATAAGGAATCGGAAGATTCTAAGCACAAGGAAAGAAATACACAGGCAGCGGCTGCAGATGATACACATAAATAATGCTCTTTATGCTGTTTCGCGTGTTAATGTTCATTTTGCGGTCCCTGTTTTTTTTTTATAACCGCTTGGGCACTGATAAACGCGGCCCGCCCCTCTAATGCGGCCGAAGAGGCAGTGCAAAGCCGCGTGCTATGACCTAATTGTTTCAGTTCTCAGACCGGGATCACAAATGCTGTGGTTGAGAATCTACGCACTAGTCGGTATTCACTGCGGAAGCCGCCCGAGTCTAGCTAAAGTACTACTTATGTAGTAAACTATTTGTCCTTTCCTTTGCCCGCCAGTCATCCAGTGGGGAGGATTGGCAGCCAGAATTGGGGAGTATCAGGAATCTTGTCTTGATTGGCCACTTTGTCGTACATTCTTTCTCTTGAGCCGCATCTTTCGCAAGCAACTAGGTACCAGCTGGCTCTGGATCAGCGAAACGGAAAGTGCATCCCTCCATGAGGAGTGGAACACAATGTAAGTCATGGGCTCTGTACTTAATGCCATTTGTGGAGCATAAATGTTGTCTCCGCCCTCATGTTGGAACTTGGGTTCCAAGACATGCATTCTAAAACAGCATACAGTCCATATAGAAGCTAACTAATTTAGTTCCTACTTGGAGCTCATAGTGTAAGCGAACAGATGGTCCTTTTTAATGACGTCTGACGGAGGACGTAGATAGAAGAACCTGTATTATATTCTTAATGGGCTATGATGATCGTAGCCTGACCCATCTACCTATGATGCCAGCCGTCCTTATAGCGCCGAATATACGCTATAACCTTGAGCCCAAAGACGACATGCCTCGATGGGCGTGAGATATGAGCGGCTTGAGCTAAAAAGGCAAGGATCTCAACAGCAGATGGACTGAGCCATGCGTGGGGCGAGATGGCTGCATATTTACAAGTACCCCATGGCGTTTGTCAGCTATAAGTGTGGGCATTCTACACGAAGATTCATATTTACGGCAAGTGGTGCTATTTTTTCAATGCTTGGATCAACCTTGACCTACATCTAGGTACTTTCACAAAAAGTTTGTTGAATGGAATCACCATCATGATCATCATGACCAGTTTCACAACAATGACCTCATAAATTCGCTCTAACCCACGTAGCACCTGCCGATTTATCTTACACGCACAAGTACTTTATTTCTTCTAGTATTGGTACCTCTCTTATCTAGTCTTCCGCTTCCTTTCTTAGTCTACAGTCTCGTGGATGACTTCAATAGACTCATAGGTAACTTCAACAGATTCATGGATGACTTCATCAGACCCATAGGTAACTTCAACAGATTCATGGATGACTTCATCAGACTCATGGACGACTTCATCAGAGTCCTCTGGTTGAGGTGTAGGTGGGCCGTCTTCTTGACCTTCATTGATTACCTTGTAGTGAAACCTAGCCATCATCAGCTGGACGCTCTCTCTGGCAAGAACGGCATCCCCATGGCTCTTCTCGCAGCTTTCCAGGGCTGCTTGAAGATCGCTCACAACCGCTTTAGCCGCTGCAATATCCCCAATCGCCGCTAGCGATTTAGCATCGATCGTGAGTTTACTAACGGAATCGGCCGAGTCCCTTACAGCCCTAGCTGCCTCCGTAGCTTTCTGTGCACCCCGCGTGACTCTTATTGCGATGTTTGACGTATTCTCAGCCGCGATAGCATAGGCTATCTTCCCTTCATGTGAGTGCTGCGCTGCTTCTTCGTGATAGTAGCCTGCAAGCCCGACATGGTGGGCAGACCGGGCATCGCGCGTAATTCCGGTTGCCAAGTGGTGAACCTGAAGCTCGCATCTCTCTGCCGCTGCGGCTTCATCTTTAGCCCAAGTCAAAAGCGAGGAGGCACGTATCTTGGCCTTTTCAGCGTTGTCGGTGATCTCAGCCGCGGCCTCTCGATGATGCTCCCGTATATACTGCCACGTTACGCAGAGAGAGCCCCCAAGAAGCCACCACCCGGTCCACGGGTGAAAAGCGAGCCACAAGAGGGGAAAATGAGACCATGAGGGAATCCTTTGACGAAGATTCACGTAGAGGATTATGTGATTGCGATATCCATATCGCAAGGGGCCGGCTATATTTATCGTGGCGCATATAATCCCTACAAGAGCAAGGATGCCAAGGAATATCCATTGCAAATATGGGTTGGAGAAAGCCTCAGTAATCCTAAAAGAGGACGCAACAAGCCATGACGCCGGAATGATCATACCTAAGATGAAGTCATTAACTGTCGTGGTGGATGATATACTGCAGGGTAAAAAACATACATTCTACAATGCCAGGCCTATAGCTTGAGCTGAGTGTCGGAGAGCCGTAATATGTTCCTAGTGCCAACAGTAGAGCTAGCCAGCAGCCATTAGCCTCTTTATCTTACATATGATGGACGCTACTTACATTGGAAATGGGCTGGGTTGCTTATGTTAAAAGGCAAGATGGATTGGCCTTGTTCAAGCCGCAAGATGGGATGGCCTCGTAGCAAGAAAAAGGCAAGTAAAGCAAACACAAGCCCGGAGCCTATGTAATGGTTAGAATTGACCTAAGACGCTTCTGCGCTGGACCTACTACTGCTATAAGCGGCTGAAACTTCGCCATGTTTCCCTTTCGATTGAAGGAACCAAAAAAATAAGAAGGCAATGAGTATCCAATTTTGGTCCCCTTCTATGAACTTGGCTGGTATGAGATTCGCCGAGAGGGTAGGTTCAAGGAGAAGTGGGACAGCGGCAATAATGACGCTCCCTATGCCATGTTAATATAGGGTATTGATAGATGTTGCGCGCGGTTACCTACAATAATGTTTGCCTTCACATAATAGCTCTTGTCGGAAAAGAGAGTAGTCTTTCAGCACAAACAATACAGCCGCTATAAAAATAGCAGGAAAAGAATATGTTGATTCAAGTGATGGAAAGAAAGTTAGGCCCAATAACACAGCACCAAGGGCTTAAGAGACCAGTCAATTCTCTGCTATTCAAACTGTGATATATAGAGATAGCTTACAGAGGTTATTTGGTGCAGCGGTGGCTGTCTGTTTTGTACAGATTGGACAGGCAGGATCGGAGCAAGTTTCTTTTGCCATGGTTGCTAAGCAATAGCGCTGGCCAGCTAAAGGTGATGCCGATGGTGCGCGGGCTCGGAGTGAAATTCAGGCCATGTGTGAAGAGTACAGTCAAAATAAAAAGCTAGGGTGCAGAGAGGATATATAACGAAAAGAGACCATAGTTTCTCTATTGTTACCTTCAAAATATATCTATAGTATGTCGTTATCTGTTGTTATTTCTTTTGATTTGAGAATTATTCAAGGCTAAGCCTTAATGCCCAGCTTGAGCCACTCTTCGTTTACGCTTCCATCTGCATTAGCAAAGTCCATTATAACCACACCCCTCAGCCTTTTCAGCTAAACATCCCATTTAGCATACTACGGCTTAACAAACCATGCAGTGGACATATCCCCATAATCTCAATGGTAGTGAGGCTCAATTACAAGCATTGCATGCCTACCAGAAGCCTTAACTCAGCTCGGTAATAAAGGTCACATGAGTGATTTTAAATAGCTTGGGCAATCAAAATACGTGTTCGGTGGCAATCTCGACTTCGGTGATGATAGAACCAACCATGGTTCTCCACGTTATAGTACAGACGTCAGGCAACAATAAATGGATCGTTCGGGCGACAGTGGATGCGTCGTTTAGGCGACGATGGATGCATCGTTCAGGCGACAACGGATGCATCGTTTAGCGTTAGCATACATGCAATATGAGTCCAGGGTGTAACATGCAGCGGGACAGATAGCCGCGGCTGCCTCTGGGAGCCAGTCATTGGAAGGCTGTAAAGCTACCTATTAAAAAAGCGAGGATGGCAGCAATGCAAGCATCAAGGTCAAGATGTCATCGAATGCCTGGTAGGCTTTGGCAGTGTAAGCAGAGTCGCTACCACTATAAAGCCTCTATTACATACCAGCCCTTAAGGCCACTGGTATCAAGGCCTTTTATGTGCGCTCAAGTGTGGATCGCTACATTGCTACATACCTGGGAAGAAAATTGGGCTAAATATCGCACCTGTGGACATTATAGCTGCAGGACTAGCTGCTTATAAAGTACCTGTGCCCCAGGTTATTGATTGGTTAACAGCTATCAAAAGCAGAGAGTGTTCGTGAATCAATTCAACCCCATTGATGGCTTGGGCCTTAACCTCTCCAAATCATCAACATCGCTATCACATCTAGAGTCCACAAGGCGCCAAGGTATAGGTATAAATAGAGAGGTTGTGTTAATTAGGCGGTCGACCGGGGAATCAACTTTCCATTCACTGAAGCCAACTCTATCACGCCGGGCAATCTCACTCAAGGGTCACTATTAACCTGAAGATGGCAACTGCAAGGTATGATGTTCCTTTATTTCCTGCGCAACAGTAGTCAAGCAGTTGCTGATTATGCATAACCAAGAAAAACGCATGATGACTACACTATAGGTTGGGTAGCCACTTTAGGTTTTGGGGTATCGGTATTTCGGGCGTTGTTGGACGAAGAACACGAGTCTCTTCCACAAGATGATCGTGATGACAACAGCTATGTTCTTGGCCGGATGGGGAGCCATAATGTTGTTTTGGCATATCCCGGAGAGTCCAAGACAGCCCTTGGTGCCGAAATTCTATCCCATATGGCCTACTCCTTTCCCAAAATTCAGCTGAGATTGATTGTGGGAGTAGGCGGCGGTGCTCCGCAGCCAATACAATCCGATCCGAAAAAGGACATTCGACTTGGCGATGTCGTTGTTGGCTTTCCCAATGGGGATAATAGTAAGCTTGATCGTTTCCATCGCCAAGATGGATGCATACTGATGCTCAGATAGATTGCGTGGTGCAGTGGGAGAAGAGCACGGGGGAAGAGGGCAGTTTCGTGGCGAAATGCCATCTTCATGGGCCTCCTCCAGTACTTATCAACGCCATCAAAGCGCTGCAATCGGCCCATCAGGCTGAAAATGGCAACATGCAGCAATACATTGATCAAGTCCTCCAGTCAACTTCCCCCGGCATGGAAACCATCAAGCATCCGGGATTTGAGAGGGATCGACTGTTCCGATCAGGCTACATGCATAAGGGTGGGGAGCAGAAGAGTGCAGACGTCTGTGCGGCATGTGATAAGGGACAAATCATTCAGCGAACACCAAGGGAACCATCGCATGTCATGGTTCATTACGGTCAGATTGCCTCTAGCAACAAAGTGATGAAGACTTCTAAGAAGCGAGATTCTCTGAGAAAAGAGTGGGGGGTTCTCTGTTTTGAGATGGAGGCGGCCGGTCTCACGGATGAATTTCCATTTCTTCTAATCAGGGGTGTCTGTGACTATTCGGACAGTCACAAGGATAAAAAATGGCGGTCCTTTGCCTCTCTCACGGCGGCCGCATACGCTAAAGATCTCTTGATGGTACTCCCGTCGCAGGAGGACGGGGCTATGCCGCTGGCAGTAGGATCTGCTGGGGAGGAATCTCAAGTGGGAAAGGGATTAGGTGTGGAAGAAGCATCTGAATCTAACAGAGGCTCTGAAACCGAGAGGGAAACTGGTACAGAAAGAGATTCTGCGTCTGGAATGTCAGGAATGAGCGGAGAATCTGGGTCTGACGGAGAATGGAAAGCCAAAGATGAATCTAACACGACGGACGGGGCCATCAGAGACGCTGAAGCGTCCAGCCCTGAACGAGAAAGGAGCTCTGAAAAAGAATCTGTGGTTCCAGGAAAATCGGGAGCTGTGGAGGAGTCAGGGTCTACCAGAGGATCAAAAGCACCGAAGAAGTCCAAAATGCCAGGCAAAACTAAAACAACGAAAGAGAATAAGGCGGACAAGTCTGAAATCTCAGGAGACGCTGGACTTGGGGGGGAGCCTCAGACAGAAGGGAGGTCTGAGGAAGCTAACAACGCTGAACCTCAAGTTGAATCTGGGTCATTGAAGAAATCAAAAACCAAAAAAGGTGGAACTGGGAAGAAACTTGGATCTGTACGAGTTCAAGAAGCTGGACAAGAGGCTGGGTCTGCGACGGAATCTTTGGCTTCAAAGGCACCCCCGAAAGAACCCGGAACCAAGAAAAAGGCCGGAGCCAAATCAAAAGGAGCCTCTAAAATCACAAGAGAAGATGGCACTATGGCAAAGGCTGGGACTACAAAGAAGGCTGGAGATTCAAGCAGTGCTGTGACGACAGGTGGAGGAACCATGGAAGCTATGGAAGCCATGGCTATTGGGAAGACTGAAGAGTTGATGCAAACCATGGAGATTGGAAAGATTGAAGAAGCAATAGAGGCCATCACAGTTGGGAAGGCCGGAGAAGCCATGGAAGCCATCGTGATTGGGAAGACTGAAGAAGCGATGAAAGATGTGGCACCAAAAAACCTGATGGGAGCCGCGACGACAAGAAAAACGCTAGGTACGATGCAAGCCGTGACGGCTACGAAGCTTGGAGAGACAATCGAAGACAAACCGGCCAAAAAATCGAGAGGTATCAGCCGAGCTGTGACCTCGAAGAAGCCCAGCGGTGTGAGCGGAGTTGCGAATACAAAGACTGGAGGTGCCGGCAAAGCCGCTGATGTGATGGATTTTCCGGCCAAGGGAGAAGCTCTCGTTGGTAGACCGAAACCCAAACAGGAACCCAAGCCTGAATGGCGCGAAGCAAAAACAGAGTCCAACATCAAACAACAGGTTGCCATTTCGAGAGTCTCAGAAGCTACAAGGACGGCAAGCCATACGAGAGCCGAAGCACGATCGAGATTCTGTGGATGTAGGGGAAGGTGCTGGACACTAGTCCCTGCTCTCCAGTGTGCCTCAGCCACAGATCTCTCGGAGGCTGTGAAAAGCGGCAATCTATGGAAGCTGAGGGTGATACTTCACATGGGCGTTGACCCCAATATCGCGGAACATCATGGCGGCCAGAGCGCGCTGCACGAAGCAGCGTACTGGAACCATCCCAATGCGGCCATGATTATCATGGGGTTTATGGGTACATGTGATATTCATGCAAGGAATCACGAGGGACTGACAGCGCTTGAGGTGGCAAGGAAGCGTGGTAGTGAGGATGTCGTTAGATTGCTGGAGAATTATCGGTGATATCGTAGTAATTTCAATCATTTTCCTCATAAAATCTTTCTCTTTCAGGCTCGCAGCTGCGATGGCCCGTTAACGACACGGGCTGTCTGTCTATGAGTGCGAACCAGGCCCCGTAAGCGAGGACGGAAGACACCCCGTTGCATTGATGCAAAAGACATTTCAAGTGGAACCTGTGCGATAAAGGGTTAATTACATGTGCTCATGCCAGCTGAAGCCTGGGGTATGGTTCAGGCTAGCGTGCGGCTCTTCTTGCTGGATTTTGCGGAATCTGCCCTCCAGCTCCCAAGGTGGAGGCAAGAGGTAGCCTTGGGCCGTCTGTAAGAAATGACGAGATTTCTCTGGTGTGATTTGTTGTCGTTTCCGTAGCATTAGTAGGCTCTGAAAGCTGCCTTGCCGTTTGCCCATGGCAACCGTTAGGCATGACTGCTTGAGAACGACCATAAATAGTGGACAACATGCATCTGGCAAGCAGCATCTCTTCGCTAATTTGCGTGTCAACTTCTCATTGGACTTGATGTATCGCCTTGGTTCCGGTTGCGGCTCCCCATTAAGTACGGCGACCTATCCCATCTTGACCTTTGCACTTTGGCAGACTTTGAGAACCTTGCATTTCGCTCCCTCCACTTACACTTTCTACCAATTCATTTTCCGGTCCTTTGATGTCTATCCCCCTCTCTCTCCCGGAGCTGCCAGCATGGGCCGCCCAGCTAGCGGGCATTCTGCCGCTCACAGGCCTGTTCGAGTTGATTGATGCTTCCGAAAAGCTGCATTCGCTCGAGCTCGCTGCCGCGGTGCCTCTGTGGAACTGGCCCATAACGCCGGCCATGGCCCGATCCCTATTTTCCAACGACAACGTCGACGCGTGCTATCTAGACTCTGTGAGGCAATCCCAGACCTTGCATTGCATTGACGGCCGTTTCGGTGACCTATACCCCTCCAGCACACCCACCACATCTCTCATGTGTGGACAGACGAGGAGGCCGGCCACGGTCATCCCCAATCAGTGGCTCGAGAAGGAGACGCCTCACGGACGCAGACAGAAACTCAAGGTGATTGTATTGATGGAGAACCTTGACAAGCCCCAACCGCGCCTTTCCATCTCCTCCAATGCCCACCGTTGGATGTCTATCCTCGGATGGCTCTGTTGGGCTGGCGCCAGCATCACCTCCCTCTACGCCCGGCTGTACATAGCTGCCGTGTACCTGGCCCTCATCCCGTTGACGGGCGCCACCATTGGCCTCACGCACGGGAATGCTCCTCGCCAGCTCCTGGACACCACTCTCGACTACGAGCGCATGGTCATTGCGACCCACAGTCTGAATGGGACTGCCTGGTACGCCTTTTACGGCGAGAGCAAGCTGCTCAACACTCTGCTAAACAGGCCCCTCTGCCGTGTGGACGCCAGGCCGTCGGGGCGCTTCCCCCTCGGGCTTCTGCTGCGGCTCCTCATCGCGGGCCAATGGGTGCTGAGCGTGGGATCATGCGCCCTGCGGGACTGGAACGCCATCGTCATCTTCGCGTGGCTCATGTTCTGCACCCTCTACAGCGCGTTTGTGTACCCTCTGCAGGTGTGTGTCCAGGACTGGCTGCGGCAGAGCTGCAACCTGAGCGCCGAGTCCATCGACGTCGAGTTCACGACGCGTAGGTCCATGCTCTCCGCACTCGTCTGCCTCAACCCCGACACGAAGGAGAAACGCACTGCGTGGATCGATCCAATTCTTCGCCAATCCGAAGACCGAGACCTGTGGGAGACGGCGCTCCTGAATTATATACTTACCAGTGAGAGAAGTCAGCCCCGTTACTTGAATCATGCTGACAAAGCTCCCTGCAGAGAGGAACCCAGATGAAGTTACAAGGAATAAGTATTGGTGGAAATTCATCGAAGAGGGTCATGATGCTGGGGACAAGATGAAGCAGAGGATCAAAGATATCATGGCATTAAGCGTTTAGCAACCGGTGACGTATGAATTCTGATGGCCCTTTTTCGTGCTTAAAAAGACGCTGTAAATTGAGGATAATGAAGAAGAGGGCAAAAATGAAGTATCTGTCTAATGGCGAGCCCCGCATATGTTATCCATGTCGTGGCCTTGCTGCCCAACGCTGGCAGATGAGCCCATCATCCAAAGTTCTTGTTGTATATATGTAAATAGCAGAGACACCTCGGCGAGGATTATGAGCGGAAGCAGCCGCATTTTCTTCTCACTGTATCCTGGGTATACCCCGGTCGACGACCATGGCCCAGCGCACCCTTCGTCCCGATGCCTACACTGTGGGATGGATCTCCGCCCTCCCCGTTGAATTCGCTGCCGCGGTGCAGCTGCTCGACGAAGAGCATGGTGACCATCCTCTGGATCACGACGACGATACTCTCTACACGCTGGGCAGCATCGGTAAGCACAATGTCGTAATTGCCTGCCTGCCGGCTGGCTCCATGGGCACTAATTCTGCCGCCGCGGTCGCCACCCAGATGAAGGCGCAGTTTCCCTCAGTTCGCTTCGGCCTCCTAGTCGGTATTGGAGGAGGCGTCCCGAGCGTTATAGCGGATATTCGTCTCGGCGACGTGGTCGTGAGTCAGCCGTCAGCGAGGTCTGGGGGTGTGATACAGTACGACTTTGGGAAGAGCACGCCGGATGGGTTTGCGAGAACGGGCTTCCTTAGTCCTCCGCCGAAAATCCTCCTGAGCGCGCTCTCCAAGATGCAGGCCCAGAGCCTCCGAGGGAGAAGCGTCTTTACGTCGCACCTGTCACGCTTCAACGGCATCTCTGAGTTCAAGCGTGAACACGCGGGGCCCGACATGCTGTTTGAATCCAAGTATGATCACGTGGGGGGCCCTACCTGTGAGGGCTGCAATCAGAAACAACTGGTCAGGCGGGCACCGGGGAGGGAGGTGAATCAGGTCAAGGCTCATTATGGCATGATCGCCTCCGGTAACATGGTGATGAGGTCCGGTCAGGCACGAGACCATCTGAGCTCCGAGCTTGGAGGCGTGCTCTGCTTCGAGATGGAAGCTGCCGGGCTTATGAATGGCTTCCCATGCCTGGTGATTCGAGGTAGGCAGACCTGTCCACATAGACGCGCATATCATGGGTGCTAACGGATGGCGGGTTAGGCATTTGCGATTATGCAGACTCGCACAAGAACAAGACGTGGCAGCCATACGCAGCGGCAACAGCAGCAGCCTATGCCAAGGAACTCCTCCTCACTATCCCCGGCACAGTCCAAGACCGTGGCGGGCCGCTCGCTCAGGGTCGTGAGCCAGACATAGGACCAGCAATTAGCAGTGAGAAGCGGCGTTATACCGAACCCATAACCAACGTGCGTGTTTCTGCGGACAACAATTCGGGGTTTATTATGGGAGCAAACTATGGGAGTATCAGTGGAAGCAACTCGTTGGGTCGATATCTCTAAAAAAGTTTGTAACTGCGGATTTATGATGGCGTAAACATGTTTGTAAAAGTAGCTGTGATAGTATGATATTTTCAGGCATGTGGGTATAAATTCCACGGATATCATAAGACCTCGCCTATTTAACAGCTCTTGTTCTAAGCTCTATGGCTTATATCTCTTATTACCCTTCCTTAGCCTCACTAGAGCACCACATATAATTATATAGTCTTATTAAAAAGTCTCTTACCAAGTCGTATATTTCACAGCATCTTATTATAGCGTTCTTTTAGAAACGCCATCTTCTACCAATTACCTAGTTAGTTACTACTGGTAGAAACTGGGCCAGTTTCTTAGTAACGCGGTAGACAAACAGACCAGACACTTCCTATTAGATATCACAGGGACGTCATCAAGGGTTACATCTCTATGCGTAGTCATTGTATCTAAAATTATCTGATAAATATTCACAGTGCTGACGATCACACCAGTTTGTCTCCATTCGCTATTGCTCTTCTCATTAGCCTCCTGAAATGCCACTGGAATTTCTCACGACATATCAGCCCGTTTTGCTCTTCTCGTTAACCCACTGTGGCAATTGGGCTGATTGGGCCGAGTTTAGCAAGGTGATAACAGTCCTATGGCCTCGTTGAGACGCCCTAGATAGGGCAGTATGGCCATCCAAGTCGGTCGTGCCGGCGGCAGCCCCGCGAGAGAGTAAGAGCAGCGTGGTAAGGTCGTTCCCCCGCTCGGCTGCGGCCATCAAGGCCGTCTCTCCCCGAAGGCCGCACGCGTTGGCATCGGCACCGTGGTCGAGTAGCAGTTGGACGACGTGCGTGTGATCGGCCTTGGCGGCCGCCATCAGCGCGTCGTGCCCCTTAAACTGGTCCTTCACATCAACGTCGGCGCCGGACGCCAGTAGCAGCCCGACCACAGCCACATTCCCCCGCCGCGCCGCTCTCATCAGCGCCGTGCCCTCCTCCCAGCTGTTGACGTTGATATCGGCGCCGCGCTCCAGCAGAAGTCGCACCACCGTCTCCTGGTCCCTGTCGACGGCCCTCATCAGTGCCGTCCTGTCGGCCCAGTCCCGAGCGTCAATGTCGGCACCGCGGTCGAGCAGAAGCTGCACGATGGACTGACGCCCCTCCTCCGAGGCTTTGATCAGCGCTGTGTCTTGTTGCGAAGTGCACCGGGCATCGATCTCGGTGCCATTGTCGAGGAGCAGGCAGATGAGCTCCTCGTGGTTCCGCTCCACTGCGCGCGTCAAGGCCGTCCATTTCTGCGAGCGATCCTGCGCATTGACGTTGGCGCCGAGGGCGATCAACCGACTCGCCGCCATTGTGTGACCTCCTTCGACCGCCAGCATCAGCGGTGTCACGCCAGCGTCGTCTTTCACGTTGGTATCAGCACCGCTGCCGAGCAGCAGCTCCATTACCGTCGTGTGATTCTGCAGGATGGCTCTCATCAGGGCCGTGCGTCCGTCCATGCAGTCCCGGGGATCGAGGCTAGCTCCGTGCTCCAGCAAGATGCGAACTACGTCCTCCTGCTCCTCGTCGCGCTCGGTCGCCCACATGAGCGCCGTCCGGCCGCCGTACCTCTCTTGCTGGTTGACGTTGGCGCCGCGCCTAAGGAGCTCCTCGACCACCGTTATATGCCCTGCCTCGGCGGCCATCATCAGCGCTGTACGTCCTCCGTTCCTCTCCTGGGCATTGACATCGGAACCGTGGAGGAGAAGCTGCTCGACAATGGCCCTATGCCCGCCTTGGGCAGCCATCATCAACGCTGTCCGCTGACCGTGCCTCTCCCGCTTATGGACGTCAACGCCGTATTGGAGCAGCGTCTGGACTGTAGCGGCGTGACCCCGCTGTGCCGCCCGCATCAGCGCCGTCTGGCCCCACACGTCCTGCCGGTCGACCTCCGGCTTCCGCGTTAATAGCGCCTCCACTACGGCATTGTGGCCCCGCTCCGCCGCGAGCCCCAGCGGCCTCCGCTTCCGGACATCCTCCGCCTCCACATCGGCGCCGAGATCAAGCAGACGTCGCACAATCTCCTTGTGTCCTTGCCTCGCCGCCTCGCCCAGCGCCGTCTGCTTCTTCTCATCCTTCGCGTTGACGTCAACTTTATGCTTGATGAGCAGGTCCGTGACTCCCTGATGGCCCTGCGCTGCCGCCCACATAAGCGTAGTCCTGCCCCGGCTGTCTTTTGCATTAGCGTCAGCGCGGTGGCGGAGGAGCAGCTCTACCATAGCCTGGTGCCCTCCGCTCGCGGCGCAGTGAAGGGGCGTGCGGCCGAGGTCGTCGCGTTCGGTGAGCTTGCGGCTCCAAAACTTCCAAGCCGCGTCGTTGAGTGTTTTGTTGACCCACGACTCGATCCCGAAGTAAGCAGCCACGTGTAGCCAGGACATCTTCCCCCCGGACCCCGGTGCATCGTCCGCTCCCGGCTCCTTAGTCCTGCGATACGTCTGCCACCAGTGCAGCCCCAGAGGAGAACCGTCGCTGAAAAAGGGCCGCGAACGATCCCGGATCTGGTTGGCGTGCTGCTTCGACTGCCGAGCGTGCTCTGCCCAGTGCATGATGGCGTAGCCCAAGAGCGGTGATGGGCTCTGCGCCTCGCTCTGCTCCAGGCAGCTCAGGCAGTGCTTAGCGAGCTCGAGGTGCGCCTCCTCAGGCCGGATGCCAAATGGTTGCGCGACGCTCAGCAGATAGTCCTTCGCCGACTGGTGGACGAGATGGACGGCGTCGTCGTCGTGGATCGTGAGGAGCTCCCCGCATTGGACCACTTGCTCGCGGCACGCTTGAAGGCTGCTGATGCGGTAGCCGGGCGGTCCGTCACCGAATCCTGCCAGCCTTCGCAGCTCCTGTAGCTCCTTGAGCCGCAGCGGGCGGATCCCCGTGGCGACCCAGCGCAGGAGCTGCGCGCTCTCGTTCCGCCACCGGGGCTGGATTTGGTTTAGGATGCGAGAATAGATCCTGTCTAGGCCCTCGGGTAGACTGCGCATCGTCTCCCATACCTCCAGCCTTGTCTTCTTCTTGGCCAACTCCTTCAAAATCAGGCCCACCCAGAGAAATGTGCCGTCCGATTTGGCTCGGAGCATGTCACACACTTCCAACGCAAGCCCGTCTAGATGGGATAGCCTCCCGACGCCGTCGGTGATACACCGCTCGATATCGCTTGCCAGCGGCTTGTCGTTGTCAAGGTCGAGCCGCAGCCGGGTGAAGGCCTCCAGGCCAGCCATCCCCCGGCTTAGCACCAGCACCCGCAACCTCCCCGCGCTCGACCGCGCCTGGCCCACGAACGCCGTCAGCAGCCAGCCCGCCGACTCTCTCTCGCACTCGTCGAGTCCGTCTAGAATGCACTGTATTGTCTGGAGCGCTGGGTCGCCGACGATTCTCTCGAAAATGCGCCAGAGCGTGTCGAACGAGGTCAGCGAGCTTCCCGCGCGGTTAGGCTTCAGGTAGTAGGAGGCGTGCTTGGCTAGGCCTCGGTGCTGGTTAATGAGCTGAAACAGCAGCCCGTTGAGGATGGCGACGGCCGTGTTACGGTCCGCGTCGTTGCTCGAGCAGAGGTAGAACAGCAGCGTCACTGAAGCCTCCTGCCTCGCCAGCGCTTCGAGTTCCTCGATCAGAAAGATGGAGAGCATTGTCTTGCCCTTTCCAGGACCCCCGGTTATCCAGAGCAAGGGCGTGTCTGAGCTCGGCTGGGAGCAGGTCGACCACGAGCGATAGAGCAGATTGTCCCGGATCCATTCGCAAGTCCCGGGCACCCTCCTGCCGTTAATGCGTATCAGCCTCCGACGATCCATCTCGGGGTCGTGGAGACTGTCACGGCATATCATATAGTGATCCGCATCTGCTAGGAAAATTCACTTAGCTCATACATCCCTCTGGTAAAAGATGCCGAGAGCTTAGTTTGAAAGATCGGTTGACCTGCCCGTCACATAATATCTCCAAGGCTACTTACCTTCATCACTGGATGGGCCAGACGTGCTTGGTTTGTTGAGGTGCACATGCACTTGTCCGTGGTTTGTTCCAAGCAATAGTCCGTGGTTGTTCTGAGCCTCAGCCCAGACATTAGCGGCGAGAGCTGCAGCGTCCATTATCGGTGGCGCGGGACGGAATACAGTTGGAGTTTACGACAAATTCGACCTTAAGTAGGTACGTCACAGTAGTATGTAAGCGCTCTAATAACAGCCCAAGCAAATAGCAAAGGAGATATTCCTGTCCCACAACAAAGTCGCTCGCGTATCATTACTAAGTGCGTATGTAGGCTGGGCTTTTGCGTGCAAGGCAACCAATATTATGAAGTCAACCTTGCCCTGGTCTTTGCAGGTGTAGTGGGAGCCGTCCCAACTAGTCATATAGCGTGCGATTGGCCTCTTTGATCGCCCCATTCCCCATCGTAAATTAATTGGTGTGGACACGAGAGGCACTCGGCAGCCTCTCGTCGGGCATCAATAATTTTCAACTTGATATGCACCAGCATCCTCTCTACCTCAGCCAATGATTCACAGCTCTGCGGCAGGTTATTACTGTTAGATTGTTCATGGAACTTTGGGGACCATCAGAGTACCTATCTGGATCAGGTTGGAAAACTTTGGGCATTTACGATATGTGGATATAGGGCACAGATATCCAATTATGGGATGTTGGGTTTGCATAATGGATACAATAATACTTGTAGAAAAATTACTAAGCATATAAGAAGGATAAAAAGACATCACTCAGGAAAATAATGAGTGGAAGGAGCAGAAGATAGAGATTATCACACTCATCAATTCATGTTGGTTGTTGCTGTCATTTTGATATTATGTGATAACTTTTTGTTGTCCACAATTTAACAATCACCACAACGAGCCATGTCCCTAGTCGAAACCTTATTGGCTGAACCATTGGATGGGATCGACCTGAAGGCCGATTATGACTGTCTCTTGGACCTGCAGGAGCAGGACAAATCCGAGTCTGCTCCGCCGCCCGTGCCCATCACAGTCGCCGAAGCGTTCGCCTACCACAAGATCCTGACCGGGCCCATTGACAGCGACCTAGACGATTCGGATTCCGACGATGACGCTGAGTATAATTGGGCGAGAAGGGGTGAACGAGGCGAAGACTCAGTACCGGCCACGGGGCTGATCAAGGTGGGCCCTCACGATGCCCTCCTCGCTGTTCCCGAGCCCACGGATGACGACTCAGCCTGCGGCAATGGAGCGCCTCACGATCATATGTGGGCAGCGAACCCCTCGTTCCGGTTTACAGAGCCTGAGGTGGGCTTCCTGTCGCATCTCGCCCACCTCTGCGTCGAGGCTCGACTCCAGAGATGTCTGAGAAGCTCATGTCTCGAGGAAAAGGCCAGGATGAACAGAGTTGCTCCGAGCTGTCGGTGGACGGCCTTCCGGGAGTGGGCGCTCGTCTCCATGTCGTGCCAAGCTAGCATGCGGGAGAAGAATGAACTCTCGCAGGCGCACACGCACATCGCCAGGGCCATCTCAGGCTGCTGCATGACGCTCAAGGCCTATCTTGACCACAGTCGAGAGCAATTTCGGCCCTTTCTCGACGGTGCGGGCGTGGAGGAGCACCGGGTAGACCTCGCCGAGGTAGCCAATGTCATCTACTGGATGGCCAAGATCCAGTCGCAGATCGGCATCGGGCCGCGGCGCTTCGGGGCCTGGGACCACCGGCTGCTGCCGTCGACGGTGTCACTGCCGTCCATCGAGCGGGCGGCACGAGATGTCGAGGCCATGGGGCTCTGCCAGCAGCGGCTCTGGAACCTAGTCGGCATCAGCGACCGACGGCAGAGCGACCTGCCGGACATCATAAAGGCCCTGCGGCCGCATAAGGACAGTCTGCGCCATGATAGCCACGACTTTTGCACGCCGAGCAAGTGCCAGTGGGCGCACATGAACAGCTCGTCGGTGCGGCAGCTCCACAAGTGCGGAGTGGTGGAGAAACCGGCCCGGGAGCCGTCCGGGAGGTCCGGGGGCCGGAAAGCGGCGGCAAAGGGGTGCCCGCAGCGGTCGTTTTCCGTCGAGCTGCTGGAGACGGCGGTAGAGCTGGGAAACAGCACCGCCTGGCTCTGCAGCGGGCTCCAGCTGAGCGGGCCCAGGGACGCCTACATTGCCATCTCCCATGTCTGGTCCGACGGCACAGGCGTTGGTGTCCAGGAGGTCGGGACGGTCAATTCGTGCTTGTTCGACTTCTTCTCCGGCATTGCTAAACAGCTTGGCTGTAATGGGCTGTGGTGGGATGCCCTCTCGATCCCCTACGAGCCGCGGGCGCGCAGCAAGGCACTGAACCAGATGCATGCCAACTACGCCAACGCCCGATTTACCGTTGTCCACGATAATTACCTGATCAACTTCCCATGGAGCGACGACGGCAGCCCGTGCCTCGCCATCGTACTCTCCACCTGGTTCACGCGAGGCTGGACAGCGCTCGAGCTGGCCATGTCCAAGAGAGTCAAGGTCCTCTTCGGAAACCCGGACCCGACTAAGAAGGACCTGGTGATCAAGGATCTCGACGAGGACGTGCTTGCCGCTTCGCCCGCCGTGGCATCGCGTGCACACTGGCTGGCGACGACGCTGATCCGCCGGCTCCGCGCTTCTATTGACGACGTCGGTGATCTGCTCGCCATCCTGTCTCCGCGCAGCACATCTTGGGCCCGGGACCGCACCATCATCGCCGCCCTGCTGACGGGCGTCCCGGACTGTGACTTCACCGTTGGCGAGAGCATCATCACGTCCAAGATCCTCGGGTACCTGGGCAAGATCCCCTACAACTGCCTCTTGCACGGCAAGCCGACCATGCGTGACCGCGGCGAGTTCTCCTGGTGCGCGGCCACGCTCGATGATATGCCGCTGGGGACGTCATCCGACGTGGGTGGCGCTGTCTCAAGGTCGCGAACCCTATTGGACCTTGATGAGAACGGAGCTATCGAGGGGGCTTTCCATGCCCGGTGCCTCGAGCCGGAAGAAGTCGACGTCAACATCAAGCCCTTCGGGAACGACCTCGCAGTGGTGGTCAAGGTCAACATTGCCCTCCGGCATCACGAGCGTTGTCTGCTGTTGCGGCAGGATCCGAGCGCCAGGGAGCCTCTCGCCCTCCTGGTCGTGCCGATCAGCATCATCAGGGACGGTCCCGTCCTGAAGTGTCGCTACATCGGCACCGTGACCGAGACGCTCGACGCCGAAGACTTTGACGCGGATGACTGGTTCAAACTGAACATTCGGCTTGGCGGCAGCGACAACCACCGCAGGGGCATGTTAGCCGACAAGGCGCTGGAGATGTATGACGAGTTCTGCGATGTCGTAGGCGATGAGCATGACGGCAAGTCTGTAAGGGGAGATGAGGGGGGCGAAGACGATCACGACGACGATGACAACAACGACCACGACGAGCAGGGGGATGATCCCGCCTCAGCGCAGACGCCCCTGTCCCAAGAAGGGCCTCCTGAGAGCCCTCCGGAATGGCCCACCGCCATCGTCTGGCCTGGGCGGGAAAACAGGCAAAAGGCTAGCGAAGAACACAACGAGAAGGGCCTCATCCTCGCCATGACCAAGAAGAACGAAAATGCGGCCCGGTATCTCGTCAAGAAAAAGGTTGCCCTCCAGCTCAACGACCTAGCCGCCATTCGCACCCTCTGCCAGGATCACCCGACGGTGACCACATCCGGCACAAAGATGCTAGGGGACATCTACGCAGAGAACGACAATCTCCGAGAGGCTAGCAACATCTATCACTACGTCATAGAGACATACGAGGCCATCGAGGACAAGGACAGCCAGCAGCTCTTCCAGCTCTATCAAACTAAGCACTCTCTGGGATGTGTTTGCTTCAGAAGGGAAGAGGCCGCAGAGGCCAGGGGGCTATTCGAAAACGTTCTGACCGGGTGCGACGAGAGAAAGAAGAAGATGGAAATGGAGAGCGCTAAGAAGACGGTACGGTCCAGGGCAGGCGCCGCGAAGAAGGAGGCTGCTCAGGGCCAAGACGCCCCATCAGCTGCGCCGGGAAACTCAGTTAACGTCAATAACGAGGCCAAGGCCGACCAGGGGTGGTACCGGCTAGAGCTAGACTCCATCACGGAGTTGACGCTCCTCAAGGTCGGAGAGGTTGACTTCAGCGGCGCGGCGAAGACGTACCGGCGAGCGCTTAGGAGGTTCGGCAACGCACCAAAGGAGATCGAAGCCTTCGAAGGCCTCTGGGTCGGCCGCATGTCACAGGTGTTCAAGGAGAAGAGCAGACGGGACGAGCGGGCGGCCGGCGTCTACCAGCGCGCGCTCAAGCGGTTCGATATCATGTTCCGCAAGAACCATTTGCTGATCCCCATCACCGCCCTCCATCTCGGCGTCAACTGCATGTTGAGGTCCAAGTACGCCGACGCCCAGCTCTACCTGATGCGCGCTCTATCCGGCTTCTTCGAACGCTTCGGTCGTCCCCTGCGGGACGGCGAGACGGCCCTGGAGTATCCGATGGAGGACGAGCGCGAGCACATCATCCTGGTGCTGGTCAGGTACCACCTCGGCCTGCTGTTCACCAAGCAGCAGAAGTTCGACGACGCCCAGAGGCAGTTCGATCACGCGCTAGCCGTCGTCACCAGGGCGAACAATCCCGGCACTGACGTGCTGCGGCTGTCCATCCTCAACGCGCTGGGCCAGAACTGCCTGTCCAGCCGGCCGCCGAAACTAGACATGGCTGAGGGGTACTTCTCACAAGTCGAGTCCCAGTCGCAGGGCCACGCGGAGAAGGAGGACATGATCCGCCTAAGCATCCAGGCCAAGCTGGGCCGCGCCAGAAGCGTCTACTCCACCGGTAAGAATGGCATGGAGAGCGCGGTGAGGCTCCTGAGCGCCATCATTGAGCAGCTGGATAAAATCAAGACGGAGGCGGGAAACGACCTCGACGGATGCCAAGTCACGCTCTTCTTGGGCAAGGTATACGAAGACAAGAGGAAGCTCCCTGACGCCGCGAAGCGGGTTGACTTGGCGCTCAAGGGTCTCAAAAACCTGGAAGGGGAGGAGAGCCTGACCTACCTGGAGGCGGCGAGCAAGCTGGGAGAGATATACGAGAGGCTCGATGAGAAGGACGAGGCAGAGACCCTCCTCCACATGGCCGCAGACAAGTTGAGGGGGAGCGTCGGCGCCTACCACCCCCAGACGCTGCGGGCGAGCTGGCTGCTCGGGAAGGTATACCTGGCCCAGAGAAGACTCGAGGAGGCCAGGGAGACGGTCGAGTGGGCGTACCAGGGATCAGAAAAGGCGTTGGGAAGCAGCCACAAGCAGACCGCGAGCACGGCCCAGACGCTGGGCACCATACACCTCGAAACGAACAAGCTCGCCGAAGCGCAAGAGATGTACAAGAAGGCCTACACTGGATTCAAGAACATGGCCGCGAAATCCAATGCCAAGGCGCAAGCAGAGGGAGGGCCGGAGAGCAAGCTGACGGACAAGACCACGCTGCTGGCTCTCATGGACTACGCAAAGGTCTGCGCCATGATCCCCGGCAAGCGGTCCAAGGCCACCGCCCTGAGCAAGTACAAGCTCGCGGTGGAAGGCTTCGCCTCTCTCGACAGCGAAGACACGAACCACAAGAGCGACGCCCACCTGCACCTACTCGAGGCTAAGCTCAATCTAGGCTGCGTCTACCGGGAGACCAGGAAGTTCGATGAGGCGTATGAGCAGATCCGGGAGGCCCTCGCTGGCTTCCTGAGCCTAAGCGAACCAAAGACCGGGAGGCCGGAGACGGAAGCCGATAAGAGGGCGGTCACGGCCGCCAGGACAAAATGGTTCGAAGCCCGGCTCCGCCTAGGGCAGCTGAAGCTAGACGCGTCGCACCAGCAGCACGAGGCGCAGGAGGGGCAGGAAGAAAGTGAGAGCGCCATGGAGCTGATCAGGGGAGCCCGAGATGGCCTCAGGGACCTACTTGGGAACGCTCACATGCTCACGCTGGAAGCGTCGACCTATCTCGGTAATCTCTACCTGAAGGAGGGAGAAGAAGGAGGGGGGGAGGGAGAAGGAGGGAAGGGAGAAGGGGAGGGAGATGGAGAAGAGCAGGAGAGAGGCGACGTTCTGCTCCGAGAAGTCCTACGCTGCTACGACACCGAGACGAAGCTGCCAGTCGGCCATCCGAAGAAGATACGTATCATGGACTCTCTCATCAGCCACTATCACCATGTCGGTGACATGACGGAGGTGGGGAAGATGGAAGAGAGGAAGTGGAAAGAGCTCAAGGACGCCTACGGCATGGACCAGGCCGCCATCATCATGGATGTCACCGACTGGAAGCATATGAACCATGACCGGGACGATGGCGGTAGCGTCGATGAGAACGACGACGCCGATGACGGCGACGACGAAAGGCACCATGGTTACTACGACGCTTGGGATCACCACGGCTCGGTCTCGTGGGACTCGGACAACGACTTGGAGGAAGGGGATGAGAAGAACCGGGGCCACGATAAAGAGCAGAACGCAAATGGTGTGGATAAGTCGAGGGAGGAAGCGGAGAAGGCCACAAAGAGACACGTTACTAAACCAGATGAAAATCAAGATGAAGAAAATGAGGCAGCAGAAGACGATGAAGAGAGTGAAGAGGATGGAGGAAATGGATCGGAAGATATAAGGGGAGAAGATAAAATCAAGAAGGAAGATGAAGAGGATAAAGGTAAAATGGGTCAAGTAAATAAAGATGTTAAAGAGGGCGTTATAAATGAAGAGCATAAGGTAAGTGAAGAGAGTGAAAAGGATGAAGAGGATGAAGAAGATGATGACGACGACGAAGAGGATGCAGAAGATGAAGAGGATGAGGAAGATGAGGAGGACGAAGAGGATGAGGAAGGTGAAGAAGATGAAGAGGATGATGAAGATGAAGGGGACGAAGAAAGTGAAGAGAGTGAGGAGGATGAGGATGAGGAGGATGAGGAAGGTAAAGAGGGTAAAGAGAATAAAGAAGAGGGAGAGGATGAGGACGAAGAGGAAGAGGAAGAGGAAGAGGAAGAGGAAGAGGAAGAGGAAGAGGAAGAGGAAGAGGAAGAGGGTGAAGATGATGAGGATAATAATGAGGGGGGTGAAGACGATGAAGACGATGAGGATGAAGATGATGAGGACGAGGATGATGAGGACGAAGATGACGAGGAAGATGAGGACGAAGACGACGAGGATGATGAAGAGGAAGAGGAAGAGGAAGAGAGTGAAGATGGTGAAGAGGATGAAGAACAGGACAGCGAAGAGGACAAAGACAAAAAACATTAGCGGAGTTTAATTATGTGGTAACATCTACGATCTAAATTTTATTGGCCTGATATTATTGTTCTTACTTTATTTCAATTTTGAACAGGTAAATACATAGTCATACATCTGTAAGATGGCCAGGAGCAATCACTCCATCTTCTTTCACTGGCAAAAAATAAACATGTTTCCAAGATCTAACCAAAGATGGATCGGATGCAGAACTAAATAAGAAGAAAAATAAACGCTTGATATCAGAGTGTGTAGTTCTATTCGAGAGCTAAAAGAGGCTTACTCCAAGTCTGGAGTTGCCCTAATGCAAGAATTCTTGCTTTTACTTATCACATATAAGCTAGGAAGATGTCGGACTGACGCTGAAAAGATAGTTGAAAAGAAGGCATCTCGCAGTTTTGGCATACGTGTATCGATGAAGCGTCCTTTAGAAAATGAAATTTTTTTTATGCTATCAAGAATTTGCTATTGTCGCTCAAGCATAGGACAAGTGCATCTTTAACCCAGGACTGTGTTCTATTCATAACCCATCATCCGGTCACGCGCTCATTTATTTTTTCATCGTTCCATAATATACGGCGTACTCGTGAATCGTCTCAAACTCTTTATTGGGCATTCCATGCAAGTGCCAAAGAAACAGAGTGACTGCTTGTGAAGACAGTGCCTTGAGCCTGTCCGCTTGGAACTGAGGCTGCATAAAACTTGGACGATCCCTGGAAAGTCAAGTGCGTGCCATCGTAGGCAAAGCCACTGGCAGTTGAAGAGCTGCCGCAGCTTAAAGAAGAATCGCTCAAAATGGCACACTTTCCCTTGCTTGAGCTGAGTGAAAAGGTAGAACCGTCGGAATTCGGAGTGGCAGTGTAGGTGGCCGGGGTACCGCCAGCGCGATACCAGGCTCCGCTGCTAACGAGAAAGCCATCGCTGGTTGTGCTGGAGGTATCGACATATAGATATCCTTTACCTGACAGGACTCCTCCCGGTGGAGGGGTGGATCCTCCTCCGCCAGAGCTTTTAGTGCTTGACGCTGTCTTGGAAGTCGTTGTAGGCGCACTGCTACCAGACTTGGGTAGATATTTGATGCCTGTCTTGGGGCAAGTGGAGGCAGAGCCAACGGGGTCAACAGGAGTAAATGTGCCGGTTTGAACAGATCCACGGACGTTAAACTGATACCATAGCTCATTGAGCTCGCCATTATCGCAGTTGATGACGACGTTGTGGCCGTGGTGTGCAGTAAGAGCCGCCTGGATAGCAGCCAAAGTGTACGTGGCAGTTTTTGAAGGAACAATGCCAGCTGCAGCAAGCCAGTCATACGAGGGAAGGCTTTGGAACAAGGTCACGGTTCGTGTAAAAAAGTCCCCAACTTCCTGGGTTGGCTGATAGTTTGTATAACACTCCGGATCAAGCGTGTTGATGCATGTAGCGTGCTTGCCAAATTCGTGCTCCCAAAAGCTCTCATCATTGCCCTGGTTATCTTTCCAATATGTCTGCATAAACGAAAGCGTAGAAGGCGCTGATTTTGCTAGAATTGCCGAGATGTTGGTATACGCTCTTGATGAGTCGCAGTTCTGCTGGAAAGTTCCATCGCAGTTATCTGGCCTAATCGAACGGTTAGTGAAACAGCCAACGAGCGCACGAATCGTGCTAATATAAGCGTTTTTACCATAAGCCGTGGACAGTCCATGAATTGCTGGGGCCCGTGGATGGGTTGGTGTCCCAAAATTGCGTCTGAAGAAGCTGGCCACCTGGGAAGTTGAAGCAGCAAGTATTGCTGACTGCGGTGGTATTCTGGCAACTCAGCGGCAAATTAGATGCGCATGTTACAGAGGCTGCCACCGCAGATCCGGCAGCCCACGCGGCTCCAAAGACGAGATGTTGCAACGCCATTTTTGACTCGGAATATATATGAGTTTGACAAGAAGCAGTTTTTCTCAACCTGAGATATTTCTCAACATCAGCATCATTACCCCTCTTATATCTCGTAGAGCTGAAACAATTTATGAGACAGCACTGACTAGTAGTCGAAGCCGATCGCCGAGGACCTGCCAAAAGTTCAGCGGCGTTCTCCATACGTCGGTATATCGAGCTTCCGCATCCAGGCTAGCCGGAGAAATGAAGATGCAAATTTAGCTGGTCTGTTCCCTATCTTTTGGTTCAGGTCTTTGATTCGACACTAATCTAAGCAGATCATTAAATGCACGTGGTTCATTGGCTGCATGCGGCCGCAACCGATTAAAAAGTACCCGATAATGTTCGGAACAGTCGCCTAAAAGAGCATCTCAAAGAACAATATTGTAGAGCTAGAGCGTTATAGTAAAGTGTGTAACATCTCAAGTGAAGTAGAAATGAGTGAATTGGTACGCTGCTATCGAGAGGAATTTCTGTGATTGTTATGAGACGAAAGGTTTATATTTTTATTATCTGTATTCCCATCTTCGAAGTGCTTCAAATTTTTAGTCGTATTTATAAGCTTGATCTATGGACACATGCGTGCTCGATATGTACTATTTAGATCAAAGTGATTTGCGTAGGATACGAATACCGACTTAATTAACAAGTCTATCGTGAAAGTTGCCGTTCGGGAGGTTCAAGCATACTAACAAAAGCCACAAAGTGCGTGCATTAGGAAATTTGTTCTTCGCTTGCAAATCACTGCTTTCCTACGAAATTTATCCCCTCCAAGGCGTCATGAAGGCGCACGAGAGGCAAGTTCTTAGGCCGGGGAAATTTGCCATAGCCCAGTCCCTAATACTAAACGTATTCTTGAGCTCTCGGCATGAAATACAGGTAGTTCAAAATTTCGTTATTAAATGCATCTGGCTAGCCAAGTTAATAAAAAAAGGCACACTCTAACGGAAAATGTAAGAATGAGCCCAAAGAGGAGCCAGGAAGGGGCGTCTTTATTTAAATATCAACCCATTTATCCCAAAGTATCATGCAACTGTTGATTGCCATAGTAGCGTGAGCGATATCGCATTCTCGTCCCTGAGAAATTATATCTCTACTGAATGAACCATTGAAGTTCCAGACCCCAATCCTAGTATTCAAGGAAATCGAGAAAAGACTTTAGCTCCGCGTTCAACCGTGTAGGCTTGTCTCTGAAAGACCAGTGCCCGGCGCCTGGAGTTACGACTAATCTAATTCCATAGTCAAACCAAGCCTCGAGGCCATTGAGCATAGCCGGACTAAAATATGGATCGAGCTCTCCCCAGATAATGGCGGATTGGGTCAAGCCCTCAGTACTGAGATTCTGTCTATATGGAGGTGCAGGAAAGTTTTCGTTGTAAAAGTCAAGCATCCCATAGAGAGGAGATTTGTGCAGATAGTCTGCAATCCGATCGCGGTATGTTTCGTTCAAGATGTGCTGCACTATAGCGGAAACATTTCGGATGGCCTGGACGGTACGCATAGTACGGTATTGGGTATCCCGATAGCTGTTGCTGGTGCCTGTCAAACTCAATCAAGGGGAGGAGAACTGGAATAATTGGTGTGTTAACCATAACGAGGCCCTTCAACATGTCCGAATGCGCCGAAGCAAACTTTTGCACGACAAGGCCTCCAACATCGTGTCCCACAATGACAGCCGAGCCTTTGCCAACCGCTTTAATCACCGCCAACATGTCCGAAACATAGGCGGCCGCAGCATAGTCTTCCTTTTCTAGTGGGACATGGCTGGGTGGATGTCCGCGCAGTGTGGGAGTCACAAGGGTGTACTTCTTTGCGAATTCTTGGATTTGAAAAGTGTTCCAGGTCGTCTCTCTGTCTGGGAAACCGTGCTGTAAAACCAAGAGAGGTCCAGAGCCATATGAGCTGTGATGGAATCTCACGCCATCGTTGTCAACGAAACTTTCATGGCCATGCATGCGCTCATTTGCAACTGAAGCAATATCAGTACTGCGAGCGTGTGCTCCTCCCAACGCCAAACCTATTCGACATGAATAATTAGCTTAAATGACACATTCGAGGCGTTTTGATGTAGCATACCCGCCAGTACATATTTCCCAACGTTGAGCATTTTGTCATGGTGTGCCTTTTAAGAACACTTAAGGAAGCTGCAAAGGCCGGGTTGTCTATGGGAGTTGTTCGAGGTACCTTGTACAACACGAATGCTCCAAGTTTCCATAAACAAGACAAAGAGGATTTATTCGGACATTACACATAGTCAAGTAGGAGTGTAGTAAAAATAGCCACGCCTGTTCACTTTGTAGCGGTTCCCGTTGCTTAGGGTGGATGTTATATTTGGAATCATAGTTGTGAGTAGCCGGGTTGCGATTTGGCAAATAAAACTTGTAGCAGAATTATTAACTAAATCAGACGGATCAATGTAGCCAGCGGCTTCTAGAACCATGATTGAGGAGCGTAAGAGTTGGTACATGGTCAAATAAAATATCGGTAAATAGCCCTATACATGCAGTCCGGAGCATGCCGCTGTGTGTATACTGCATTGCTAGCCCACATGTTTCCTAATCATTATTCTCCGGAACGTCGTGCCACGGGTTAACTGCATCACACATTGGTGGACAGAGTTGGTGAGTAATGCGCTTAACACCCTACATGTACCTAGTTTCTCTCTAACTTGATAGCTATAATACAAGAGTAGGCATCGTCCACCGAGATAGTTATATTAGTAGATAGATATATCTATCGTCGGGCATATCCGTCGCCGTAGTCTGCTCTTCGGATATGCGCAAGCCCACCCTATAGCTAGCTGTCGAGGGATCATTTCTTCTTAGTGGGTTAAATGTGTGAAGTTTTTAGCTAGATTTGGGATTAAAGCAGTGGGGCGACCAGGCGTCCAAACCGAGCCGAGCCGCCACTAATTGACGCGATGGAGGTCTTGGCACATATCATTAGGGGAATCCTAGTCGCATCTATACAATTGCGAGGTAAGTAAAGGGACGTCAGTGTTAGTGATGTCTGCCAAAGTAAGACGGACCTTAGATGAGGTAGCAAGAGATGGCTTATAAGTAACTGGGAAATGAGAGGCCCCAAGTTGACAAAGAGCTGATTAAGAAATCTTCGCTCGAATCGATAAGAACAAGAGCAATAACAAATACTAACCCCATTGATAGATGAATACTCCCAGCCATATCTCAGCCAACTGTACTAGGATAGCTGAATTACGCCTATCACTTACTTAGTATCTAGTATCGGAGTACACCACAACACTTGGTAATGTCGAGAAGTCTGTCAAGTCCATCACAAAGGGAGGGGTTGAAGCGGGGTATATTGATATTGAAAGCTTTATAGCCCATTCGCCGTGGCAGATATCCAAGTCGCAAATTGCAATTCAGTGCCTCTTAGATGCTCAATATTTCTCTCCCATGCGTCAATCTCCTCAAGGATACTGCAGCGGCATCAAGAAAGATCTGGGAAACTTATGGACATGAGAAGAATATTCCCATCCCAATGGTAGATAACCCCATCTGCTCTGATCCAAAACAATGGGACATGGTTCGAGAAATGGCGAATCTCCCGTGGTTTTCTCGAGTATGGGTTTTGCAGGAGGCTGGGCTAGCACTGCGAGCAACAATGGTGTGGGGTGAAGCGACCATTACTATCAGCGACATCATTGAAGTGTCTAGCCTTTGTCTCATGGCTAGGCATCTGTTTCCGATATCTATCATTGGATTATTCAAGATAACCGACTCATTTGCCAACCTGTGGAATTCCATGGCCACCTCTGTGTCATGGAAAAGCGAATTATCCAAGAGGCCCGTCTAATCGCTCGAGGCCCAACGCCCTAACGTATCTTTCACCGAGGTTCTTCATATCACTCCTCTCTTCGAAGCTACGAACCATAGAGACTACATGTTTACATTCCTTAGACATCCTAGCACATTAAATCCCCACACGGGCGAGATTCTAGTGAATCCAGACTACAACAAAGGTTCACTTGATGTATGCTATGAAACCGCCCGCGCGCTTCTTAAAAACCGCCGAGTTGTCATTCATCTTATCTTGTTTAGACCGCAATTAGAAGACTCTATACAGCGATTTCCCGTCGTGGGTGCCGCACTGGAATCCGGCCAAAGACGTTTGTGCTCTTGCATATCCTATCCTCTGGTACTACACAGGTGGACGCGATACAACAGCGGTTTTCAGTAGGATAATTATCCAACGGTCCGAAGCATTTGGCAGCCCATCTAACTTTTAGGTGGACTCAATGGTGGCGAGCATTTTAGCGCGTGGTTGGTCAACACCAAATTTGCAACTCTAGATTTGGGAAGATATCACTTCCAAGAAGAGAGCTTGACGACGTCCCGAATTTTCCACTTTCTATGGTCGTGTGTATTTAGACCTCGGTGGATATTCCTCTATATCAGCTCCCAAGGTAATAATCGTAACTAGAATAAAAGCTATCCAGCCTTCTTCCTGTATCTACATGCGCCCTTATTTTCTAGTATAGGTGCCTAATAGTTCTGTGGGAACTTACGCCATTGTCGAGGAAGTAATGGGTGTCCAAAATGCCACGTGATAAAGCAGAACTGCCCTTGGCACAACTGTTGCGTCTCTTGAGCGCATAATAGAGCTTTTACGCACTTCGGCCTCTAGTAGATGGCCATGAAGGAGTGGCACATGGACTTTTGCATTTCGTTCTTGGATTAAATCTTAGTTATTAGAGTTGTAATAGAACCTCTCCCCAACTAAACTTATAACCTCTCTATCCGGCTTAAGGTCGGCCTGAACCTCTCTCTTGGTCTTAAGTCCATTATAGCAGCTTTGTTGTTCTCTTCTTGTTCTGCACAGAGGTTTGCAACCCACAGACTACGCATTAAGAAGTGGGGGATCGAAGTCTGGAAAGGTTTAGTTGTGGCACCCCTAGGTATGCCCCACGATTCCGTAGATCAATCTCCGCGCTGTCGCCTTGCAAAAGTGTTCCCCCCGGATCTCCGAAGTTACCTCTAGACGGAGACTACACAATGGAAGAACAGTTATACTTCTGTAACAGTTTCCCTCCGAAGCAGTATGTAATATAATGATACGTAAGTTGGTTTATACAAATTGAGTTACTTGATGATATATGGTAAAAAAGGTAACAAATAAATATAAGCTATAGGCACAAGCTGCTCATGCTTCAAATCGTTTGTTATTGCTAAGTATAAAATTGCTATTTCGAGAAATGTCTTCCGCCAGTGCTTTCAGAATTGGCTTTTTGCTTAGGAACTCTTCTGGTGATACGTAAGGAGGCCTTTGTGTATATACGTCTCTTTCCTTTCTCTCATTTACCCCTTATTCCCTGTTTCATAGCTACGAACTCCATGAGATTTATTATAGTGCGTGGGTTGCTCGCAGGACAGGCTTTGCGGGGCATCTAAACATTCCTGCAAGATGCCCCACGCAACTACTAATACACAATGAAGCAGACGAATCTACTCTACGCCCGTGACGATTACGGTCCGCATGCTAATATCCAGAAGCTCCCCACTCGATCGGATTTCCACTCGTCCGAGCTCTTGGAGCCGATTTCCCCAGACAATGTTTAGAGACTTGCGGGGAAACGCGGGGGAAGATGTCATTGTGGAGGGAGATACGCCCCCAGTATACGTTGTATAGGAACATATACGTATCTCTCCAGGTAAGGCATGTACTGAAAGATATAGGTATCTGGCCTACTTATAGCTCCCCTTTTGTCACCAAAATATGCGATGAAGACATAGCGGTAAAAGGCCAGGGCGCTTCAATCATATCCACTTGCTTTCGTCTCGTAAAACAACAGAATCGTGACAATGGAAGAGGGATACCAGGTAACTTTCTCTTCCGTTGCATCAGGTGCAACCTTCAGACTATACGTATTCTTAGCGGCGGCTATACTGGGATGTCATCTATTTCTAAAGGTCAGTACGAAGGCTCTCATCAAGAAAACAACGATTTTATTTCCATACCTGGTATAGTTTTAAATAACGCGTATACTTACGCATTCGTCTGCCAGTTTGTCCAAAGGATTCTAGTGAGCCCTCTTCGAGATGTACCAGGGCCCAAAAACGCTGCATTACTTCCATGGACCATCACTATTGCCGCCTTCAAGTGGCAGCGAGCACAGGCAAGCGAATTACAACAAGATTAAGGTGAATAAGTTCAGAATATGACTAATCTTTCAAGATGATTACAGAAACTGCTACAGCTACATAAAGATTATGGACCTTTGGTGCGTATCGGCCCAAACGAGGTATCAATCAGTGATTGGAGATATTACCGAGCCATATACTCCAACAACAAAGCTTCGTCTAAAAAGCCGGGGTTTTATCTTCCAATTGTATATGTTGACCAACACAACATATTCTGCATGACGTGAGTTACAGATTAAATCAAGCACAATGCTGTGTTCAAAACTCATCGCGCTTTGGATAGAAACAAGGAAGAACACGAAGCTCGTCGAAAATTTCGGCTTCACCCTATTCGCTCCAGTCCATGACTCGGCTAGAGCCAATGATCAGATCAAAGGCGGACAATCTCGCAAAGCGTCTTCTCGAAATTTCATCTTCAGCAACTACAGGCAGCGTGAATGCGTTTCTCATGTGTGGCCTATTCAGCCTCGAAGTGGTCTGCAAGGCAGGATTCAGAAAGGAGTTCACATTCGAGGATACTACAGATCTCACCGAACTGCTTGAGTCTGTGGATGGTAGTGCACTCACATTCATTCTTGATGGACTTTTGCCTTGGCTGAGGCTCACAGGCTTCGCCCATAAGATTCTTTTCCTCGGCGAGCCGTATCAACGCCGACGCACATGGGAGCAGAAAAGCCGGGTGCTTCTACGTGAATTTCTACAGCTCCCAGCCAAAGACGATGGTTATCTCATTTCTCCATACCTCTCTTCTGTGGACGGCTTTCTTGGGAGAAAGCTAAATCATGAAGAATTTGTCGAGGAGGCAATGGGAATCATGTTTGCCGGCAGCGGTACAACGTCCACCACGCTGACCTACCGGCTGTACGCCTTATCGCGCCCCGGCTATGAAGCCATCCAAACGCGTCTTCGTGCTGAGCTAGAGGATGGTGGAGAGAGTATATCGACATTAAGGAATTTGCCGTATCTCAATGCAGTCATAAAGGAGACATTTAGGTTATATCCCACCATCAACTCGTCATTGCCTCGAGTTCTCAACGAGCCTATGAAAATCCATGGTATCGACCTCCCCGTTGGCACGGTTGTCAACATGCAGAATTTCGTTCACCACCGCGATCCAGCAGTTTTCTCCGATCCAGAGTTGTTCAACCCTGAGCGCTGGCTTAGCTCTCATGCGGATATGGAATCGGCATTGACCCCATTCAGTTTGGGTAGGAGGGCTTGCCTTGGATTGAACTTGGCATGGGATGAGCTTTACATAGCTGTTTCCTCTGTATTCCGAAACTTGGAGCTGCGGCTTGGAGATGAAATGACGGACGTAGATATGGAACTCGAGGATCGTTTTAATATTGCACCTGTTGGCCGCAAGCTTATGCTAAAGGTCTCCAAGGCGAAGGAACTTTGAATGTAACTAAAAAGGAAATATAGAAACAATTGTCAGAGAGTAAAATTAACGTAAAGACAAACTTTAACGTAGGTATATGTACATGGTATATTCAGCCGCTTTTTATAGCCTTCAGGCTGTAAGAAATTGGCAAAGATATCTACGAGGTAATGAAGTTGCATATTGACGACCTGCGAAACTCGACGGGCTATATTGGATCATATGTTGCAATCAATTCCATAGCTTAAGAGTCTGTACGTAGTCTAGAAGTATGAATGAAGACTCTAGATCATGCAATCTCAAGGTTTAATACTTCTCTAGCTCGTCTCTTCCCGATCCATCATTCATGTGGTCAAAAACTCGACTACTATCATGACCAAAATCTCTGACCTTGTTCACAAAAACGGGCATGCCCAATCTTTACATCAATCTATCAACTCCAACAAACCCAAGACAGCCAATTAGACACCCCCGCCGCTCTTTTCCGTGTCCGAGGAGGCGGGAACATCACGTAATCCAACTCTCATCCAACCGTTATCGGTCCATCCAAGTGTGTAAAGTGGTGGTCAAATATCACCTGTGAATGCAATCGGCCGCAGTGGCACTCGATGCATAGAAGACAAATTTATCCAGACAAGGAGAATTACACAATCGCTAGTTGAAACACTTGGTAAGGATGTGTACAAAACAAGCTGTTTCCAAAAAGTGAGAAAAGGGAAAAAATTCGATTGTCTGCGCTAAGATGACGCCGCTCCCTCTTTACGGAGGGTACTATGCTATGTCTATGTAGAGGACTCATTTCAAGTGCTGAAGCACCTTCGACACTCTAGAGAATCTCAAGTCGCTTTGTTCTCTGGTTCAAAAAAGTCAACATTATTAAAAGAGTGAATGTGCTTAAATACATATATTTATGCCATGGGAAGAAAATATGCTCTGACACTGATGCCACAAGCTACGGCATCAAGTCTCCTATGAAACCCCAGTATCATCTGTCCATTACAGTTTACGCTCGGTAGGCTGTACAGCAGTGCAAACAATGCTATCGAGTGCAAACGAGTTGGTGTTCTTGCTGGGCGTCGTGGCCTGGAACTCAATCACATCCTTTCCAGTACCAGTAAATGTGAAGGCTGATCCATGCAGCCACTTTTTAGCATTGAAGATGGTAACAGCGGACGCAGACACGGGGCTAGCATTCGTCTTTGGGTTGATATAGACAGCCACCGCAGGGTAGACGCCGTTGGAGGAGTCGGGGGTGGTGAAGAAGTAGTCGTACTGGCAAGAGTAGGTCACTCCAGCGCAAGTGGTGAGAGTCTGCTTGATACCACAGTTGTTGTTCTTGTTGAACGATGTGCACTGGAAAGAGTACTTGGGCTTGGGCTTCTCAAGGGTGGATCCGCCGGACACAACAGCGCCGACGGAGCTGCCCAGGGGAGTCCATGGAGAGATTGCGCCAGTATCAAAACCACCGTTCGCAACCGGCTTTGCGGTGCAGGTAGCTGTCTGTAAAACGGTTGTTGTGACGGTGGTGGGCGTATTGTGAGTGGTGAAGGTTGTGACAGTAGTCTTGGGCACAACAGTGGTGATGACATCAACGGTAGTCTTGTGCAGCTCAACATCCAATGTTGACGTAACGGTGGTTGCAACAGTGGTGGTAGCCTCAAGCCAGGCAGTTCTAGTAACGTCGACATCTCGGGTCGTTGTGACTGTGGTAGGCACCGTCTTGAAAGATTCCTTCAACACAGTGGCGGTAGCAGTAACATCATCCGTAGCGGTTGCGATGGTAGGCACGGTCGTGTAAGACTCTTCAAAATCAACTGAGACAACAGCGACTCTGTCGAGAGTTGTGGCCGTAACTGGCACCGTGGTGTAGAACTCCTTGAACTCAGTAACTGTGCTGACAACACCATCTGTGACAGTGGCGACGTAGGTGACAACAGCGGTAGCGACAAGGTCAACCTCTGTGGTCTTTACAACGTCAGTAGACACAACATCAATGTCAGTAACGCTCTTAGTTACAGTTGCATCATAGGTAGAAGTGGCGGTAACACCGACTTCAGTTGTAGCAACAACACCCGCGATAATAGTAGCCGTCTTATCAAGCACAGTGGTCTTGGTCAAGGCCAGGAAGTTGGTAGCATCTACGTCCACAGTGATGGTAGCAAAAATGGACTCCACGATAGTCCTGTCGGCACCAACAGTAGTTAGGGACGTGGCGGTAGAAGTAGCTCTAACAACAACGGTGGTGGTGAAAGTGACAGGAATCGCCTTGTACTTGGTGACTTGCTTGCCCGTCTTGGTCAGAACGGCCGTGGACGTGACATGGGTAGTAAGGTGGGTAGTAAGGGTCTTCACTGCGTCGACCGTCTTAGACATAGTCTGCGTCACGGTGACAGTAGGCTCAACCTTGGTAACAGTGGTGGTAGGAGCGGGAGCAATAACGCAACCGCAAGCGTTCTTCACTGCGGCCATACCATATTGCTCAACCCAAACGGCCTCCAAGTTCCGCTTGTGAGATCGCTTGTCAAAGACCGTCATGGTGGACGTGACAGGCGTGTAAACGGGGGTAGGCACGTCAATGGTCTCCAAGGTAGTAATCGTCTCCAAGCTGGTGTACATGGAGGTGACAGTGACAACATCGGTGCCAGTAGTGACAGTGGCAATATCAGTCTCAACGGCCTTGACAACAACATCAGTACCAGTATAGACAGTAGCATAGTCGGTGCTGGTAGTAAGAGTCACTGCGTCGGTCTCAACAGCTGTGAGCACAACACTGGTGCCAGTGTAAACAGTCTCCGTGTTAGTCTGGACGGTAGTGGTAAAAGTGTTGGTTCCAATGACTGTAACTACGGTGCTAACACCAGTGTAGTCTGTAGTGTAACCAGTTGTGGTGGTAGTAGTGATAACATCGGTCTCCACAGTTGTGGGAATAACACTGGTGCCAGTGTAGCTGGTGATATCATCAATAGATGTCACAACCAGGGAGGTGTAAGTGCTAATTGCGTCTGAAACGGTAGCTGTGGATGTGTAGACAGTGACAGGGCGCCAAGAGGTTGAGTCAATCAAAGTAGTAGTACTCTTGATAGTATCAACCTCAGTAGCGACAACATCCACCACAACTGCCGTAGCCACTGTCTTGAGCTCAGTAGCCGTTGAGGTGGTAACAGTGGCAACGCGAGTAGCATCTGTGGTGTAAGCTGTGTCGATGACAGTGGCTGTAAAGACAGTATCGGTAGACACAGTCAGATCAACGACCTTTGTCGAGTAGGTAACATCAATAACAGCAGTTGAGGTGGTGACGGTGACGGTATCGACGACATGGTTCACAGCAGTGTGAGTGCGAGTCAGCGTCCTCGTAGCGACAACATTGGGGACGTCGATGGTGGTTGGCTTGGGTATGGATGTAGTGGTAGACGAGACTACATCAGTCGACGTGATATAAGCATCAACGTAAGAGGTTGTCGTGTAGTCCGTCTTGACGACAGTGACGTGCGAAGTAGATGTTGGGGTAACATCCACGGTCTTCGTCTTGAGCAACACGGCGCTGCAGATCTGCTGGGCCGATTGCGAATAGGCCGGCGCCATCATTGAAGAAAGCAGATGATTGTTGGTCCATCCTCTAGTGAAGCAGTCGGCGGGAACCTTCTGAACAGGCGAGGCGCTGACGAAAGTCACCAGCGGGAGCAGCTGGAGCAGCGCATTTTGGTACCACATTTTGGTTGATGCGGATGGCGTCTGATGGCCAAGATGCAATCAAAGACGGATGAAGAGGAGGTGCACTGAGAAGATAGTACAAAGCTTAACGGGCGGCACGTATTTATGGCCGCACGCTCGCATCCATCGTGTGATGCCTCAGTCTCATATTCTGTACAATCGATATTTGAGAGTATCTAGACCGGTCCATCGCGGCCAAGCTATTGTCTTTTGGCCCAAGGCCACGACGGACCTGAAGATTCGGCATTGAAGCTGCATTGTCTCGTCCTGACCAATGAGAATCAACAATGGCCCGGGAATCTATCTTGGACCAGGAACCCGTGCCCTTAATCGGGCATAACCGTTGGTAATGGGGAACAGTGGCTGAGCTGAGATTTTCCCACTATTGCCTTCTAGTACGTGTAGCTTCGTCAGTTCAGGTACACAGATATCGGCTCATGTGGCGTATAGTAACTCTTTGTTTAGTATGACGGTAAAGTGGAAAATGCAATTTTGGAAAGAACAGATGGCAAGCTGGAGACTTTCTGCCTCCAGTGTTAAATGAGGTCGGTATTTTATTTCTGATAGCTATTCCTTTGGGGCCTTATGTCTTTATGGTATAGGATATAGTATTAGCCTGTGCCAACAAGTAATAAGATGTATCTGGCTTTAAGGATGTTGCGGAGCGCCTACGAATGGCATTTTCATACCAAATGCTTCTCAAGCGGATAGCTTATTCACAGAAATGGGTTTTATTCAGTGGATACTGGAAAAAAGAAGATGCAATATTGATACAAGACGCCGCATACTATGTTGACTCTAGAAGAGATTGTTAGCGGCCATTCCATGAGTCGCGGTGAAAGAGACTGAAGCGGTGCCCCGAAATGGGTCAAGAAACCCTGCATGAGGCTATCGAGAGAGTAGTGTCAAGAACACTTGATAGCCCATTGACGATTGGTGTTTCAGCAGTCATCTATCGATTGTTATTGAGCTAAAGATGAACCTCCCCCCGCAAAGGGTTCCGGTCCGTCGTTCCTAAACTAATCCTGGACTATTCTTGGGTCGATCTGGAACGCATCGCTGTTTGACAAGTGGGCCTATGAAGCCAAATAGCCAAATACAGAGTAGTCATCCAGAGAGGTAGTTCAGCCAAGCTTTACCAAGCTTTACCAAGCTTTAGAGCAGCTCTGCACTAGCGAGGGGCTAGGCAAAGAATTGCCGTGCTTCGCCTTATTGCGAGTCAGAGTACAAAACTCCATAGTTGAATGTTTTTCTGCCTTATAGGGAGACGCAATCGCTAGGTCGATGGAATAGACTGTTCCGGAACCTCA